CATATTTTCAATATCATTATAACATTCCCTATACCGCTTACAACAATCTGCGTGCTTTATTATCGTATAACTCAAAAACTTAAATCTCTACCAGTTCCACTCAATCATTGCAGCAATGGTATTGGGAGCAGTAATCGTCGTCGAATTCAAGCTACCAAGATGATGATGATTGCAACAATCTCTTTCATGATTAATACTTCGATTTTATATACAGTATCCATTGTCTTAGGTTCATTAGATCCGTTTGCCGTTGCCACCTTATTCCAGAGCCCAACCGGCATACTATCTGCTCTTACTATTACTTCTTTACTGACTGCTTCAGAAACGATTCAAAACCCAATCTTATTTTACTGTTATAATAAAACATTCCGTCAAGCTGTATTGTCGATACGATGTTGTCGGAAAATATAATAAGATCTAAATATTTCCAAACCAACACATAACAAAATTTTAAATACACGTACCTGTGCTGTTGCTTAAAACCTATTAATAATCATATTTCTATTTGTTTCCCTATGTTAATAAAATATAGACCTAATTTTTCATTATCAATAGGACGTATTAGCAATGATTTAGATCTTTAAAGAATGAATTAAATCGACTTAGTTTCAGCTGCGAGAATATAGTTGTACTTTTAAGACCTATCAGATTGAAAGCATGACTTAATAAGGTCGACTAAATGTTTTCATAATTATTTCTTCCATGTTGTAGATATGATATTGGTTTAGCAATCCAGGTTATGATATCTTAATTCAATCAAATATTAAATCATAAAGGAAGTCATATAACACCTTATACCTATTACCAGTTGGAAAATTGAAGAATAAATCATTTATTCCTGATAAGGACGCTATAATTTATTGATTTAAAATAAAATCTTAAAGTTCATTTGTATCAGGCTACCATACTTTAAACAAGATATCCGTAGGAGAATCTCACCAATCGGCGAGAAGATAGTTAAAATAGTGGCATCGGAAATTAAGCGTATTTTTTGAAATTCTAGTTAATAACACATAAATAAAAATATCTCAGATAATTCTCAAAATTTATTAGAGGCCATTAAAATCACCATCACGTATAATTGCATTAATGCAAGTTTAAATGAATTTAATGTTTTACTTAGCAAGAGCTTTTAAGTAAGAAAATAATTTAAACATACTACTCCTGAAAAATTTAAGAAACAGTTCAAGTTAAGCTTTCATTTCCATTTTAATACCTTGTCATACATAATATTCACAAATATGACCGTATTAGGTATTATGTTGTTGTTTTCTGCAATTTTATTAATCGATGCAGAATCGTCGTTAGATTATTTTTCGCTTAATCCATCTGCATTGAAGTTTACTTGCCAGGTTAGCTTTTTTACTATTACAGTATCTTAACCAATGTTCTCCGTTCGTTTACTGCTCAAAGTATAAAGTGCTATCTCGCAATAAATCATTCGGCGAGAATAGAATCCGTTTTAGCAAACACAAATGTAAGCTATCACTATCACGACTATTAGACTAACTGGAGTTTGTCTTAATATATCTATCACTGATACAGCTCAAATAATCTAAAATACCCTTATATATGCGATATTAAATCATTCAATGCATACAATAGCTTCGTATGACCCATAATACAAATCCCTGGCAAGATAATATCTAATCCTCTACTTACAGTTATGTCATCATGCTTTTGAAATCAAAAGGAAAATCAGATCATCACCTCTCCCAAAATCTGATATTGGCAATTCTCGTACCATTATTCACCAAGTTATTGCAATTAAAATGATTAAAATTGTAACTATGACCTTTACAGTTTCATCATAGCAAATTTTTTTGTCTTGGATTTTCATTATTTCATCTAATATTTCTAAACCCGATTTACTACTGCTAAATAATAACCTGACATAATGCATTGCTTTTACTTTCTTGTCAGTATTGGAAGCTAATACTTCTGTGTAGAATCCTGTCTTGTTCATAATTTACTATAGTAGTATTCGTCAAGTAATGCTGAAAAGCATTAGCTGGAATACCCCGAATTGATCATACCACTTGAGTAAAACTCCACATATAGATTTTAGTACTTCATACACGGAATAATTAATAAATTATCATTGTACTCGTTCAACTTTCTATAACCTGTACTTCCATATCGAACTAATTAATCATTAATGTAGCAAAATAGGTACAATATATGGATCAATTACCGGATAATTGCCATTTAGTAAATTAGCTTTCTCAGAGAGTTAGTTGTTTAATAGAACGTAATTATCCATTTATGGCTCAGATGTTTTTCAGGCGCTATTGCTAATTTGAGTTATGAAAATAATAAATACTGAAGTAGTTAACTGGCTTGTATTCTAGCTTGAATACTCTCGCTTGAATACAAGCGGTTCACATAATAACTAAAATACAATAAAATAAATTTATGATATTTGACCTAAGAAAATAATCAATTTCCAAAAGTCGCTCATCAATATGGACTTGATTAAAAGAATTTACTGAGTTCACCCTATTAGCGTGATTTAATGTACAGAGTATATAAAAAATTTCGCAAAGTTGCTCATATTTTTAATATCATAACAGCCTTTCCACTATCATTGCTAATAGCTTCAATTTCATATTTTCATATAATTAAAAAAATCAACAATATGCTCATGACTGGAAAGAATAGCATAAGAACGATGAACAATCATCACCAGATTAAAGCTTCTAAAATGATATTTACCGCAACCTTGGTATTTATGACTGTTACCATACCATTATACTGTAGCGTTATTCTGATCGGAACCTTCCATATAATATAGTTATGGCAGTAGCAAACAGCAATGCACTAAAAGCTTGGATAACTTTCTTTTCTCTTTTATCACTTATTAAATTGGTGCAAAATCCATTCTTGTTCGTTAGTTACAACAAAACCTTTCGAAATATCGTAATAGTACTCTTTAAATAATCCGTAAAGCTAGACATTTATAACACAAGTGATCGAAGTCAGAAATCTACGTTAACATTATAGCAGAGTATTTTATTAGCGATCGCGTATTTAGTAATGTAAAATAATTAGCATCCTTATTACATTGGCACATCTAAGATGTAACATAATGTAACACATTTCTACCATGTATGCAAGTAATAATTAGTACAGAAATTATTGTGGAACTTCATCAGTGCAATTATCTGTAGAATTTACACATGAATGGGATAAAAAAATTAATATGCATGCTATAATATAAAACTAACTTGGTTAAAATAACTTTGAAATCGAAAATTAGATATGCTATGAAGATTAATTACAAATCTCATCATGTATCAATCATGAGCATGATACGTAAAGATATATATGGGGCAAAAAAGTTAAAATAAGGATCGAAAATACTGATCAGATATGAATTTAATAACATCGTATATTATTTCTTCCAGGTTCGCATAAAGTATTATATAATGAATGTTAATTTTTAGAATTCTACTTCAAGTTTTTATATTGTACTTATTCTAGTTTGGTTTTTGTATCGTGATAAGTATTCTAGCTTTAAAAATATGACTTATTTGATTGATTATAACAGCATATTTTACTAAGTATCTTAGAATATTATAATGTAAATCCGACTGCTTTATTTAGGCTAGAATTCAAGATAATTAGTAGCATAACTTTTTCGTTAAAAATGGGATATTGTGAGATTGTAATTCTAACGTTGTAATAGAATATATATGTGGCTAATTTTGATTATTAATCATGGTAGAAGTTAATGTCATCTTATGATTTCATGCAAAATGAACCCGAATATTCGATCTGGGTTTCAATTTAAGACTGTTATTTTTTCTTAGTAGATACTGTAGAAATCTACAATATTAAGCTAAACTACGATTATAATAATTTAGTAATTTCCGTAATCTAGGGTAGAATTTATCTTTAATGTGTGTGTTTGATTTCTGGCTTTATTTGGAGTACTTTAGAATTATTCTTGGATAGTCTAACAGCATCAAGTACTCTGCGTAGCATATAAAAGGTGGCGCAGTTCGATAGTTTAGTGCAGTTGAAGACAGAGAAGACAAGAAAATTCTAGAATAACCGTGAATCCTATCATTAATTGATAATTTGTTTGGTTAAGGAAGTAGATTTGCCCGTATTTTGTTACTCATTTTAGAAATTTCGCTAAGATTATTATTGAGGTAATAATAAACTGGTGTTTCCCCCTAATTTAGTTTTTTCTGGACTTCAATTGTTGATAGTTTAATTTAACTTAGTTTTTTCGTCCAATATAGCATTACACTGTAGAATTATAGTAAAACAACACTTAAGTAATACTATGATATCATCCATTTATTGCAAGTTTAGCGCTATCAATTCTGTGATATTATGCAAATGATGTAGCATAGCTGCAACACTGATTTGATAAACGATAATCCTATATATAGGCATCAGCATGTCCTAAACCCTGTTGCTATGGCAATCGATTAGCGGACCCGCAGAAAGAATGTGTATTCGAAGGGCCCTACAGTATTCATTGAATAATTTGATTTCTCTCCGAACCTTTATAATTCACAATCAGAATGACGTCACAAGCATGGATAGTGTTGTTAGCAACATAATTTATTGATTTAAAGTACAGTATTTATGCATTTACAGTACAATAATTGTAATAGACAGTCATTGAGTAACTCTTTAATGATCCATCTGTCCTTGATACTATTGCAACTTGTTATTAGAACCGAAAATTATCACATACTAGTTCCAGTTGTAAGGCAGAGAAATTTAAATTAAAATTATAGTAGACTGATAATTACCGTCATTGAAAGACTATTTCGATTTATTAGGACAATTTTTGATCTTCATTGATTGTTATGGCCCAAGTTTATCCACAATCTCAACCTGGGTATGCTCCTCAAACTGGTTACGCCACTCAACCAGGTTATGGATCTCAACAGCCCGGCTACGGACAAGTCCCAAAACCAGGCTATGCGCCACAAAATACTTATCCGGCATCACCACAGCAACAAATTCAACAAGCGGGTTATCCTCCAGTTCAACCAGGTTATGGTCTACCACCAGGCGGTGTAGCCCAACAGCCAGGTTATGGAGGGCCATCATTACAGCAACGGCCAAGAGGACGACAGTCAGTTCAGTGGATGCCTCCACCGCAAGGACCACCGGGTTGTCCTCCTGGGTTAGAATATCTAACCCAAATTGATCAGTTGCTCATTCATCAACAAGTTGAAATTTTAGAACGTAGGTCATATCTAACTAATATCTTAACAAAACAAGACACTAAACGTTATAAATTCTCATCATCTTCATTTAATTGAGTTTGATTTAAAATTTAATTAAAGACGTACATATACACTCGCATATTATACACGACGATAAAATGCGTTTATGTAGTTACTAAAAGACCACATTACTAAGAAAGCTAAATTATTGTAAACGTTTTTAAAATTAATGAATAAGAAATATCGTGTTATTTTTGCATAATGTATTAGATCATGGATGAAAAAATTTTAAATTAATTCCAAATCAGTAATCTGCTATGGAAAATGTTAGTTTATTGTAAAAGATTATTAAACTTATTAGTTTGAAACCGAAGCTATGATAGCGCAAAATTTTCTAATATCTTCCCTTTAATCTCATAAACCTCATTACTTTCATTCATGATAGTTTTTACAAATATCGAAACCGCAAACAAGTACGCTGTCAAAAATACATTGGGACAACAAGTTTACTTTGCTGCTGAAGGTATGCCTTCGTTAGCATTAAATTTGTGGTATAAATCCGAAATTATCACCAATCTAACTTTTTCTACGCCTTTAAGACCTCAAGAGATAACTCTTCACTTGATATGGAAGCAGTAACAATATCTATATGATTATAATTGTTCCTTAGATAATGACTGTTGTACACTACAATGTTGTGGTCCTGCTCGCCCATTTGAATTAAGAATATTGGACAACTCTCAAAGGGAAGTAATTCATTTAAGTAGACCGTACAGATGTTCTAGCTGTTGCTGCCCATGTTTCTTACAAGAATTAACGGTGGAATCACCACCAGGAAATACCGTTGGCTTCGTTAAACAATCGTTAGTATTTCATTCATTCAAAATTCCGGCAAAACTTTAAAATAATTTTTTTCTGTTCAAAAGCAATTTAAGCATAGTATTCGTCATTACTGGGATCAGTCTATAGCGATCTGATCTGTTTTCTAAGTTTTCATTCAGTATCATGCATTGTAAAGGATAGACGTATATAGCACATATCTGCGATAATACCGTACAATTTGACCATTAGGTATCAGAATTTATAGCTGGTGGTAATACAACCTACATAATAAAAACAACTATTATAATTATTATTTATCAGGTGGTCACTTTTCACACCCGCATTCGACATTACCGATGCTGCAGGAAACACTGTCTTAACGATTGAAGGTCCTTGTTGTCCATGTTCATGTATGGGAGATGTTGAATTTGAGGTAGTGTACGCTAAGTTGTATGATAGCTTAATCAATAGCATGAATACAGTGATTTCGATTAATAGTACCTAACATATCTGAAAATAATTTACATCCGTCTCATAAGATAACTACTTAATCAAAAGGCATGAGTTGAGACCATAGAGTTAAGAAAAAAAAATAAATAAGTTACCAGCCCAGATATATAAATTAACTTAACGATCTATTCCTTACACCATTGCTATCACATTGTGCAGGTTAAGAGTAAAGATGGAGCAACAAAAGTAGGAAAAATTACAAAGCAGTGGTCAGGCCTTTTGAAAGAGGCATTTACTGATGCAGATAACTTCGGAATAACATGTAAGCTAAGATGTGCTTTTAGTATCATTATTGATCAGAATGAAGCTGATATATTTAAACATTTCTTATTAAATATTACACCCATTCAGTTCCTATGGATCTCGATGTTAAAGTTAAAGCAACGCTTCTAGGAGCCGTATTCTTAATCGTAAGTATTGTAATTGAGTCATCATAGTGTAGTTTATTCACAATGGCAGAAAATTTCGTATCTGTAAGCAACGATAGCATGCATTTTGATAATTAGTAACTAAATAAATAAAATTTGTAAACAAGCCAGAGTAATAATATTTTAACGTTAACTATTTTCGTTTTTAATAGGATTTCATGTATTTTGAGGAAGCTAATAATAATAACAAAGATCATCATGGAGCCCGTTTGCATGTTCATCATGATGTCTAAAAGTTGTAGATAAAATTATTTCGCTTCAGAATCATCAGATAAGATCCACTTAAAATGAAATTACACCTGGGCTATCTCTAATTAATTACTAATGTAGAAACTCAAACATTACTGATTTAGAATATTCTTAGTTAGCTTCTTATAAGGCTTAAAATTGTTACTCATCATAACATATCCATAGCTAGTAAAATTTAACAGTATATATAAAATATAACGAACGATGACCCTCTGGTCAAACGCTAGAAAACGAATTTCTATACATTTTTAGCACTATCTCAAGGCAATGTAGATAATTGCTTATTACTTATAAGAATATTTTTAGAGTTGCATATAGCGCTAAAATTTATGAGAAATTGAAATTTATCGATGAAAGAAAGTTGACTTTGCTTTCATTGAACTACACCAGCAAGAGCTTAATTAATTCTAAATTTGCAGCGATTGTCATCTTTATTAAGTTTAATGGGTGAAGCTTTTTATTGAACATTTAAAAACTACGAAAATGAGAGTATTTTTGCAAGTAAAAGTAGCATAATTAATATTTTTTAAAATCTAAGATAGTTTATTAATTTAATGCACAAGTTTGAGAAAACTGATATGTTGTCTATTTTTAATCAACAGAATCAACATCAGTTTTGAAAAATCATTACTTTTATAATCAAGTAACTTCGCGCTTTACAAATAATAATATATTATTCGTCTGCTAAATCGTGTGTAAACTTTCTTTCTCTCCATAAATCTTGCAGTGCTTCGTCAATCTTTCACTGTCATTCATTTAGCTTTAATTTTTGCTTAACGTTTTCCAACTAGTAAGGATTACTACTGTATAATTCTGATATTTCTACTTGCTCATGGAGGTATACTTAAAGTATTGAACAATTATAGATGGTGTAACACCTACTTTCCTTAAAAAATTCTCTAATTGTAGAATCATTTATATGCCACAATTTACTATTTCTCATTAAAAAACGCTACCTTTCCATATCATGCTGGGAATCTAAGTGTTGATCATATCAAATTGAAACGTAGAACACCTGTAAGATTTTGACATCAAAACATTGAGTCGTAATTATTGGGATTAGTAAGAAATATTCGCTCTTTACTTGCAGCTAATTTTCTTGTATGACTTCAATAAGACAATACGAGCATAGAGCATGTCAAGAATGGTACACATTTAGATATTAGTAAAACAAATGACTATGAAGTCTGCCAGCATATAGCATGTATGTGCAATAAGTTTCAAAATTAATATACAGAAATTTTATCGTTGGGCTTCATCAAATTTTATAAATTAATTCATCTGCCAAGAATCATTTAAATAGTGAAAAAAGATGCCTGTATTATTCTACAAACTTGCCCGTAAATACGATCTGTTAGGATTACTCTGCAGTATAGCGTGCATATTATATTACTCAATATAATTTAAAGTATTTTCAAATACTCTCTGAAATATTCCAATCATTTTCTCAAATTTATTACGACAGCTCTACCATACATTTTTATTAAGGCAAATTTTCAAAGTTTAGCAAAAGCAATCTTAAATACATAATCTAAATAAAGATATCTTTTACTTAAATGAGCGCTAATAAGTTAAAGTACTCTAAAGTTGCCCCAAGATTGCACTAATTAATATTATTATCCTTATTTGGCTGCGATCTTACGTTACGGTTTAAACTTGTAACGATGCCTTGCTAGACCTTTTTCAATTTTTCTAGTTCAATTTTAAAATTTACTGCCGCAATGCACAGCTATCATTCAAGCATTGAAATAAGACAATATATTATTACTTAGATAAATCCATTCCACGACACCGTTTCTTACAATGAATTCTTTTTCTCTGATTTCTGTAAAACCTTCTACCGTACTGTAAGACTGCTACCAAGCGACACTACTTTCACTACCTATGCAAATTAAGTAGAAATGCGCTTCCTGATATATTTGTGCCAAACTCCACCTGTGCAATCTGTTGATTATTTTCTTTCGATTTTATACATTTAGTCTAATACGATATTATAACAAGCTGCCACCGATTAATATCATTATACATCAATGTAGAAATACTATTTTCTACGAGAAATACATCCAGATACTGTACTCCTATTTTCAGTGATCGGAAGCTATATTAGCTACAGCTTTCATCATCTCACTAAATGATCAACTCTAATTTCGACCTCCTACAACAAGATCTAGATATCGAGAGTCTCGACGAAGACGGTTTCGAATCTGTATTGAAACACCATACAATATAGAACTCTTCATGGCCGACATTATGCACTACACTCAGGAGTAATATTGATTATAGCATCGACACAATATCGCTGCAGTATTCGTGTAGCAACCCTACAGTAGCCGCATAGTAGCCGTACAGTATCATTAAAAACGTATCGGTAACGGTAATTATGAATTTGATTAGGTAATCAACATCAGCATATGGGATAATTAATTAGCTCATTAGTTGATGACGTACAAAAAGACTGGCGGACGTTGAGAAGTCTAATCCAATTAATCTAGGGAACCTGATAGTGAAGCCTCTTTATTGCATCGAGCTTTTCCTGGAGAGGCTATAAACTAAAGTTACAAATAGGTAGTGTGCATGAATAGGGATTCTTAACTATAATCATAATAGGAGTAATAAAAAGAAATAAAAAAGATTTTGAGAAAGACAGCAATCGATTCTAATGAAGACGAGTGCTTGGTAACGATGCTCAAGTCGAATGAAAGCAAGGGATACAGCCGATTTAGTGATGTAGCAGTTAGAACTGGTAGCCATGGCAGAGCTGGAGAGCAAAGTCTTCATGATGCTGCCGCAGCGATAGTTCAAGAACCGCAAAATAATTTGCCTTTATCTTCTGGTAATTCGGATCCCGGTTTTTCTCCTGTTTTACCTTTCATTAATCAACAGCCAGGCGAAAGACCACAGCATGTAGAATGGATGCCTATGCCTGCAGCTACGATTGGTAATTGCTCGCCAGGATTGTCATATTTGCAGCCACTTCATCAATGGCTTGTTCATTATCAAGTCGAGCTATTTGAATGTTAGTGTAAATCGATAATTATATTTTAATTGATAAGTTCATTACTGTGGAAAGTAAGACCATAAATTTTAAATCCTTGTCCCATGGCATGAGCTTACTAACTTAATCAATCCGGTCTAAATTAATCAATGCCGATCAATTCTTACTGTATACATCCTTCAGTATTTGATTCTTGCATTACGTTAAAAATTCTTAATTCTAGAAAACTCTAAAGTTTGCCCTTTCATAAGTTTCTAGAAATTTTGGCGTGGCTCATAAATTCTCGGTTAAGAATCCATCCGGACAAGCGGTATACATGGCTGGTGTAGGTAAAAGATAAAAATACTACAGTTAAATTATTACACTATATTTAATTTAGCTAATTAATGTAATTAAAAACCGTTTAAATGAAAGCATTATTACATCATAGCAAAAAAGTTATAAAAATAACTGGAGCTTAAATATTTATTCCTTCACATTTCAGTTGAAGACTTTGTCGCTCGCTGTAATAGTCCAAGCCATTTGCATGAAGGGAGAATTTATGATGTAATTGAAGCAGAAATTATCCACTTTTCTTGGTCAGATCAATGTAAATGTTGCTGTTGTTGTCGCATGCCGGGTTACTTAAATGAAATCAAGGTCGAATCACCGCCCGGCAAACACTTAGCTACAATTAAGCAAACGTAATTTAATTCTACTTAGCAACTTATAATAACTTATCTAGGCTGTTTATTAGCTTTTCTAATTTCACTTCACTTGTTTTCTTTTATCGCCATTTATTCGGGCACGGTAAGATATCATTTAATTTTTCATCCGAAAGCAACATTTCAACTTTGCATTAGCTTCATTATCGCTACTGTTATTTAATGCAACTCATGTACCAACTTTGTAGTTTGCATCTTATCCATAATTAATTTATAACGTTATTTTCCATTTTAGCGCTTCGATGGCGTGTCCTTGTTTTGAAATTATGGATAATGCTGGTTACACACAGCTGATGATTCAAGGAAATAATGATATTCGTAATGGACTGAAAGATCCCAGAGACTTCATATTTGAGGTATTAAATTAAAGTAAATAATAAATAACCGAATCAAGCGAATTAGTAAATTCAAAAGTAAGAAAAATCAAGATAGTAAGAAAGTAATACAGTTTCCAAATAGCATTCTGATGAGTTACTACAATTGCAAAAGTATTTTTCATTTCACGCGACATATATAATAATTCTCAACCTTGCTAGGCCAATTTCCAAGCTGAAATGAGTATCTACAAGTAATTTTCGTTAAATGCTTAAATTTATTGCGAAAGGCTGGTTTTCAATTCATAGGCAGCTAAATAAAAGTGAGCATTCTTTAACAGGATTGACATTTCAAGCAGCAATAGAATGTAATATCCAGTTAAAGCAAAATATGCCTGAAGGATCAATAATTATGAATTACACAATTAGTTAAATAATAAAGTATAGTAAAACTAGCTCGTGAATTCAAGGGCTTGAAGCAGTAGTATTATTAGGCTGTTCTATTTTGAAGACCCTTCCCTTTGAGTAATGATGCAATTTATATCTTGTTCTTAACGAATATAATCCGATTGCATAGTTCATTTTGCATCAATATGACTTGTGATATTTAGTAAGCAATCTATACAGTAGAGATGTGTTATACTTTACACTGCTTTAATTTATTTTATTTTCCTCTGCATTTCGCTATAAAACTTAAAGCCAAGGCCTAATGGCTACTTAATTTTTAATAACGAAATCCGAATATTGTCGTATTAACAGACCATAATACGCTATACCGTAATCGTGAAATCTAGTAATTAAATAATAAATTTTCTATTACTATTTGACAATTATAATAGATTCAGTTGGCGAATAAAGATCAGTCGATTGGTTAGTTAGTTAAGCACTGGTCTGGTAAGAATGGCGATGCCTACCAAGATTTTTTTGATACACACGGTAATTGAATAATTTCTATATATCTAAAATATTACTTAGTTCGAGATAATATATGCTACCCTAGTTTTACAGCTAGATTTGGGTTAAAAGCCTTTATACTAACGATATAACTCAATTAATTCAAAGCGTGCATTTATCATGATACCTGATTTTTTAACTCATTGCCTATATGTAACTTATACTCTAGTTTCGGTCGATTTGGACATAAACTTGAAGGCAGCACTCCTTAGTTTGGTTTTATTTACAGTAAGTCAAGCCTATATCTTAAACTACCTTTACTAATAAAACTTTTATAATCAGACAGATAGAATATATCTAAATTATTATAACTACAGATTTGCGATTAGTTACAATAAACTACATTACATTAGTTTTATTTATGTTGACTGCTATATGATTTGTTTAACTTAGGATATAACAATGTTCAGAAGAAAAATTACAACCGTATTTCGTCATTAATATGAGGTTGATATTCACAAAATGCGTATTAATTTTAGCCAAAAATCCATGAAAAATCGCATAAGAGACCTTTAGAATATGTATGATTTATGCAATTAATTAATGTTGAAAGATTTATCATTTTTGCATTACTATCGCTGCTTTAAGGCGATCTTAATTTTTGAGGATAAGAAATCATTAGCATCAAAGTAGTTACTTTTTACAGTCACATAAATTTCAGTATAATTGCAGTGAATTGTTCCTAAACAATTCGTAAATAGCTTCTTTTTATTCTTATTTCTGATCATTTAAAACTTTCATGTTTTCGCATGAAGCTATAAACTTTCTATATTCCAAGTTAATAAATTATGAAACTATGTTAATATGGAGCTTCCAGGTCGATATTTTCAGATAATTTCATTTCCTGAAAAACTGAACAAATCATTTTACTGGTTTAAAGTATATCTGGCACTAGAACTTATCTAATAGTATTTCCGGAAAATATTGATTTTTACAGAAATATTACCATTGAAGTAAACAGTGCAGTCTCATGTACTGTACTTTAACGATATTTTTATTATAAAGAAAATGGACGAATATAATTCTACCTTCGATTTTATTGCAGCTCTTCGATATAACTTCCCAGAATTAATTCTTAAGTAGTCTGGTTATGCCTCTTATCTTATACGTTAACAACACTGCAAAATCTTCGCACTAAACTCAGAATTAGAACAGATGCACCTCCTATCAAAACTTCCCCGCAGTTTAGCAGAACACTACACTTAGGTTACCATAACCAATTATTTCAACTACTCAATCATTTCTTGAACAGCAGTTAATAGCCTGAGATTGAATCCCAACAATTTTACTATATATTACTTCTTCAATTGTACTTAAAAGCAAATCTTAGTACAAACATTTATCTAACAGTAAGATACAGTATACGCCAAATGCAAGTAAACTGCAATGTTAGGAAGAAATTGATATAGCAAATGTGGCTTTTGCTCCATATAAATCCCTACTGAGCATATTTGTATAACGAAGGTTAAATCATTTCTGCAGTCATGGTAGAGTCTAAGTTGGTAAGCTTTTAGACCCAAAATCAATTCTTCGTCAAACTGTGCTATATACTGTACTGTAATTTAAAATCATTCTTTTTATTTTATTACCTAAAAGCTAAAATTTCACCTATAAAGATTACATAATAAAGTTAATGCAATTGATTTCATATTAGCAGCTTCTCGGAGTAAAAATAGCATGCTTAGTCATGGTATGGTATCAACCAATATCTGATATAAATTACATTCCTTATCCATCTTATTTTATGAACAAAACAGTTTCGTAAAAGTCAGTACCATCTAATCTACTAATTATACAGTTTTCCAACCTTCATCAAAGCTTAAGGATTCCGTTACATACAGTAAATTCTGATCTGTCGATCCTGCAAATGCGATATACTTTTCTTCATATATTATTCTGCTACCACTACCGTTGATGAGCCATATACAATTATGTAGATCTCAGGAAACGTATTCGTAGAGTAAAGGGGAAAGTTTCTCCATTCCCTCTGTAAGACACAAAACTCCCTGTCGGCATATGACCTTATAATGTATTTGTAAGAGCTGAAATCGTAGGCCCTCTAAAGTTACAATAACTTAGTCCTTCCCTACATACTGTGTATTTTTGCTTACGTTATGTATGCAATTTGCATCATTGAAAGGTCTGATTTATCTATTAGCTAGACGAAAGAACGCACAGAATAGTTGTTAGAGAAAATCTCTAAAACGGCTGCATAAGAAGGTAAGATTAGAAGGGTGTGCTTCAGTATCTCAAGTGAGCAATTGACCAATCTACAATATCTTTATTTCAGGGTAAGCCATATACCATGTTTAAATGAGCATAAATTTTAATGCTCGACCATCCAGGAACAAATTTTTCATAAGCTAAGCTACAATTTTTAGATTTGATTGGCAAATATTGGATTCTATAGCTTAAGGTTAAACTTAAACTCCAAGACTGAACCATATCACTAATGCGTTAAGTTCATCATGCAACACGTAACATTGTTAAATATATTTACTGAATCCGATAAACTAAACATTAAACCCTATTCGCCTAACAAGGGTTTTCTTACTGTCTACCATTTCCTTCACATAGCACACAGTCGAAATCAGTTAGCACTAATTGCCATAAAATCCATGCATCCAATATTTACGACAAAAAATCTAAATTGTAACTGTACTTCGAAAGTTTCTGAATATAATGTTATTAATGCTTTGCACTCACAGCTTGCTATAAAGCTATTACTTTGGTAGCTCTAAAGGATCGATCTGCATCACAACCTATTCATTAAGATAGAGGCCACAAGGGCCTATTTCGAGCCTGGAAAAATGATTCAAAATTCTAACACAACCAGTTTGAAGAAGGTTAGTCAATTACTGAGCTACCACTCACCCAGGAGAAATCGCAATAACGTAATTTTGCTTTTTGACTCTAAGATCAAATTCTCTTTGTTAAAAAACGTCTTACTAAGCTTAACACTATCATCGGACTTCAAGTTTAATCGCATATTTTTTCTTATCTTTATTGCAATAGAAATCTTAAACGATTAATATATTATCATCTACAACATACTATCATGTCTGAACTACTACACATACTGACTTTTCTTCTACATCCGCATTTAATATTTCAGATAATCTGCATAAATGAAGCAAGTGTTGAATTTGCGATAGGTGATGTATTGCTAACCTAACAACATTTTCTTATATTTACAGCTAAATAATGAAGCTTTGATTCGTAAAAAAAGTATAGAGATTTCGCGGTCTAAACCAGTTGTAACAGTTAAACATAACAGACGCTATACCACAGACCAGCTACAAAAAGCTTTAACAGCAATTAAATTTGGCATGCCTATAGCTAAAGCTTCAAGAGCCTATAATATACCGGCAAGTACGATTCGAGATCATATGAAAGGCAATAAAAGGAGAGTCGGTAGACCATCAGAACTAACTCGTGCTGAGCAAAATGTAATCTCGGATACATTTAGTCAAATATTATCCTGGGGTTACGAGTTGGACTATTTTGAAATTCGAAAAATAATTAAAAATTATCTTGATATGAACGGAAAAACTGTTGAGCGTTTTCGAAACAATTATCCAGGCCGAGACTTCGTTACTTCATTTATGACAAGGAATAACTTACGGAATAGACAAGCAAAGAACACCTTGCCGAGTAGACCTACAAGGAAAATGAAAGCGATTAAACTTGCCATCGATAAGGAATGCGAGTATATATCAGATTTTTATCTGAGGCTGGAAGCGGTGGGCGATATTGAACGTGAAAACTTATTCAATTTTGGCGAAATCATTATCCCAATTGACCCGAATATGAGAGAAGTCATCTATTATAGAGGTACACGTAAAATTGAGTTAGTTAGGGACCATATTAAAAATAGCACCCATGTATCAGTAATGGTTTGTGGATCAGCGACTGGAGAATGGCTACCACCTTTCGTTTGTTATAAGTCCCCCCATTTATGTCCTTCATGGACACTTGGTGGACCACTAGGCACTATCTATTCAAACACTGAATTAGGCTGGTTTAACATGAACACTTTCCAGCAGTGGTTTGAATGTATTCTACTAGCATACACTAAGGATCGTCCTGGGAAAAAGCTTGTTATTGGTGATAGCATCAGCAGTCATTTCTCACCACACCTAGTCCAGTTGGCTCGACAAAATAGTGTATGCTTTGCATATCTGTCCAGGAAGGCATTTAATCTAAAGCAGCCCCTAGATCATATTTTTAAATCATGCGAAACAGCATGGAAAGCTATATTGTCTAAATATCTGAAAGAAACGCATCAGGGAAATAGCACAATCATGGTTCACTTTCCCAAGTTGTTGAACGACTTATGGAACCAATTAAACCCAGATATGGCCAATTTTTTGATTAATGGCTTTAAAGCTACTGGGTTATATCCTCGAAATTCAAATGCTCCTTTACAGCTCTTGCATTCTGAAATTTAATTGGTTATTTCTTCTAATGCAATTAGAAAAGGTTTAGATTATACCTCAACCGAAATTATTGACAAAAAAGAAAATCAGAGCCAGAATCACCATTAGCCAGTGATTTCTGAAAGAAGACGATTTTAAATGAATGAATTAATTTATCCAAAGACATCATAACTAATTAACAAGGCAAAGGTGTATCAAATAGCAATTGAAAAGATCCAAATTGAAATCTTAAACAGATTTTTGATTTGCTCACTTTGACAGAATGGTCTATAATAGCCCTAACGAGGTAAAAGTTCTCCCACATGTTTTCCAATTGCACCGGCTTACGCTGGATCCATTAGAAACTATATGAATCATGCTTGAATACTTAACTATAAAAGTGGCCGACAGAATTAGAATCTTTAAACGCTTGCCTGTACTTCTCTGATTCTAAGCATAAATGTCTTTTAAACCTTCCTACTTGTTAAAGACGAACGTGCTACAAAAAATCTCGTAAAATTCGTGACACTGTGTTATTTATCCACCGCAAATATTGGTATACCAATACCCACTTTGCCTCTACATATAATTTAATTTTTCGCGTCTATTTCCAGTACTGAGTAACGATTGCTATAAGCAGACACAGCTAGGATCAGGCATTGTACCGTAGTTTCATAATCTTTAGCAACTTCTATCTTTACATCGATTAATGAAAAAACAAAGTACCTTAAAATGAAATCATACACGATAAACACTATTAACCACATCTGATTCTTACTAGCAAATATTCGTGTAACTATATTAACTGAATGAATATTATGTAAGGAGAATCAGACTTATATGTAAAACTACGAAAGTAAAGCATCTTAACGCATTAACAGAATCTGTAAAAATTACCACGGAATTTAAATATAGAGATCTGTTTACCACAGTAACAATGCAGGCATTTGAATTATAACATTAATAAGGTGTGCTATTAAAATAATATTAAAAACGTTACATTTTGATGTTTCGATTTTTGATTTGTTCACGTTGATGTGGTGATTTATAATAACCATAGCAACACAAACATTTTCCGACATGTTTTCTAATTGAACGGGCTTTCGCTAGATCGATTATTAACTTTATCAATCATGAATATCCCAAAACTTGGTTAAAACAACGGCCAACAGAATTTGAACTTGTAGTACTTATCATCACTTCTCTGTCACTGGTTACATCGAATAATTACTAATTGAATATCCGTATAACCACATCAACTCAGTGAAGATTACCCAGGGAGAATCAATCATTAATGCCAAGCTACGAAAGAAAAGCATTTAAACACGAAAATAGAATCAGTAAAAGTTACTACGCAGTTATAAATATAAAGATCTAATTACTACAGTTACATTGCAAGTACCTGTTTTATCATAGTATGTGGAACACTAGTAGTAAGGTGCTTTATTCATTGAAATAATATTAAGAACGTTACATTTCGGTGTTTGCGTTAAAATTCTTTGCGAATAGTTGCCAACTAGTATTTATTAATAAAAATTTATAAGAATCATGATCACTAATATTCGTACGAAATTTAGAGTGCATTCAATTATGTACTTGAACGCTAATCTTAAAAAGGCCAATTACAATAAGCTCAACTACAGGAATTCGATAGTTTTATTTATTAATTGTGCCAAAGGTAAAAATAAAAGCGGTTAACACGTATTTGTTTAAGATGTATTGCTAATGCAGTTAAGTAATAGAAAGATGAGATAAAATTTTGCTAATGTGTTACAAATTACCTTTCTATATTATAGTGACTACCATATAGTAAGACTTGTTAGGTAAGAAGAAATTCTTACTAGACTCTTTTGATATTAGGTTCGTTAATTAGTGTCCAGATATCATATCACATTTTAATACAGACTATTCAAACAAGGATATTGTCGATATACTATCACAAGTGTATAATTACATAAATGTTAGCGTAGATAATTATTTGCTCCCGAATGTAGCATAGCTCTGCAGTGCAGCGAAATATATAACTAAGATACAAATATGGAAAAATAGCATGATAGTCTGATATTAGAAATCATTGGTTTCATTCTAAATTAAAATAATACTTGAAGAATTTTTATCAATTTCGTGATATCGTTTATCTATGCAGATACATACTTACTTTACGTTCACTATTATAAGCCTGAGAGTTTCATGATTAATGGACTCGTATAGCAGAGGGGATTGGTTGATAGGTCAGTTTTTATAAGTTTGTACCATCGTCTCGAATAAATTTAGCTTTTAATATTACATTATCCCTAATTTTTTTACTGTCCTTAGTGCTTGTTTAGTGAACACTGTAATAATTTCTGTGGTCGTAATATGAGTCATGCTTTTCCTTAAAAAGACAATTATTAGCGACAATTGCTAAATCAGACATTTTGTATAATATCTCATTTAGTAAATTGCCATTAAATTGCATGTGTAATGTACATGCTGTCACACATTGAATTAATGCTTCGCCATGTATTAGCTTGTGCACTTGTGCAGTTTTGCAACTTATTTTATGAAGTCGTAGAGCAATGGAATTTTACTAGAGTATTATAGCAGTTCTCATTTGATATATTTCTATGATTAACAGTCATAGAGTACCTATATTCGGTAGTCCATCTAAATTTCGAAGCCAGAACAGCATCTGTAACAGTATTCTTAAGATTAAGCATATTACATTAAGACTATGACTAAATATTATTAGTATGAAATCTCTTATCGCAAATCTAAAATGAGTTGCTATAACAGTTAATCCTAGCATAAATCTTATCTAGTAGTAAAATATTCACCTTAAGTAAAGTTCTTGCTAGTAAACAGCAATTTTATGATCTAACAGATATCGTAAAGACTGCTATTAGTCGATATTAATCTTCCTGTACAGACCCGTATTCGCATGGCTTTTGTGTGATCTATTACTGGACTTTTGGTATAGTATGAGTTGGCAAGTTTTTAACCCTGATTTTAACTAATCGTTAAACTGTATGTATATGGTACTTTAAAGTCCTTCTTTTCATCCTTAATGTTTTAAAGTTACACTGCTTATGCTAGAAAGGTTAAATAATGAAGTTAGTGCAATTAATTTTGTATTAGAAGCTTCTCTGAGAAAATATACGACGCTTAGTCGTGACCTCATCTTGCATCGATCATTCTTATTTTGTAAACTATCGCCAAAGTGGCCGCTTTAATCTAATAGTTCAGAGATTAGGAAATTACGTATATTACAGAGAGAGCACAAGTAATTCTGCACCGAAATAAATGTACAATTTGGTTTTATTGTACTCCTTATAGTTAATTATAATTACCAAAATACTACTGACGTCCAACAAAAAGTATCTTAAATGTTATGAAAGGAGCAATATCTAATTTAATGTTTACCTTGTTCCGTATTTTAGAAATGGCTAACAAAATCTCGCAAAGCTCATAGTATGCTATCATAAAGGAGCTTTACTCGGGCGACAAAAGCTATTTGAATCGTTTTGCAGTTGACATTTTCAAAACAAATTTCAAAATTTACACTAATTTCACAGGTAAAGTAAAAAGTGCAAGTACAGTACCTATACTACGCAAAGTACAGTACTAGGTAACGAGTGCGGTTTTATTAATTTCCAATAGTAATGATCTACAGCTAGATATTATAAAACAAGATCAATAGCGGATGCAAGATCTCACTTGAGTTAGCAAAATCGCTTCTTCCTTCTCCTTTAATTCAGTTAAATTAGTAGCTAATTAGTAGCGAATGAACGAAACAACACGAATTGTTCTTTTGTTTGCAATTTATTTCCTTTATCAAACTTAGTAGATGGATACATTTTACATCCAGTTTTAGATAAGCAGATGCTGCTCTATTCGCAAAGCATTATGTCAATATTATTACCTAATAAAGTAAATAAATGCATTGCTGCTTATGCATGCATCATAACAAAGGCCTACAATCCTAATAGGTTAAATTAGGAAAGCATTACGTCATTATAAATGTGAGACTATGTGAGACTATAAACAGTAATACGTAGGATAACTACCGTTTGAAACTATATCTTCAGTGCATTACTTATAGTTAAATTTACATACACATGCGTAGTTAATGTAATAGCTTCTTAATAACATAGTTCTCCTTTGAACTGACAAGTTCACGAAATTACTCTAGCCTAGCACATTTTACGTAGACAACTTTGGTAAGTACGGTAACTTTGGTCGGCACTTAAATATACGCTCTATATTAGCATTGATCATATAATTAGATCGATAGTTTTAAAGTTGAAAGATATAGAAGCTGCCAAATAATTTATCAATTTTAGTAAATCGTAACTGAACATATCAAAATACTAGGAATAGGTTTTAAAATTACTAAGTACAAGAGCTTAAAATTTTCTTATTAGTCTATGTTGTTGCAGAAAATAAATGAACTTCTTGTATTTCACGATCAGATGATTTCATGATCTTTTTCTAATTCAGAATTATCTTAAAATCAAAAGTTTTGATCTAGTTAGAAGACAAGTTTTAAAATCATGCAGGCAACAACTCAATTGCCAGTTGATCCGCCCCAGTATGTTAGTAATCCAAATGCATTGCAGCCGACAGCTAAAGTATACAGATTGCCTGAAGAAGTGCGCCACAAATCTTACTCCCTCGGGGTCATTCTAAGCGTCTTTGGCTCAGTAACAATGATCATCAGTATCCTCGGTTTCGCTCTTACCTCCAGATACACAATCCTATACGCTAGCGGTGTAAATCTATGGACAGGATTATTTGTAAGTATTTACAGAAGCTATTGACAATGTACCTTGTTTCTATACAGTACTTACTCCAATAATCTCAAGCAAATGATCGTTGTTAACCACATGTATATTGCATAACAGAGTTTACCTCATGCAATTCCAATATTGTCACATTGAAAGTTGCATCTCGATTAATTACCAGAAACTCATCATGTTAATTTCAAATAAATGGCTTCTCTAATTAACTTTTGCAATTTATGCATGCACATTTTTAGTATTTGCTATCTGGAGTGTTTGGGATCCTAACCTACAAGATTCCAATTAATCCTCACTTGGTAAGAACACACTAAGAACGTTTGCTTCTACTTAGTAGACAATCCTATATTAAAGTAACCAATTTCATAACTTAAATTTACTTTAACTTGATTTGATACATATTATGTACGGCATATCTTTTGCCCTTTCATCTTCTCCCATCGGTTACTCAGAATGATCTTTCCTCATATTTTTTACAGATGCATAATTATTATGCCTTTTCGTTTTTGGCCTTTTTATCCTCCTTTATTCAGCTCCTATTCGCTATTCTTACCATTACAGGATACTACGGTAATTCTTTATGGATGATTATCATCACATTCTCTTTGTCAGGACTCGGAATAGCTCTATCAATGGCTGCCATTATCATACTATCACATAACATCTATTGCAAAGGCTGTGTAAGTAACCATTTTACTTCAAATTTCATCATTAATGATTTCGAAATATTTAAATCAAATCTTGCTTGAGAAATACATTCCCGTAGTTATTTTTTCAGAAACTTCTATTCTAACAAATTTTAAGATTTTAAACCAGTCTCAGAAAATATTATTGTTTACAATTAGATATAAAAAAATTAAGATCATCAAAAATGCTACCAATTACATTATCCAACAATTTGATGTATTTTAAAAGTTATTCAATATGTTTCTTTCTGTACTCAAATATCCACATTCTCCAACTGATATTTAGACATAAAGCATTTAGAAAGATTATATGATTTAAATAATTGATTCCCTGAAGGATATAAATAAATGCAATTCCTCTTTAATATAGAATAATAGTGATTCAAATGAAATTCATTACCCTCATTTTTGAAATCTTACTTGAACTTATAGTGTTATATAACCGGCGATTCTACCTCACATCTTCCTGTACAGGGTCAAACAGGTTCGTAGACAATATTAAAAATAAGTAACCTAACCCTTTTATAGATGCAACTTTCATAATCTAAAAGCATAACTCGTAGAATTAAGTGTTTATTATATTAATATAATCGTTCGAGTCCTGCATATTAATAAATTTAATGTAACCATATCGTAGTTTAATATTTTATATTTTAAAGTATAAATACGATACAACCTGCATCATTCATGACTTAGTCAAAATTGGTTCATTCTACCCTTACTAGCTTCATTATACTTATACTAATACTTGTATATTATATTTCAAAATTTTAAAATTGATATTCGTTATGAAAATGTAATGAATGGTAAAAATAGTTTATTTCGACAAGAAAGCAATTGATAATTTCCTTCAAAGCAAAGATAATAGTGAATAATACCTAACGTAGATTTTTACGCGTGCAAACAGGATGCTTATTAGTTAAGATTTGAGATCAGTTCTCAAAATAAAGTAAGAACGCGGCCGTAAGTTAAATTCGCAAAAGATATTCACCATTAATTCATTGACTTTTCTAGTTCACGTCGTACAACCGACCGTACAGCCTGCTACGCAAAATCAAGCCGTCGTTCAGTCTCCTAGCTTGCCTACTTATGGTGCTATTCAATATACTGCAGGCATTATGCAACAGCCCGCTATCGCTAATAATAATACTGGTACAGAGGGCCAACAACAATACCAGCCATCATCTAGTAAAGAAGAAGAGGCTTTAAATAATGATAGCTCCATTAAGACATTGCCAGCATCCAAGTCATAGACTACCAGCAAACGATTTACTCGGAAGTAATAAAATTTGGTACTAGTATACCCGTTATAAATAGGCTTACAAGATATGATATTGCAATTTAAATCTAATGTAACGTACTAGATCGTCGATTCGATCAGACAGTATAATAGTTTGCGACGGCATAAAAGCAAACTATTCTACTTGGACTAATTGTATTTAAAAGTTGGCTAATGAAATTATGAATAATATCAGCGTAAATTATATTATTATTTCGTGCAAACTTATTAATGTAATGAAATCCTTCATGATTGCGTTCCTTTGATCAAGAAAGATTTTAGAATTAATATTTTCATAATAATTACAAACATATCCTGATGCGAAGTCGATCATTTTGCAAAATGACCGCAACAAGTTCTCTCCTGTACATTTCGAAAATAAAATGATGGATATCACTATACTTCGAACCTTTTATTAATCTCATCTGCTAATCCATTCTATACTGCTACTGAATGTGAGAAATTAGAAAAGAAGTCAATAAGATTAACGTTAAGATTAGATCAGTACGATACTGTCTTACAATGGGGAAAAAATTGTCTTTCCAAACAATTAGCACGTTAATACAATTACGTGTCACATTATGTTGCCTAATTTGTATCATGGGTGCATTATTTAGATGAAATAAAAGGATAAAAAAATATGATAAAGTAATGCCCAATTGATGGTATTTAACATGTGTCCTATTGTACAATGTACAGTCCCTACATTACATAGAATTAAATTGGGTAGCATTATGATTAATAATGTAGCTGTCATTGAGCTTACTGTAGAAAGCTAGTGAAATCATTCGATCTTAAACGGCATTATCACGTATAATAGGAACACTATGAGAATGATAGCTTGAAAAATAGGCACCATTTTTAGAGACCCTTAGAGCGTCTCTAGGCATCATCATAAGTACACTATTTACATAATTTTTTAGGTGAAGACAAACGCGCAGATGTAGTAAATTTGTCTGTACGGTTCTAATGACGTAATTCGTTCATGGTCCGTATTGTACAGGTTTTATAGAGACTGACTCAATCGCTGCTGTTATATATGTTATATATATATATACACGTTCATATATACAACTCGTGCTTCACCTGTTTTTGACTAATATCTACATATGAATTTTAGTATGCTGTATGCGTATTATAGTGTACCGTTATAACGTTATAACGGTAGTTAAAATCATGATATGGAATGTCACCGACGTCAATTATAGCTGTTGCATAGTGGATTGGAATTGCTTCGGAAAACATAAGTTCGAAGCTGGGCAGATACTTAGATTCGCAAGTTTAAGCGATTGAAGTTCAGTGAAATTAACCTGCTTGACTGCAACCATCTCCTAATGTCACCATTGGTGAGAGACCAAGTAACATGATCAGCAGGCAAATCCCGATAAAACTTGCAACACTATGAGCATTAATGTGCATATATAATGATTATAAGTTTTAAAAATACTTCGTTGCTAAGGCCATGTGTACTTTAAATACAGGATAGGCTACCATTCACGTGCCGAAATTAGCTATGTAAATTGATTATTAATGTTTGAACAGTCCAGCTTGGTATCACAATCTGCTTCTAGAGAGCATAGCAATCAAGACTTCTATACGATAATCATCATTCTATCCCTCCACGACTACATAGAATTAAAGGGACCACTTTCAGTAATTCTGGAATACTAATTCAAAATTAATTGATATCGAATAGATTAAGTGTTACCTGCTAAATTTAACTATTCTCAGTGAGAATCTAAATACCTTGTTCATTACTAGATAAAGAGTATATCTAAAGCGAGTATCATGCTAGCAGCGACAACTGTCCGACCAAATGTTCAAGTAAACACTCAACAATATGTCTCTAACACGAACGTACCGCAAAAACGTCGTAAGGAATTTAAACTGCCTGAACAGCTTCGCTATAAGTCTTACGTTCTCGGAATAATACTAACTGTATATGGCTCTATTACTATGATCATCGGTATCCTTGGTCTTATTTTGGTCTATAGATACACCTTCATATACGCTACTGCTGTTAATCTTTGGGCAGGCTTATTTGTAAGTAATTTGTAATTTGTAATTTATTTACTACGTTTTCGTACTCTTACAATTATGAAATTTCTCGTTTTGATATTATCATCGATATTGCTAATTGACGGAAAAGCCTCTAAGAAATTAAAATTCACATGCGATTAAATTCTATACGACTTCGTAATAGTTCGCTAAATACTGTTATTAAATAACGTACTTAGCTTACATACAACTAGTTTAGTTTTCTCCTTAGTAACTATTATTGATTGTCTGCATATCTACTATGCGACTAGTTTGAACAAGATTGTGCTTTTATCACGTTTGTTACAGCCTCTTTTAGCAGGAATATTCGGCATTCTATCATTCAAGATTCCAGTCAATCCTCATTTGGTAAGAAAAAACTAAATGTCTAGTAGTACATCTAACAGCTAAAATCGAACAGCTAATGTTACTAATACTGATATCGTTTCCTTCCGTGATAACTTGATAAGAATCTCTAGCATATTCTTATATCTGCAGCGATCACATTACCTAAGTAACAACGCAAAACTTATTATTTACACTTTATCTTTAACTGTCATAGATGCACAACTATTACGCCTTTTCACTTCTATCCATTTTATCTACTGGCCTGCAAGTAATATTTGGCGGTGTTGGCTTTACAGCCGACTACTTTCGTAGATCGATATGGTATCTTATTGTAACAATTTCTCTTGGAGTAATTGGTCTCATCCCATCATTTGCAGCAATGATTATACTCTCTCATAATATATACTGCAAGGGCTGCGTGAGTACCGTCATTTAAGAAATTATATAATTAAAATAAATATCGATAATTAAATACATTCGCCAGTTTTTCCATGGCTATGTTGTCAGATATTATTATCTCATATCCGAAAACATAATATCTCTGATTATCATCTGTTCTTCAACTTTACTGTAAGCTAGATATTTCAGTAATTGCTAGCAAGCATATCTGCTTCTCCGTATAACAATTATGAAACGATACAACAGTAAAAGATAGTCTCTAAACTATACAGTGTATATTTGCCACCTCAATTTAGATGATTATGGTAACTTTAAATGATTATCCTTAGTCTTTTTATTTTTATCTTGTAATATTTCTTTTTCCAATATACTGCAAACAACTACACATAGTGCTACATAACTGGTGAATCGTCTTCTCATCCCGCACAACCAGCAAGCGGTTAGTATATTATCTGTCATAAATACAATTCTATCATCTCAACAGACAGTCTAATATGGGTATACATGTAAGCCAGTGTCATAACGAAGTGAAGTCATCGCCTTTTATTTAAATCATTTATATTCTAGTTCAAGTCTTTCAGCCATCCGTGCAACCAATGGGCCAAAATCAAGTAATAGTTCAATCTTCAAACTTACCACCTTATGAAGTAGCTCAATATACACCAGCAGGGCCACAACCTGTAACGATTGGTATGGTTCAATCTTTGCCTCAACAACAGCAGCCTTCAACCCAACCTAATCCTAACAACTACCCCAATGACAAGGAGTTCGTAAAAGTATCGCCAAATCCTACATTCTAAATAACTGATTTCAAAATTTCCATCGTGGGCGACAAGAACAGCCTGTAACAGAATACCGTAATGCAGTACTAGAAATTTACTCAACGATTTATTTAGGCAATCAGTTTCCAAGCCTTCTTTGTAAGACTTGTATCTTGATTACCTTGGCTTAGAAAGACTTCCTATAAATTTCAGCTTCGGCTCGAAAATAAATTATAATTAGTTTATTATTCTTGTATTTCTAATGTCGACAGGTACATTAATGATTGTCATTTTTAGAATACATATATTTCAGTGAATATAGACATAAAATAGAAAGTATTTAATTTAATCAAAACGTGAAAGCTGACTATTATTCACACTAGTATACATGTAATTCGTTCGTAACATTAGGATTTAGTAACTAAACTTTCGTGGCAGTTTTGTAAAATTCTAAATCTCCGCAAATGAAAAGATCATTAATAAAGAGTAAATTCTGATATAGAATTAATGATAATTATTATATTTACCATTGGTATCTAATTCGAAAGTTTACAGTATCACTGTGAAGAAATAGCTTTAATTAATGAAGCTTAGCCAACTCCTTGACATTATAAAATTTGAAAATACGCTGTATAGCAAGTTATTTAGTTAGGTCTCGTGGAATCATCTATAACAAAACAGGCCGAAAGTTTTGACAGGCAAACTGAAGTATTGCATGCTTAGTCATTTGGAAACTTGATTCTTAGGTGCAGTCTTTTATTACCGTAATTTGACTGTCTCAGTAATTAACAGTTTGTCCATTTTATCAGTTCAAAATTGTAGTATTTGTAACAGATCCATTCGTTTAAATTCTTAGATTACGTAACGTATATTCCGACTTCGGCTAGCAAACAGAACATGATCTAATTTTATTTCTTACTTTTTCTATATCCGCATGTTGCTGTAATTCAATAATAAATTTTTATTGTTCCCTAGCATTCGATTAAATATAATTTTAAACTATTTCCCCTAAGTTTAAGCCATGCTGACTTGGTAGCTTTAGAAGCATCCATTCTCAAAATAATGTTCTTCATGGCCTACATTTTATAGATTTTATTATAGGTTTTTAACTAAAATGCATACCTTTATTACTGTAGTCAAGATCTATAGCATAGAATAATACTGATATCAAATTGTAACCATTATACAATCAGTTCTAAAGGCATAAGTCCTGAAAGGCTGACAGTTAGATAGGTAAATTCAACAGATTGAAGTTAAATGTAACGGAGCACTCCTAATCTAAGCTATCTTCGAGCGTTGCCGTCTCTAATAAAGCAAGGAATATTATCTAGAGTGCCTCTATTAACTAGGCAGTTAAAATAAGGAAATTGCAGTGAAATTGCAGCAGTGTTTGCATTAATTGGTATCTTAGCTACAAATTTTAACAAAAATTTGTTGCTAAGACCCGCTATACTTCAAACATTAAATAGGTTGCCATCCACATGCCAAAAATAGCTATATAAATTAATTATAAATTATTAATGCTAAAATAGTCCAGCCCAGTATTGCAATCAGCCTCTAGAGAGGATAGCAATCAAGATTTCTATAATCATCATTTCACTGCCCCGCAAATGCAAGATATTACCGAGATCACTTACGTGTACATTAATTTCGTAATACTTGTCCAAAATTAGTTGTTATCGAATAGCTTAGGTGTTACCTGCTAAGTTTAACTATTCTCAGTGAGAATTTAAATACGTTGCTTATTAATATAAGAAGAGTATATCTAAAGCCAGTATCTTGCTAGCAGCGACAACTGTCCGACCAAATGCTCAAGCAAACACTTATCAATATGTCTCTAACACGAACGTACCGCCAAAACGTCGCAAGGAATTTAAACTGCCTAAACAGCTTCGCTTTAAATCTTACGTTCTAGGAAAAATACTAACTGTATATGGCTCGATTACTATGATCATCGGTATCCTTGGTCTCATTATGGTCTATAGATACACCTTCATATACCCTACTGCCATTAAGATACATTTACTATGCGACTAGTTTGGACAAGATTTTGCTTTTATCCCGTTTGTTACAGCATCTTTTAGCAGGAATATTCGGCATTCTAACATTCAAGATTCCAATCAATCCTCATTAAGTAAGAAAAAACTAAATATTTTTAGTACACCTAACATTAAAAAACGAATAGCTAATATCATTAATTCTAATGTCATTCCTACCGGGATAATTTGATATGAATCTTTAGCATATCCTTTCGTCAGTAACTAGCACACTACCAAAGTAACAACGCAAAATTTATTATTCATACTTGCATTTAAACTATCACAGATGCACAACTATTACGCCTTTTCATTTTTATCCATCGTATCTGCTGTTATGCAAGTAATATTTGGTATTATCGGTATTGCATCCCACCGCGGTTATTAGTTCTGGTTTCCTGTTGTAACAGTTTCTTTGGGGGCAATTGGTCTTATTCCATCTTTTGCAGCAATGATCGTACTCTCTCATAATATATATTGTAAGGCTACGTAAGTACCGTAATTTAAGTAATTATGTAATCAAAATAATTATCAATAATTTACATTCGCCAGTTTTTCGATGGTTGTAATGTCAGATATTATCTCATATTCGAGAACATAATGTCTATGATTATCATCTGTTCTTCGATGCTACAGTATAGACAAACTAGCGATTTCAGTAATTGCTAGTTAGCATATCTGCTTCTCTATATCGTAATAATGAAACGATAAAATTGAGGATAATTTCCAAACTGTACAGGGTATATTAGTCACCTCAATTTAGTTGATTATAGCAGCTTTAAATGATCAGCGTTAGATTTGTATATTTATCTTGACCATTTCTGTTTCGAATATACCGCAAACAACTACACGTAGTGCTACATAACTAGTGAATCGTCTTCTCGTCCCACACAAGCAACAAATGGTTAGTATATTATTTGTCATAACTTTAATTTAATCTACATACACCTAGTAGATTCACATAGATGACATTGCTGAGTCTATGGAGATATTAAAAACTGCGATAAAATTAGTTACAGTTATCAGATCAGAAGGCTGTCTAATATTGATAAAAATATAAGCTAGTATAATGACGAAGTAAAATCATTACCTTTTATTTAAATAAATTTATATGCATATACTAGTTCAAGTCCTTCAGCCACCCATACAAGCCTTAGGCCAAACCAAGTATTTATTCAATCTTCAAGTCTACCACCTTATGGAGTAGCTCAATATACACCAGCGGGTCCGCAACCTGCTCCAATTGGCATACCTCAACCATTGCATCAATCATGGCCTCAACAGGAACCATTAATAAATTCCAAATCTGATGGTAATTCAAACGAAAAGGCCTTCTAAATGGCCAATTTAGAATTATAAAATTAGCAATAGAACAATACTAGCACTATACTTAACGTTATATTTAGGTCATTACTTCCCAAGCTCGCACTGTAGAACTCGTATCATGACTTATTTTGGCTAAGAAAGAGGTGATAAAAATTCTATCTATGGTTTAAAAACAAATGATAATTAGGTTATTACTCTTGTTGCTCTTTTATTGACAGTTCATTAAGGTGAGCCATACTTAGAAATGCATACAGAAAATATGAAATCAACACTTGAATATTTACGCCGTTATGCATGTAATTCAGTAATAACATTGAAATTTTGGAATTTAATTTTTTGCAGCAGTTTTGCTAAACTCTTAATTACTGCAAAAGAAAAGATGATTAATAAAGAATGAAATCTGTTCTAGAATTATGATAATTATTACATTGAGCATTAGATACTAAATCCAAATGAATGTCACCCTAAAGGAAATTAGGTTCAGTGTGACAAATATTGCAATAAATGAAGCTTAGTTAGTTCCTTGATAATGTAAAATCAAAAAGACGCCGCATCACAAGTTTTACAGTTAGCATTTGTGGAATCAATTATAGTAATTGAAAATTTTGACACTTAAATTGAACTACTTCAGGCATGGTCATTAGAAATAGCGTAACTCTTACGTCATATTTTTTTATTGACGTAGTTTGATCATCTCAGAAATATAATTTTTGACTACATTTAGCATTCAAAACTTTCCATATTTTCAATACACTAATCGCACTAAATCCGAAGAAAGCGTAAAAATATAATCCAACGATGATCTGCGAATCGCTTATGATGTATAATTATCATTTTCATTTTTCTACATCTACAGATTGCTGAAACTCATAACAAATTATCCACTAATTTTCGATTAGACGTAATTTTCAACTACTCCCCCTAAATTCGAATCATAATGATTTGGTAGCTTCAGAAGCATCCATTTTCAACAAGATTTTTTATCGTATCATTCGTACTAGCTACTTATGCAACAAACGTCTCACCAGCATAATGATGCTATAAAACTCAGACATATCTTTGAATAACTGGTCAACTTCAGCATTCATACATTTAAAAAATTTCCATTTTCCCTCTAATAAACTCAATTAAGGAACACTGCAAGTTACAATTAGTTTACTACTTTGATTCAAATTAGTAGCTGTTACTATGACAACATTATTCTTCTATATTGTTTTACGTAATAATTTAGAACTTGAGATGAGATTGATGATTATAATAAATTACTTTGATGCATACTTACAGTCTAAAACATCGCTTTTTCCCATTTAATAAAACAAAGCATAAGAATTCCCTTATAACGCCTACTAGGTTGGGCATTTGTGCAGCATCCGTGCCAATCACACCGGCGTAGTGTTATTATTTGTGATTTTTCCCTATTGCAAATTTTTTATAGATTTTTCTGATGGTTTGATGAAAGAAAACAGTAACAATAAAATTAGCGTGAAACGTTCTAAAAGGTAATCTTAAATCAATTTTGGCATATTTAACGACTAAAATCTTAATAATATGTTTCCTTTTAAATTTATAAGTAGTAGGACTATTTTTTTCCTATAATAAGCAACTTTACAATATCTTCAAAGTCAAACTTTAGCATTGTTAACTGTGTAAAGAAATTTACTTCAATCGCTATAAACTACCGATATAACTATCAAAACTTACAATTTTTGTTGCTATTTTATTTACTTCATTAGTATTAATTACGCTGTTTAGCTTTATAATACTGCTGTTCTGTTAATACTGAACAAAACTTTCTACGTTTTCTTTCATGTAATGAAAATAATTAGATCAAATTTTTGCCTTTGAGGATCTGTTGCACAAGTAATAAATAAAGTATAATAATGGCCAACACTACACAAGTTGTCACTTATATGCAGCAACCACCTCAACAAGTAGTACCACGTCAAATGCAGCCTAGATCACCTCCCAAGATATATCAATTACCCGAACGAATGAAAAAGGGTTCTTTTTACTTAGGTATTATTATGCTTGTCTACGGCATAACTTCCTTAGCTTGGGGGTGTATTGGCTATGCACTTGTTGATTATCGTTTCTTCATCCTAAGTACTGGCATAAACATAGTTAGCGGAGTCTTTGTAAGTAACAGAATTTTTAAGCCAAATCCATGAAAGTAATAGTCCAAAATAATGTTATTTAATAAATATAATACTAGGATATCGATTCAAGTTGCGATTAAAATACACATTTTCAATCAGACTTGCGTTAAGTATAAAAAAATAGAATTATACCAATATCGGGCTGAAGTATGATTTCAGAATCTGAAATATTCAGTAGACTAGTAAATGGACGCAATATTACTGCAATTGCCACTGCAGTCAGTGCATAGCTTCTAAATGATCTGTAAGTAAGATTTACATGTTATATCTAATAGTTTGTTATGGCCGGCACATTTGGGATTCTGACATACAAAATCACCATTAACCCTCATTTGGTAAGATTTACAGTATAGCTATATTAGTTAACTCTTAGCCATCAGCTTAATCAGACACTAGGTTAGATATATTGATAAACTCTCTACTTCATCATGATTTACTCCTTCAAATCATTTTAGGAAATCTAATTTTTTCTGTATCATTACTGTATTTAGTTTATGAAGTCATAGATTACATTGATAGTTTTTTCTTTATGCAAAAAATCTGTGGGATTAAATTTCGATTTGATAATAATCTATTATTGACTATTTCTTCTCCAGATGCATACTTATTATGCTTTTACCCTGCTTTCGTTTGCGGCAGCAATCTTTCAGCTTACGTTCAGTTGCATTTCATATGCCTACATACATTACTTTTCCAATAGCTTAAGGTATGTTATCGTTTCAACCGTTCTATCAGCTTGTGCACTTCCTCTATCCTTGGCTGGCGTTATCATTCTATCACACCAAATATATTGCAATGGTGATGTAAGTAGTCCATATCTGATACTTCGCTTTCTCACAAACTTCAAGACTATATTTAATCATAATTTCTTATACGGTAAACGTATATCTCGAATTGTAATCTTTCTTCTATACAATTATTGGTCAAAATTTTCCTCTATCACGAATATGATTTTATTTTTCTCCCTCAGTGTTGCTTAACAAGTGAATCAACTGTTCATCCTGCACAACAACAAAATGGTGCGTTTTAATCCTTTAAACTCTTTGCAATAGTAATAATCAATTCATATTGCAATGATATCGCGTACAACCGATTAGTGTGCAAATATATTATAAATATTTCATTTGCGTTTATATGCGAATTAGAGCACGATGTAAGTCCAACAAAACCGAACTACGGACAATAAATGTAGTGAACCTATCTATATCTATAGTATTCAAGCTAATTCAGTTTTTTGCTTTCTAGTACAAGTCATGAACCCTGCTGGATATCATCAACCAGTAATGATGACACCAATAAATATGCCTGTATCTGGAGTTGTTTATTATAACACAGGAGTAGCACCGGGCGTTGGTAGCCCTGGCATTCAAATGATATCCCAGCAACAAATATTGCAACAACAAATAGCACCACAGCCACCACAACAGCCACCACAACAGCCACCACAACAGCCACCACAACCGCCACCACAACCGCCACCACAACAGCAACCGCAAGGGCAATCACTGCTAGGAGAGCCACCAAAACATAAACTACAACCTTTGCCAGACATAAGAAAATAAAAAGATATTCCCCAAAATTTATACCTCAGCTTATAGCTATATTTAATTTAAATTGTACTTTATTCATGTTGCCTTATTATGATGGAGAGTTCGAAGAGTCAGCGGATGCGGACTTAGCAGCCATTTACAGAAACTGTATAAGGGGTTTTAATAAAGAGAAAACTTAATTTTAGATAGTAACAGATGTAGAATGCGGTAGTTATGCAAGATCACCGTGTAAGCTGTCGTGAAGTAACGTGAGGAAGTACTACTAGTGTGACTATTACATAGCAAAGTTTACTGCTCATCATCTGTAAGTAAAACGTTTAATCGCATTAGTTTGCATTTGAGAATTCTGGTGTCACTATAGATACAGTTTTATACCTAAGAACTAAGCTCATAGCTAATTTCAAATAGCTCATGAAGATAATGCTAAAGATACTAACAAAATTCTGATGCTATTTATGTTTTTACAGTATATAATTGAGAATACACAAAATGTTCCTATAATACAAGACTAATAATTAATTAGGCAAGTATTAAAAGCTGTTTATGTTTGGCAGCTCTTTTCGTACAAATCATCAGCCTATCATGCTGATTCAGTCCAACGACTTTGGAAAACTGTAATAGCAAAATGCAACGTTTCAGTTTACTTTTAAATTTTAAGTACTTATTAAATGTATCAAAAAATGAACTGGTAAATTTACTATCAAACCCAATCTTATACTTATTCCAGGAACTGCCTTAAATGAACAGCTGTAGTCGCAATCTGCTTGCGCCTATTTTCCTTTCATGGCTCTAAAGCAGCCCTCTCTCAGTGTAAAAAAGCCTGTTTAAATAGTGTCCTCTAACATTGATTGATTTACACAAGGCAAACGAATTACAGACATTTGAATCTCTCATTTCCTTCAAGTTTTACGCTGCTAGCCTACTCAGCATGATAAAGATTAGAAATTGCCAATTTAGCTGCCAGTACAGAACAGAATCTTACTAATATTTTAGCCTAATTTCGAATTTGCCTCCAAAGCATCAAAGATCCAAACGTAGATTTTATTTTCACACATAATGTGTACTGGATATGCATCTCATATATTGTTACTTCGTGAAATAACAGACCGTGATAAGGATATCTCTCTAGCACTTCCTTCTCAAAATACCTTTCTCTCTATGCAATATAGGGGTATTTTAAGCATCAAACAGCCGATTTTAATGGTACGTTTACCCGTACAAGGCGGGAAAGATTGTACTCTTTACATGAGATATATGGAATGGATAATTTTTTCCATCAAATAGTTCTAAATTAGTTATATAAGTTTACATTATTAGTGTTGACAAAACTCTAATAAAACTGATCTCCAAGGTCGCTTTTAACATTTAATTTCAGTCTATAATGAGCATCATTATTTATATATTCCTTATTATTACCTTACAATGACTATTAATAATACGCTTCAAGTTAACTATGAAAGGAATTGCAAAATTTCAGATAGGAGGAAAAAGTTCATTGGACGCAGTTTAATTTAATTTTGTACCTTCATTTGGGTTTCCTTTTTCGTTAACCTATGTAAGTTACATCAGATAAAACAATTCAAATTAAATTTTTTTGAGTAACTCCATTGCCATTGTTAATCTGGTGAATTTAGGTCCTTGCTTTTTTATACTAAATCTGCATTATGAATGCTAGCGTATTAAACCAATCTATGCCCTCTAGATCAATTCATAATAAATTAGTCAACATCCCACAGAAGGAATGATAAACTATCAACGTAGCATTACTATCTTTAACCAGCGCTAAAAATACTTAATCAGAACGATATCGCAAAAAAAGCTCTCTGAGTATGAATGAGTTACTTCTTTTGTGCAAAACAGGCTCAAGCTCAAGATCATGAGGCATCGCTAATATAAATTATGTTTGTCAATTAGATCTGATAGGCTACAAACATAGACTAAATGCATTTACAATGGGTATTACGAAGCTAGTTAGCGTAATTTCTGAATCTACGATGAATATCAGCAAACTACAAGTGTGGAAGCATGCTCAGCTGAGCCATTAAAAATGTGGGTCGAATGCTTTATACAGACCTATCCTCACGTACATATTTCTATGCTGATTAAATACAATAGAATGGCTAAAGTCAAAAATCCTCAATTACTAAATTCAATACTTAAAATAGGATCACTTTACACGTAGGTGCATGAGTTATACAGTAGCTCTTCCTAAATCGGAATTTTCTTCTACTACTCCAGCGAGGCATGCTACGAGCTTTTTTTTCCTTATTAGATACTAAAGAGCTGCTAATGTCCTTAACTGTCATTACATTATTAAATTATTGTATTCCATAATAATCTAGGCTATCACGTTATCGAAATAGTATTTTTTGCAAATCTGAGGCTGCATACACAGCAAAATTTCCTTAAAGAGAAAAAGTACAAACAGAATCTGCTTAAGGATGCTTATTACAACTGTTCTAGCACGGTTGAAAATCCAGTAATTGATCTTCAAGCACTAAAATTCGGCGATTAGAACAATATTTTCGACAATATAATCATAACCTGCCACTTTAAAATCACAATGGATAATATTCCTCATCGTGGATAGTTCTAAAGTCTTATTACAATTTCCAGTCTTAACTCTAGTAATGCAACTTTTTCTCTTACCTAGCATTCAGCACTATAACTGCTGCATATCATGTCTGTGATTCTGAAAGTAGGCCAGAATCGCAATAAAGGATATCCAGCAACAATTATATTTTCTACCATTCACTTATGCAGAATACCCAAAACAAAGCAATTAACAGATTACGGCTTCAAAAATATATGCATGTTCTGCCTTTCCTAATTGTTTACGATGGATCTATAGCAGATTCGTAGTTTGCATTAGCAGTACAGTCTACGATCGAAATTCAAACCTCCATACATCAACCATAATCTTGTCTAAATGAGGTTGCAAGTATAAAAATTTTACTCCAATTTTGATTGCGAAGTTATCTTATTTTTTGAAGCAAACAATATTCTATCTATGAAGTACATATCAAAGTCTGTTTCAAGGATAGAATATCATTTGTTATGTATTGCTAATAATTCATTATCAAGACTAGCTACTTCGTTCATCACCATATTATTAAATGCATTATTGACCAATGACAGCCTCTAAAATGTTTCTTAATAAAGTTTTTTCAAGTTTCTTCAATTAGCAATTGTCATCTCTAACCAGTAGCAGGACGGTGCTGAATGTCAACATTACTTAATTTGCGTAGAATAGAATAAAGAACTTAATGACCGTAAAGCTCCGTACTATACCATACCATATTTAAATAGCGATGAATAAATAGGCGTAGACTGATTACACGCTGCCCTTAATACGTATATGAAGCGTTTTTAAAGTAACTTTCTAATCCTGCTATTACTCTATAAATCTGACGATTATCAACATATCATCTAGCACATAGTCACCAAGAAGTAAAAACTATTGTAGCATTAGTAAGTTCTAATCTAAATGAATAAGAATATCCAATTTAAAAATAAAATGTTATTTGCAGTCACTTTCTTTCTTTATATCAATGACACTACAAGCGGAATTTATGCTACCTAGACTACTTCAAGATCGACTTTTAAGATTCTAGTACTTTACTTTGAATAATGCTAGCTATTCTATTTGCTTCTTATATATAGATTAAACTGATTGGAAGTTGTAATCAAAATGGCAGCTACCCCATACACATCGCAACAACCCAGAGTGCAGGGTATACCACAGTATACACCACAACAGCAAATTATGCCAATAACTGTACCACCAAGTCTTCAGAGACCTACCTTTGGCATATCTGTAACATTAACTATTCTTGGCTCGTGCTGTTTCATCTTTGGTATAATTATTATCATTGTCTCGAACTTTCCCCTAATTTCCATCACTGGAGTGAACATATGGGCCGGATTATTTGTAAGAATAAACCCGTTTGTTTAATATGTTGAGAATGAGCTTGTTAAAAGTCTTGGTGCCAAACTAATTAATCTGTAAACTAGAAATTGAATATTAAATTAAAAAAATATTCAAAAAGGTTACCCTGTGAATAGTTTGAAATGCCTACAGAATACTATAATATTCATATATATCTACTACATATAAAGATTAATCGAGAAACGATAAAATCTATTCGAATGATCAATAATCTAAACGGTATGAGCAGATGAAATAAGCTAAATTCGATCCAGCATTAAAAGTAAGATACTTTTGATTATAGTACTTTAGTGTACTACTTAAGTAAACTTTTTCTATCACGAAGATGAAATAATTAAGATCTAAAATAGCTTTGGATAGAACTGAATAACAAAATTTGGATTAAATTACAACATACCAATATAAGAAAAGATTTAGTTTTTTGACATTTTTTTAACGTTTTTTCATACTAGCATATTTTGCTACCTTTCATTATAGCAAATGAATGCTACCATAAAATATCAGCATATTCTATAAATACTATATACGTTCATTATTAAGTTTTCGTAATTACAATCTAGATATGTATAATAGGGCACAATTCTATCTGTATCCGGTTATTGATGAAAGAGTAAATCAAAGTTTGTAACTACTATCGTATATCGAGACTATTACAATATGCCGTTATCAGGAATTATTTAATAGCTCAGGCAACTTATCAAAATTAAATTAAGAAACTTCTATCTTTGCTTCAAAAATACAATACATATCTTTGTTATTTAAAATTGCAGTCCAAAGGATTCCTGCGAATTCTATTACTAGCTAGGGTTTTACTTTACTTTATCATAAATTCACAATCAAACTTATTAGCGTGAAGTTATAGCATTTAATTGTACAAAAGGAGTTTATTTTACTGGACATTGATATATCGCATCGCACGTTGTCCCCGACTGCCTCCTGACACGTTGACTAGTCTGACATGAAGTGCTTTCTTTTAGTTGCTTCTTCAGATTACTACTTTAATCTATCGTAAGATTTAGCAAGAATATAGTTCTGCTACTATAATGCCTAAGAACTAACCTTCTAGAAAGCACAAGACCAAGAGACACACAGGACTATAATCGGCAAAACAGTTTTATTCAGTGAGCTATAATACTGAAACACTGAGAGCAACAATACTTTCAAAAAATTCAATAATTTAGGCAACGTAGTACCTTCATGAATTTGAAGAGAAACCGCTACCATCGAATAAAGTGTAATGTAAGTCATATGTAATTTACGTAAAATAGTAGTATATGATAGCAATATTTAAGGAGCCATTTATTAATTAATCCGTTATAATAAAGTTTAGAAATTGCAATTTCATTCAGTTCATAATAATTCAATCACTTCATTTTACATTATGCACTTGATAATAAATAAAGGTGACATAACACATTTATCATCGTAACTATACAGCGCTCACACTCATTAAAGTAGTACTGCCAAGAATTTTCTCTTACATGATTTTCTTGTAGTACAGCTGGAAGAGCTCTATAGAGATTGAATACTGAAATCAGTATGCATAGATATTAGTAATGTTATAAGTAGTAAACAACGCTTCCAACATTATATAACGAAATACCACGAATACTAGTAAATATTTTATCACATCAATGAAAGAGATAATCAGGTTAACGATGAACAGCATAAAATAAGAAGGGATTCTATTAGCGGCGTTATTTAACTCTAATCTTCAAAATTACAATTTTAAAACAAAAATATATATCTACATTTAGTCATTAAACAAGCAGAAGCTTTTATGAATTAGAGCTAATGGTTGAGCATATTAAACGGATCGCTAAATTTCTATTTCGTAACAATACTTATGATTTATATTGCATGAATACGTCACTTCTCAAAAACATAGTCTAGTGAGTCTGATTAGACATTCAATGTCTTAACAGCATTATAATTAAAAATTATTGTTTGCTTTGACTAAGTAATATTCAAGTAGGGTTATATTTACTTTTATTCCTCAAATAATTTCTAGTACCTCATTGCTGGAATTCTCGGTATATCCCACACAAAATCTCCCACGAATATTTCCATAGTAAGCAGAGTATATCTGCACCTGTTATTTACTTACTAGCTAACTTTTTTTTGTCTTATGTTTCATTTTTATCTAACATATTTCATCGTTGATATATCAATACCAACAGACGCATGCCTTTTATGCATTCAATATTATTGGATTTATTTTCTCGTTTCCGCATTTGGGCTTAGCAATTGCAAGTTTAGCTACCTATGGTGCACTTTTTGGAGCGATTTCTCTGGTCTTTTCACTACTTGCGCTTTCTTTGACTTTAGCATTTATCATCATCTTATCACAACATATTTACTGCAGATCAAGCGTAAGTAATTCCATAGCTTTTACTTCTTAATAACATCCACTCATCCAAATTATGACACTGTCTGACACCTATATATTTTATTATAAAAATTTACCGTCTAATAAATAAAAGTGCTACCAAAATCATTATCATCGAAAATCTATTCTAGAGATATTTTAAATGCTATAATTTCAGTTTATCACTAATTCATTTCGTGTGAACCAGCCAATCTTTCGGTTTCATGGCACATATTTTTAAATTTGTTCAGTGCGTGATACAGGACGTTTGACTATATAATCAAATAACAGCGATAAGTGCTACTACTAATATTTGCAGCTCAGACTTCAATTCATTAAATTAATTATGCAAGATATAACCTACTAAGCTCATTCGGCTACTTATATCTAAAAAATATAATTTATTTAGGGTCAATTTAGTCAAGGCCAGTACTCCAACTTTACCGGAACTCAACCAGGTCAGTATATCGATTTATCAAGATCTTATTTTCTTCCAGACGAATATATCGATTTAAATCGAAACAAATTTCAATATTGTATGGATGTATTTATAAAGGCAAATTTAGTTTAATAGACTTTAAATTATTTCACAGTGCTTCATGTTATCTATACATGATGTAATGTTGTAGCTACTAATAAAACTCTCATGATGCATATTAACATTCAAAATGATATCCCTTCGTGCTATAAATAATTAATCAAAAGAGTCAGATCAATTCATACATGGCTTAGTAAACGGCAAATATTTGAATATTAATTATTATACGAACGTAATTTCCTAATGCATCAATAGATTCAACTTAATTAATGAAAAAACCTTTACTTAACAGTAACGTATCAAGTAAATCAACCCATACAACAACCACCAATCATAGCTAATCCAAATATGCCAGCTGGAGCCCCTTTGCAGCCGCCACCAATGATGAACCCTCAACCAACCGATACGAGTAACGAAAAATCTCCATCTGGATTACCTCCTCCTTATTAATACTTACATACTTTTAGAAACTACAAAAGCTGATGGTTTCTGCCTTAGTTTTTAATACTGACATAATATGAAGGCAGTAATGCAGCTTCATGTCTGATCTTCGTTACCTAGAAAGCAAAATATTCTATCAAAGCTATAAGCACTCGTAACTGTTGAAGTTCTAATTGATTTTATTATATCTTAAAATAGTTGTAAAGTCGTATACTGCATCAATATAACATACTAATGCAGAATGTTATTAAATAAAGCAAGCAATTTCTCTTCATTCATTCAATGGTTTCTCTACTAAATTCCTTGGATAGTGTTAAAGTATGATTCAATAATGATATCTGAATCGGACATTATGTGAAATTATTCATTATTTTTTATTAGATCAGTTCCAGTGACCAAATACTAAAGGATAGTTAAAGGCCTCACTGATAGTATAGACGAGGTATTCAGAGAATTACTACTATTTATTGCTGTAGAAATCTTGATAATGAAGATTATAGTCTTGGCAATTCAATAGCAATTGACAAATTATTTGACTAACTAATCGACTAATTAACCGACTAACTAACTAAAAAGTAGTATTCAGGCACTAGCCTTTTATGGTCTTGTCACAAACTCCTGGTGCACACAAATTAAAACTATTCTTCTAAAGTTATATTGATGTCACACACCACTAGTGACAAAGTAGTCTACACACGCCAATCCTTGCAGAGAACGCCACTTACTAACTTAAAGAGGCGAGATTAGCTATATCACCAAATAATTCAGTTCCAACGGCCGAATACTATGGTATAATTATAGCGTCACAGATGATGTAGACGAGATAGTTAGAGATTTACTATCATTTAATAGAATAGGCGATTAGTTACTTCGCATGATTCATCAAAACAATGACACTATAGCATATTTTGTAAGGATAGTCATCAGTACATTATCACTTTAAGTAAATACTGTAATTAAATTTAATTCTAAATGATTATTACTACTACAAATAAAAAATTATGACCAGGAAATGGCATTACTACGAAGAATTCAAACACTATAACTGGATAAGTCTACAGCACGGCTGTAAAAATGGACTATCTCCCTGGCATCTACTAGTCTTTCTTCAACAAAATTATGATGCGAAATTTTATTGAAAGCCAGCCAATTAATATCAAAGTTAAATCAATGCCAATTATACAATTATATATATAATTACCAATAATTCACAGCATGACCACTTGGTATAAGTTTCTGCTTTTTATCCCTTTATTGTAAAGGGGTATCTCAACTAATATATAAAACTATAAAGTATGCAATTCTATGTTTAAAATATGCAAAAGGTCTAGTATGTATTGTTATTAGTCCATTCCTAGAAGGTCGTCTTATGATAAAAAGATGCTATGTAAAAGTCATTCTGGAGACATTCCATCACCATCTATTAGTTAAAATTATCAATGCACAACAATTATGATGATTAATCAGCTACTCATCCTGATTCACCAAGGTAAGCAAAACTAAAGTCTACATAGCAAGATGTATTCGCCATCATACAAGCAACAAATTGCTGGGCACTATTCCTATTGGCAGTCGCCATGTTAACTGTGACAATAATGATAGACATTTTAAATATCCAGAATCAATCAAGGGATCAAGTGTAAAATTACCAACCCTAGAGATAAAAGAAAAACCTACGCGTATGTTGCCAACAAAGAAATCTAATTTCCTTGCTACCATACATTGTACTGTATCCAAAAGATATAAAATAGCATATAGGAAAGAAAAATAAACCTTTCTAAATACCTATATATCGTCAAAGAAGAGTCCTAATTGTGTGTCAACTATTATTTTATCTACAGTATTTTAATTAAATCCATCAAGCGAAAAAGACTTTATATAATTAAAGTCATTGTTATCTAGCAAATAGAATAATAAAAATAAACGGAAACAGATTTTCTTTTATTATAAACACTTTTTATCCCTTAGAAGAGTTGAGGACTTTGGACGGTGTTAACGGATAGAAGTGCAATAACAAAGTATTATTAACTTACTGCCTCGAAATTGACGGTTTGAATCGATATGTTGGATAAATTTCTTTAGTATTAATTACAAGTTAGAAGACATCACTTTTAACACCATCTTTATGTTTGTGTGACGCAATTAAACTACCATATTATTGCATAACGACCTAGTTATTTTTCAATCTTTTTGACTGATTCCATTCAGCATTAGTAGAAATTATTAAGACGATTTCAAGCGATTTTCAAGAGTGATGTAAAAAATGGCAGCAGTGAATTCTCAGCAGCAACATCCACGACAAGTTGTATCTCAATGTCATCCACAAATTCAACAGCCAGTTGTACATATACCCTTCTATCCGCAATACCTTCAACAGCAAGTTGTACAAATTCCCACGGTGCCATCCAACTTTCGTCGACCTTTATATTACATGTCCATTTCTCTACTCACTCTCGGTATTCTTTGTCTGATCTTTGGCGGCATTTGCTGGGAGCCATGCCTTATGGCCCGTCGACAATCAGCGGTAGTAATATTTGGAGCGGATTTTTTGTAAGTATGGTAGTAAATTAATAGCGGCCAGCATTTGAGCTGGCGTTTTGGACTTAGACAAATAGTCTACCTAAATTGTCGTCACTATTAGGCATAATGATAGAAATTTCAAGTAGTGTTGAACAAACTGCAATATTATAAAGGTACATGCAGTACGCGATGTATAACGAGCAGGGGTTCTACTAGTTAATCAATCAATATACCCTCTGCAATAAACTGGTATGTGCACTACCATACTTTACTGTAGACGTTCATTATAACATTAGAGATAAAATTTTTGCTCTATCACTGTCAATATTAATGTCTTCAGATAAATAAATATATGACAAAAGGTTAATATATCCCTGCTAGCTTAAGCTTTCTTCACCTGCTTGTATCACTAAATCTTTCAAATGCTTTTTTCAATTTGAAGTGGAAAATCTGATCTGTTCACACAAGTAATTTGCAATTTAGAACTTTATTATCTGTAGGAGTCCCTAATTGTAGCCATGTATTAATTGTTCGTCGATATAATCCTGGTTACGGTACTATTTTGTAACTCGATGCTTATGGTTTTACCATGATAATTAATACTGTAGAAAAGAATTACTGTATACCGGTACTGGTTTCTCGAAATTTCCATTCTACAGACGGTTTCAAGTCAAAACTCAAAGTATTTTAATTTTTTACAAACATATCTACGAATATATAATGACTTACAGAAAAGAAATCTAGGGTAACAGCAACAGTAAATTTTATGATAAAATTATTTCAATTTGATGCATAAGTATCACAAATCGATATTGGTAATAATAAAAGCTCAATACTTCCCCTAGAAATTATTGGAGACGAGAAGTATGGCTCAGTCAAAATAACGGAGCTTATCATTTCTTTGTTCATTCTACTATGCCCTATCTCTTAAATCGCATGCCATACAGCACAAAATCATCGTTGCAGCTCACTTGGATATCGATCATACACAGTACCCTACACTATTGTAAAAGCTAAATTTGTAATAAATAAAACGAATAAAATTGCTTTGAAAGTGTTGACATAGCCCAGATTACAATTATCGATACAGCAGTCGACAAGCATAAATATGGAATGCTCATGACGTCTTATTCGACTTTCTGCGACCTAATAATTCTTGAATTAGTACCGTACCTTTTTAAAAATTTGTACATGCGTTTAAATCTAGTACCATTACAAAAAAGTCTAAGGTGCCTTTAGAGTACTCATGACTCCAAATTTAATAATATTTAGTAAATAGCGCGATATCTATGCAGCCAGCACTTGATCGATTGTTTAATTTAAAACGTTAGTGAATCATACCTTGAAATACTTTCGAATTGAAGCCAAATAGTCTACACCTACTTCAGTTAGGTCAAACATTGCATATGTGCAGCATAGAGTGCATGATATTCATTTATATTCGTAAACGTTACTTTAAATGAAATGACCATGTGTTCCATAATAAAAAATGACTCACGAAAACGATTACTGATCATAATATTTGAAATTGTTATTTCAAATTTCACTATGTAGTTAAGTGTTGGGATAATCTGGATTACTTATACTAAAACTGAATGCAAATGGTTATTCCTAAATTTTAGTACTTAATATGCGGTGCCCTTGGTATCACCCAAAATCAAAATCCAAGTAATCCTTCCACGGTAAGTTCAATGTGCGACCACACTAAGAACTTTTAATAAAACTGTGTGATATCCGTCTTTACTTAATTCCTCAAAATCAGTTATTTTTCTTCTCAATTCTTCACAGATAAATGCCTTTTATGCCTTCAGTATTATTACATTTATATTTTCGTTACCACATCTGGCTTTATCGATTGCAAGTTTCATCTACGGAGCAATAATATCAGCTTCGATTTCACTCCCTTTATCTCTCATTGGACTTTCGCTATCGCTGGCGTTACTCATTATTCTATCTCACAACGTCTATTGTTCACAAAATGTAAGTCGTCGTAGATTTATTTGCTCTATACATGTAGACGTAATTTTTTTTACCATCTTTCCTTTCTTTTTTATATGATGACTGGTAAAATTATTTAATAGAATATTCTTCACAAACTTATGATAGGAAAGTACCGTATATCATGAATTAATTCACCATGTACTACGTGATGACTATATAAGCATAAAATATGATAGTTAAGTTAAGTTAAGACTTTGCATCAGACGGCATATTTAATACCCAATTTATTTCATAAATTGCTACGAACCGGTAAAATTTTAAAATTATTTCATGACTCTGTGTTGTAAATAGGGAGCACAGTTTGCATCATACGGCATATTTAATACCTAGTTTATTTCATAAATTAATACGCATAATTTATTTCATTGCTTCAACTGGTAAAATTTTAAAACATTTTATGACTCTGCGTTATAAATAGAGAGCACTTATTCAAAATCCATATAACACTTTAACCATGGCTCAACCAGAGGGTAAGTTGATCGCTACTTATCATTAATCAAGGCTAGAAATGCCGTTTGAGTGACCATAAGAAACTTTGATCGCACTCCAAAATTGAACCTCTAAGTGCATTAGATGATATTCACATGTGTTCAAAATTTAACTAATCTTACTGTTATTTAGCAAATGATTGGAAAAGATTTACCTTAAGGGCTATGCATACAGCAATTATATATACTAGACTAATAGCTTATAAACTTAAATTTATGCTATTCTTTCCCGATTCTACTATAGTTTAACGACGATATATAATAATGATATCAGTATGAAATAGTTATTTTAACTCCATTACGTCTTCTTAAACAAAATAGCTGTAACGTATCAACGTACAGTTCCTTTGCAACAACAATCTATTAACCCTAATTCTCAACTTCTCTCTGAAATTCCAATGGCATATCCATCAGGAAGAATAATACTGACTCCTACAACAGCACATCCTCAATCAATGAATATAGCGACAAGATCTCTAACGGAAGCACCTCCGGATTATAACAATACAATCGATTCTAACCATTTTAACTAAAATTTTCAAAATTCGTAAATTTTACCAAAAAATGTGATGAATTATATTCTAAATGCTTTGAAGTGTCACTTATTGTTCGTTTGTAACCGCATGTAATTTTAAAATGTTGCAAATAAATCTTACTGACAGCACAATATATTACATAGTTGATGCAAGAGTAATGCCTTAAATTTTTCTATCCATTTAAAGTCCATTTAGTAGATTCATAGAATCTACTGCATTATGCTAGTCTCTATTACTTTTACTTATACGTGAAGAGATACTTAGACATTATCACACCAAACTCACCAAATAGATGTAAACTTAAGGAAATGTACAAATGAGGTACAGAAAAAGACTGCTGCCCTTCCCTTCTTGCTAGTGCCATCCACAATTACAGAAAATTACATTAATTACCACAACTGTCAAGATTACACGATAGTATTTAAAGTTGTTTCGTTTATCTAATAATGTGCCATGATGCTGGTATTTAAATTGTATATTCAATGAGACGCTAATATTTCATCCCTTTCTAATCATCACGGCGGCATGAGTAAACGAATGATTTGCAATTCTTTTGACCATACAGGCAATAGGGCAGAGGCTTATTCTCTTAGCGATACAGTTTCAAAAATATCATACTGGTAGCATTGTTACCATCGCATCTTTCATCATGAATAATTCATTAATAAGTTAATTAATACAAAACGGCCATCTCATTAAGATTTACTATATACTGTATGAAGTATTGGCCATTCTTTCTACTTGGACTTCTTTCAGAGTCAACACAGCATCTTGGACATCGAAAGTACAAGATAAAAACCGGGTCTGAAGGAGGGTTACCATTAGTGCTCTCCTTATTCACTTATTATTTCTTAACGGTACGTAAATTAATCAAATACCGTGTCCTTATCGCAATAATTGCTATATTGGCATACAGTTTTTGCAGATAGTAGTATCAAAATTTTACAATTACAGGCCTATATACAGCAATCTCACTATTATTGTATCGACGAAATAAATAATATCTATCAACATGGCAACGATCACTTTCCAACAGCAATCTCAACCAGTTCCAATTCAAATTCAACAACAAGGCGTACAGCTGTATCCTCAATATATTCGACAACCAATACCGCTATTATCGGTGCCAGTAAAACTACGCCAATCAGTATACTCCTTGTCTCTTATATTACTTGTTCTTGGCTTGATCTGTATCATCTTTGGTGGAATTTGCTTTGAAGTTCTACGGTATGGTATTGCTATTGTTACTGGTGTTAACATCTGGGCAGGATTAATAGTAAGTTACAATGTCGTTATATTTTCTTTAAGATTGGACGTTACTAAGAAATGGAAGATATAAATAGCGTTCAGAAACTAGATCTTAACTTTTATACCATTCGGTAATATCGATCACAAATTCGAGTCATTAAAGTTTTTACGCTATCATATTTATAAAAATGCATATACAATAAATACTTCTACAGTAATAAGTAACCATAAAGCTAGTCTTAAAGGCTAGAGTCAGGATATCAGGATCAATAAATTACTTATAGTATCTTTATCAACTTCGAAAAACTCCTACCATTAATAAATTCCGACTATTTTAACAGAGTTTAGAACCGCTGTAAGAAGCACTCGCATATTCAGTACGTTACCTATTGTATCATCAAGAAAAGTTACCGTAACACATTTCTTTTATTGAATAAATACACTCTAAAAAGAAATTACGAAATCATAATTGTAAAAGAAAAGCGGTCAACTAAACCAGAAATTATTCAGTTAAGGCCAAAATAATGCTACGCATGGAATTATTATTAATTATGAAATCAATTTTTAAAACTCATAGTCTTATAGTCAAACTTGATAATGACGTATCATTGAATATATCAGCCGTTATGTAGGAAAGGTCTAACTATATTTGATCACAATCATTGCATGGTTATTTGAAATCAAACACTCACTCTGTAAATATGTAATTTCGTCTATAAATAGAGAATTTTGGGGGTAATACATATTCATCAGAATGTTCAATCTTGTTCTGAAACCGATGTTTCCTGATATGTCTTAAAATCAAGGGTTAAAAACATATCCATAGATATCAATAGCTGACAATAAAAGCTGAGCTCTTTCGCTTACTCTCCACTCATTAATGATACTGGTGTTATGGAGCTAATTCTATGTAATATTACAGATTTAGGCGAGACATAACGTAAAACTTTTACTGCATATTACTCTTCTATAAATATTATCTTTGACAAGCGGTAGGCGAGTGATATCTCAACTAGATTGATCAGGCTTATTAGCAAGAGTAAAATTTTTCGATTCCGATAGTGTGTAAATATATAATGGTAAAACCGCAGCAATTGATCATGATATAGTATTTTTTTATTAATTCTTCCCTTTCCGTTGTAAATTGAACACTTCAGTACGTAATAGCCGGATCGCTTGGCACTGCCCAATATCATAATCAAATAAATCCTTCATTGGTGAGCTAACAAAGATTGAATTTTTATCAGTTATTTCTTAGTCTCTCATCTAATATTTATACTTTATTTTCTCAACTGTCAATAGATACATGCATTCTATTCATTTGGTATAATTGCATTAATCTTCTCAATACCACACCTGATCATTGGAATTCTTGCTGTATCAATTTATGCAGTAATAAGTGGTTCGATATCAATCATCTTTGCTTTACTTGGATTTTCTCTTTCAACGGCATATGTTACTATCCTTTCTCTACACCTTTACTGCGGACAACATGTTAGTATATTAATCATAACGAATTGCTTACGCTATAACGACATTATAGCGACAGCACCGAATATAAGTAGTAATCTATAGCAATAGCAGCAAAAATCAAATGTCTCATATTCTAGTTATCTAGCCTGTAAAACTGAAGTAATCCGCCTGTTCAGAAATATAAGTCAACGATACATGCAGTGATAAAATATCAAACACTTTTGAAATCAGTATCTAGTAAAATGCCATGATATACTACATTAATGTTACTTAAAAGAAATTAAAACCTCCTTGTATCTCCTACGTTAAGCTATTAATTAATTTCAAGTGCTATTAATTGTGTTATAGTCGTAATATTAAGGCACATTTATACCTGCTTTAGGGATATTTTAATCAAAGTCAAGTCGCCTCCGTAAACGTTAACCAGCCGAACAGTAAGACAATTACTAATAAACGTATCATTATTAGTAATTTAAATTTTACTTTTCTTGGTAATTTAAGGTATAGATCTTGCTCTAGTTAAAACATTGGCATACTGTTCTAAGCTAGAAGAACTATACATTATCATTAATCACTTATTCTAATATTTTATCAATATCCAAATATGAAGTGATTCTTTTCAATTAATCGTAAAACGTTACTTTATAGCTATTTCATACTGCATGTAATTTTATCTTACTATAATAAAGATAAAGTATTATTTTATTTTAGTTAAAAATGTTCTATTAATCAAATTTTTATAAAATTTTCTAATACAGTGGTAATGTATCAGACTAATGTTGCTATGCAGCAGTCACCAATAAGTGCTAATCCACAACCAGCATTCGATACTCAAATGGCCTACAATCCAGGAAGCTCTATGCCATCTACAGTAATCATGAATGCCCAGATTTCCAACACTACAAACCCAATGGAAAAGCATCTATTTACCGAGCCTCCTGTGTATAGTACTACTAGTTCGTAAATACGTACATACAGTGCAGCAAATGCCTTCGTGAAGAACTTTTACTGTTTGTATACGGAAAGAAATAGTAGAAAGATATTTTTAAGTATATGAGCTAATCTCCAATTTGTTATAGAATTTATTTATAATAACCAGTCGAAACTTTGATTAATATAATGAATCGTTTTTACTTGTCACTTGTATTCTTAGCATACTCCCGATATACTTGTATATATAGCAATATTTTATCGGTATAATGATTCAATCTGCTTTAAATTATCCTGTAGAAGCTTTATATATCAAGACTGGTAATTGGTTCATAATTTGCGAATGTATCAACGCTACTTCAATTATAACTTTGTGCATTAAATTAAGCATCAGTTTCTGCTTAATATAATACTGATATCTGAGTTGGCTTAGCTAACACTACATATATAAATATTAATTCTTTCCTTAATTTCTTAAATAAGACAATTTAAGATGAATGAACAGATCTATAAGAAATGATAAAATTATTTTCTTATTTAATCCTTCCCTCTTATTATAAATAAATTGCCCAAGTAATTATACGACTTTGCAAATTATAGTAATGAAAGCAGTTATCGTAGTAAACTTCGATTCTAATTTCTTCGTCATGTAATTCAATCATGTCACACGAACAAATGTATCAAAATTAAAATCATTCAAAACTAAGATACGATCTATTTAACCTATTTTCCAACTTCTTACGGTATGGATTCTGCCATTTTTAATTAGTTCGTATATAAAAAATTCATCATCTTAATTAACTAGACTAACTTAAACTATGGAAACTTATCACATTCAAGTAAGCTGCTAAGTTCCTCCCCTATCCTACACATTTCAATTTCGTCGCGTGAAGATATTATCTTCAATCAAATCAATCATGATCTAGATTCTGCAATATTTTAACAGATTTCCGCATTTTACCAATCTCATCTATGTCTTATAAATTACTTTAGCATCTTCTGTAAAGTACAGATGCTAAATTAAACCATTTATGAATTAGAAACTCTAATCATTCCCGTACATTGTATTTAAATCACAGGATAATGTTTATCTCCTAGCCTTACTCGTTTATTTTATTTACATGATTCTAAATCAGAATTATTTATATTCCGGATACTTCCTTGTTTAAGCGATATTCCAACATCTTAATTACGCATAGCTTAGCGATTTCGATCAAATCAATGCATACAAAAAAATTTTTTCTCCTTTAAAGTAATCCAATAAAACTCGTTTTTTATAACCTAAAAATTCCACTATCTCTAAGCCAGTGACAATTAAGGAGGAACCTTTGCTCTTTAGTAATCGCTATCTCAGTAATCTATCTAGCACATTTCTATCACTTTCTATCAAAAGCTTCATCTTCTTTGATTAAAATCATTCATGATCCAAATTCTAAGCATTCATGCAGCCTTCTAAATGTGAATTGTTTGCAATCTATCTGTCATATCATATGCAAAAAAATTTCATCTAAGAAAATGAAATAGAACTAAAATTGAACCATTTATGATTAGAAAACTTCACAATATTCAATCCATCGTAACTATCAAACCATCCACATCTATCTTAAGCCTATCCTGTAAAATTGCTCATCATCTCCTTCCAACCCAATGAGTTAAATCTACCACATTCAATACAACTGCCACGTCCTAACGCTTTCTCCTATCGATCTTAATTATTTCACATGATCAAGGCGTCAAACTCATCTCCTTTATTAAATATTCACCGGTTGAAAACTCCACTAGCAAGAATATTCAAATATTATTATCCAACGTAGAAACTGAACTCTACACTCAATAGTAATAAACCAAAATGTTCATTAAATTGACTTTCATATTAATTTATTCAGCAGGAATAGCTAACTAGTCGATCTGAAACAACAGAGCAATATAATGAACAACTTTATTTATTCAACGATCAACAATAGCATGACACTGTTACAATATGGCGGTACCATAGAGCTTGGATGATGATTACACAATATGATGAAATAGAGAAAAACAATTTAGACCATACCATGTTAAGTACCGCAGCAATAGTTATTTTTTCAATACCACTTGGCCAGCCATATCGACTGCATCAACTACAAGGTGATTATTATCGATCCTGATTAATTAATCGATATAGTTAATATTGCGATATACAAGTACTGCCTATCAAATTGTAGTCACTAGTGATCATCGCTAGCTAGTAAGAATTTAATTTGTATTGGAAAGCAATGATTGTCCTTATCAACTAGAGAATGCACTGCCGATATAGTTTTAACGCTATTTTAATCAATTGTATATTAGGATTTAAATTAGATACGGTTATCCAAAAGAAATAAGCCATGTCCAATGTCAATTATCCAGTTCAATTACAACAGCAAATTCCACCACAATATCAGCAACCTATTCAACAGCCTGTTACCTCTGTCTATTCCCAAATTGATCAACACTATGTTACGCAAGCAATGACTATACCACCGCATGTTCGCCGGTCAGCATTTGGCTTAGCAATTGCTTTACTGATTTTAGGTATCATTTCTATCATCTTTGGAGGTATCAGCTTTATATTCAGTCGTAGCTTTGTTACCTTAATTGGAGCGAATATTTGGGTTGGACTGATTGTAAGTTTATCCATAAGTTGTAGACCAGCGATCAATATTTGAATTACCCTAAATGACTATTTTTCGTTTGTAATCGTCACAGCCAGTAATTTCAGAAAATAATTTTCACAATTAATTCACATACGATACTACTTAGACCTATTTTAGATATCTGTAACCTTACAGAGTTAGAGAGAATAATTACGCATAGTGAGACGTGAAATACTAGCCATTTGGCTAGAATAGACTCCCTTTTCGTAGATGTTATTTCATTGTTGTCCGTAAACGTTGCTAATAGCCCAATGGCATCAGTTTATTAGAATAAAGCTATTAGCAATACGATCCTACTCAGACCTATTTTGTATATTAATGATCTTACAGAATTGGAGTTAGTATCGTGTAATGGCATAGCAAATAAAAGCTATATAACTAGGACAGACTCCGTTTCCGCAGGTGTTACAACATTCGTTTCTCGTAAACATAGCTGAGAGCCCAATCTCATCAGTTTGATAGAAAAACTATCGGCAATGCGTTACTATTCTATTGTCTCTTGATTATAACTAGCACTTTACCTTGTCATACGAAGGGTATATTATACAACTTTACTCATAGCACGATAAATATACTGTACAATACTGCTCTACATTCGATTAATAGAATTCTGAGATTAACTAAACCGATCACTGGCGATATTTTAAACTCACGCCTAGATACGATACCCCGATTCGTATATTAATTATTGAAGGTAAAGGAATCTTTTATAACAGAATCTTTCACATCTACCTTAAGTGCTATAAACTTAATGTCACACTTGATTTAATTATGAGCGCTAGCAAATACACAGTAGCACACCTAATATGCCTAAAGATACTGATTAAAATCGATATTGCTGTATTTCGAAGCGAATTTTCAAAGTCTGCTACCTTCCTGCATTACTATCTACATCCAATCTTTCACTCTTCATAAAATCACATTGTTCCTGAATCTTCTTGCGAGTACTAACTGAAATTATTAACCTGTAGAGATTTGCTAAAAAATGCAATAATCGAAAATAATCATTCTACATTATATGAAATCTTATAATTCAATGTTATAACGCCGAAATGAATTGATTACATCTAGTACACAATCGCTGGTTCTTTAGCTATTGCACATCACCAAGTTCCAACCAATGTTAGCTTGGTAAGTGAAATGTTCTCTAAAACTATATTTCTTGATAGACTATGATATATATTTAGATGTATTTCCCTTTTATTTCGCTGTTATTCCTTTTCCGGAAAAATTTTGTCTTAATATTTATTTAGTATGCTGTACCTTATATATTTCTTTATCAACAGTTACACTCTTTCTACGCATTCTCCATCATTGCCTTTATCTTCTCCCTACCTCACTTTGGTATATCCGTTGCAAGCTTAGTATATAGCTACTACGTATTTATTCCATCAGGAATCATTTCCACTTGCTTGTCTATCTCTGGTTTCTCCCTTACATTGGCTTTCATTGTTATCCTCTCAAAGTACATTTATTGCGTCAATCCGGTAAGTTATTATTAAAAGTACGACAATCAATTAGGATAATTCAGATTATCGATTACTTTTAGCTTATTTGCCCGTAAATTACTTGCTAAAAGCTTTAAACCAGCAGTTACTTAATATTTCCTACTCGCCTTTAATTACTCGCTTTACTCGCATACTAAGATTATTGCAACATAGATTCTAATTCTAAATCGCGTTGATTCCCCTATACAGGGTGCTACCGTTCCAGGCAGAGTTTATACCAATTTCACTTCAGATCCAGTCCAACCTGCAGGTATTAGATCATTAAATTGAATTTTATGATTACCTTTCAATATGTATAAATATAAGTTCATACGATTGTATAGTAGTAGAAATAAAACCAAATACTTTACGATTTCTATATTAACTTAATACTTAAATCTTAGAAGCGAACTGTTCTAGTTTACTCGTATGGTAATTTTTAATTCTTAAGCTTAGATTCTCTATCGTTGCCTAGCACAATGTTATTAGTTATTGGCAGCCAGCTAGCCTTTAAAGGTTCTCCATAATCCTGCCGTTTAGTTGAAACTAGAATTAAATTCAATTAAGGCTGATATTCAAAGCCCATAATTATTTGCATAGTACTTCTAAATACTAAATTAACTGTTAATTTAGGGATGCCTTACGTAGCCTCACAACAAATACCAGCTAATCCTATTCAGCAAACGCAAGTTGGTAGTCCTGTCATTTATCCAGGAGGAACTACTATGCCATCTACCGCAATTATGAATCCTCAATCAACAACTATGACAAGTGAGAAGGTACCATTTGACCAGCCACCAAGATATTAATTTAATACAGCATCAAAGAGTCATAGCTCAGGGCTTAAAGTATCTTTAATTACGTATCTTTTTACAGTACCTTCTAATCTGAAGCCATCATTTTGAGTAAATTCGTTTCATACGTTACTTACTCTCTATGCATTTACTTATGGACGTATTTAGGGAAAAGCTTTAAATTACTTTCCTCGCTAACAAGAAATAGCCTGTAACTCAATTTTGTCTCCATTTTATAGCTAACTAGATCAATAATTTGAGAATACGATATTTACTTCTCTTTCAGTTTTATGATAAAATTTTTAATTCGTTACTATGTTCTGAATAAAGAATTACCTGAGTTCACTAAAACGTAAAAAAATATTCAACTCAGCGATCAAACTCTTTCTATTGTGAAAAGAAAATACTTTTATCAACTAAAAGCAAGGCTGCTGTTAACACAAATACAATTTTAAGAATAATGAAATGCTAGCGAACTACAGCATGAAATCTAAAGTAATTGTAAACTCCAATTTTAACTTTGATGGAATTTCGAGTACAAATATTAATCAACTCCCTTCAAAATATCATAAATGCTCAATTTAGTAACGAGTGCATAGTTATTATTATGCCTGTATAAGGATGCTTAAACTAAGCAAACGAGGAGTAGTTGTAAGTTAATTTATAAACAAAACTTATCTTTGCTAGTCTTTTACACTAACGACCCAGAAAGCTTCCACACAAATAATCAGTAGCGGATGTAGTATCTTAGATACGTAATATGTAACTTATACTGCAGTTTGTATGATGTTGGACAAGTAATATGTTATATCTTATAGAAAATACTAATACATACAGTATACATTATAACTTATTATTGTAATCACAGGACTAAGCATTGGTATAAATACTCGATCATGCTAAGAATATTATTCAATTTACTTTACCTCGCTTTATTTCATGTTACGTCCTGATACTAACTCTTACATGTTGGTCAAGCTTGTAACATGCGTACTATTGCTTAAATAAAACCCCTTTAAAACACACACTCAACTACGATCATTCTATCTATCTCCACGCTTTTCACTACTATTAACGTATCATGGCTGCCGTAGATCCGCCTACAGAGTTAGCCGATATCAAATAACCTACATCAGCACAACTGGCAACGAGGATGGGGTCTGTACTACCACTACCACTTTCAGAATGTGATTTGCAATCAAATGATTGGTGCAACTATTCAGGAAGATTTCGCGCAACAATGCCGGCAGTCGATGTATCGCTATCTAGGCACGTTTCTTATTTATTGGTAAGCATGGGCGCTGAATATTTTAAGATCTTAGCTAATCTAGCTAGCCAAAAAAATCCATTGGATCTCAAAGTAAAAGAAATTAATTCCATTCTACAAACATATTTTTAACCTGTACAAATGGTACAAGCTGAAAGACGTCACTTATATACGTATAGACAGAAAGAAGGTGAAACACTACAGACTTTTGTAGCAAACCTCCACCTTTTGGCTTCTACCTGCGAGTTCTCGCCATCTGAACTATCCTCAGTCCTACTATAAGCATTCATTACAGGACTCAGAAATCAATCAATTTCAAAGCGACTTCTACTCGAAAAGAACATAAATTTAGAAAGTGCTATTCACACAGCAAGTGAACTAATAAAATCGCATTTAAAACGAATTGGCTTGATTTTTCAACTAGATACCAATCATATAGTTGATTAACTGTTTACAGCAACAATTATTCCTCGAAAAAATTCTCTCCTAAGCTTACCTATTTGATATTTTACCTTACGTATATTTATATGCTTCAAAAGATTCCATTAACAGTTGTATTCGTAAAACATTTTAATTCCTTATTTGCAATTAAGGATTGGATCTACAGTAGCTCATAATTTGTTTCGCTATAATACATTTAAGTAAGTCATTTAAACTTAATTTCAATAGTTGTATAATATGATTTAAAATAACCGAAGTAATGGTAAATTTTAAAAATGATTTTAAAACCAAATACCTGTCGATATAAAATTGTTTGAATTAGAAGTAAATTGAATCAAAATTCAATTCATTATCAGAATAGAGTCGATGGGAATGGTATTTAGGGATATTAACTACGACATTGTTCTTAAAGTTGCGAGTACACTAAACTAATCCCATAAAATAGATATAAATTTTATGGAAGTCTTCATATAGGAGAAATACTTTGTCAAAATTAAATCACTATTTAAATCAAAACCGTTTCTTTAATGTGTACAATATAAAAGGTAACTGGGCGAAAAATTCTAAAATATTTAGCGATAAAAAAGCTGAAAATGGGATTAAGTAGATAAAATATTGCATAACTGGTTTGCTGACGGATACTCCTATCAATACGCCTTTAATTTACTATCTTTACTGTGAATTCAAATCTCTACAAATTGCACGATATAAAATATAGTAGACTAGTAGGGTAAAATTATTGTCTTATTTTAAAGGTGAGAATATTCACACTTTGAAAATATTTCACTGTGCTATGTTAGTGATTCTCTATAAGTAAATTCACTGCAAATATTCGTTTCTTGGAATCATTACCTCAATATAGACATATTCTACTATAAATAATATGCAAATAATGCAGTCGATAGGTGATACAGTCACTGATCAAATTCTCTACGATGTCGATGAAATCTGTGATTCCAGCGTGATTCCTGTATATCATTAATTGTATGGATTCATTTACTTTATATGACTTATTTTTATAGAACTATGACTACAGAAACTAATTGCAGAAAGGTAATTTGCATCAGTTCTTTCGTAATCAATTTAAACAGTAAATCCCGCTTACTTCAGCAACTCGCATTTAATGCGATAAAACGGTATGAATTAAAAGTAAGGTATTTCATCAAAGTTTGCAATTAGACGATTCCGATCTACGCGTGCATTGAAGTTAATAATAGTTGTAGATAATGGATGGCACTCGTTTCTTTTTGTAAGCTTTATAATATGAACAAATTCAGAAACAAATCTTACTAGTTTTCTAATCCTTCAATCGGCCAAACTGTAAAGTATGACATTTTCGTTCACAATAAATTATTTTGAAAATCACCGTAGGAAACAATCGAAATTGATTTGAGTTTAACGATCAAATTTAAATGGAATGCTATTATTAGATATGGAATATCATGACATTTGTTTAAATAACTCAAAAAATTTAACAAGCCTGGCAATAATGCGCAGCTACAATTTATAATGACTCACTGTAACAGTAATTAAGTATACCCGTGTGATACAGTTTTATTTTAATTTTACCAATGGCAGACTATAGGAAAAACTTGTGATTGACAAAGTTATAATGAGATATGGCTCAACTAATTTTTTGAACTCCTTGCCGATGCCTCGGTAACAAAAATTTTTAATTAAGAATCTAGTTACGAATTAATAATTCAACCTGGTACTAAATTACGATTCGTGCATCTAATATCTCTGCTAATAGTAAAATACCAGAATTGAAATTTGTAGAGTTCATTGAACATGATCGATGACTTTATAAATGATTAAACGCTGCGAAATATGTATACTATGAAACTATCAGATTATCATAGCAGATGCTGTCTTGGTATGTGTGATTATGCTCTACACATGATATGATTTCGCTTGATGTTCTATTGATGTTCGCTTGATGTTCTATTAATGTTCGCTTAACGTACTAACATTATTTTGATGCATTGTAAAAACTATTTTGTATTTTCTGCACAAATATTAGATTTGCAAAATTTTATTACGTCCATAGTTGACATAATAATTGATTAATTCATTTTCAGCGCCTTAGATCATCCCTGAATTAACGGTAATGCCCCAATTTTAAAGAAGTATCACCTAATATCACTGCTAATGGATCGGAATTTCTTGCTGCATACTTTCTGTCATATTAAAATAGTTGAACAGTTTAATTTCTGTTACATTTTTATTAGAGACTAGGAATTGTTATACATTATAATTGGCCATGTCCATCGACTTTACTTGTGAAGAGACGACTACAGAAGACACTTCTGCCATGGAAGACGTTACTACTGAGACTGATCGCTCTTCAGATTCCATCTACTCATTACCACAGAGTGTTCATCTTCCATCACGGAATCTTGGCTATAACTGTATATTAGTTAGTATATCAAGCTTTGTAATTGGTATTTTCGGCCTAGTGGATTCTAATCATAAATACAATCCCGCAATGGCTATTGCCGTTAATGTTTGGGGAGCGATCTTGGTAAGTGCTACCAAGTAATCATAACAGGATACCGGTAGCAGGGATAATTCAAATGTTAAAATTATGAGGCTTATGTAAATGATAAATTTAAAGTAGATTCATCTTACAGGATATTTTCCTTTATTTAATTCCGGGCGCTGTCTCTTATAGTATATTCCAAGCGGATATTATTCTATTATTAGTCAAAAAAATGAAACCAAGCCCCATTTGGTAAGATTTCAGTCCAATGACTGAATTATCGTTGTTGTAGTAGTATTCAATCTCATGTAGTGATATTACTTTGTATAAATTACTTTTACTATACTGCATTACGTTAAAACATTTAATTAAGTAATTGCATAGCTCTTACATTTTCGAATTCTCTTATTCCGTTTATATTGTAAACCTTAGCTACACTGCTTCTACTTTTTCTCCCTTATTACGTTGATCACATCATCTATCCAACTTGGTATTAATCTATCATCAAACTTGAATCTTAAAAATTCTGAAGTCCGAGAATCAACTCTGTGGTTCAATGTTGTTTCGGCTATCATTGGAGTAATTCAGTTTATAACAGGAAGTTGTTTTATCTATATGCTTACGAAACATGTTTATGGCCCTGCTGCAATCAAAGTAAGTATTAGCAAAGATTAAACTGATGAATATCCAATTTTATAGTTTTTAGACTAAAAATTTAAGTCGTTAGCCTCGTCATTTCACTTCGAAATCTTTTTCAAGAACCGGTGAAAAATACATTTGCTGGAGTAGAGTTACGTTCGCTAGGAAAGAAAAGTGTAGTCTTAGATAGCTACATCTACGAGTATATCCATGTAATGCTCTAATAGATTCGCGCTACTATTACGTTAGCATATAACCTTATTCAATTCCTATAAATACCAAACTAGGCTGATTCATTCTGAATCCATTGGTAACTCCAAAATAGCATGACCTCTGCGTTGTTACTTTACATAAGAGCTCACTTAACAACTTGTCATTGACAATACATGTATCCCGTTTATGTCTTCTATGCAGGCAATATGCCATACTGAAGAATCGTGAATTATATTGAAATTTGGTGGTGATTAATTACTCAGAGCTGGTTAATCTTGCATGTTTTCGATATTAATTGATGTATTGTATTTGTATACCTCAAAATACAGTACCGCCCACTGTACATGGTTGCAAATGCCCCAGCCTAAATTAATTCGTTATCACTGATTATGAAGATATTAAAATAAGTCATTACGATAATGTCTTGATAAAAATAATAAATTATTGGTAATCTTGCATTTTATAGCCGTAAGAATCACTTTCAGAGTTAAGTTCGCATGATACTATTTAATTTTGTTAACATAAAGTGGCCAACGTCAATGGTTCATCCATTATATTTGTTATTGATATTGCTTAGGCAAAATTGCCCTCACTGTATTTTAGCCTTCAATTAGTATGCACCGAATTCGGTATGTACGTGTACAGCTCAGTGAGGGCTACCGAACAGCATCAATTTGGTGGAGGAACGCCATTACTTGTTGGAGAAAAGGAGAAATGGCGATTTTGTGCTGCAAAAATCTGAGCTTCTGCGCACGGATCGTTTAAAGGTTCACCACGGTACGAATTGCTGTTGCTGTGCTTTACTCTACCTGCGTTACGGCCAATTTCATACTAAATTCTGTTTTCGCAGCGTATGTTTTTGTATGGAAAAGTCTAGAAATGGGTGCGCAAGACTGCAAAATAAGCTCTGTCATGAAAGTTACCTTAATAAACCCTTTAATTCGCGCAGCCGCTATCGCAGTTGCTCTTAGACTTCTTGTTGCCGTATGGAAACAATACAGTTTGTATGATAAGCATTTAAAATACTGTTGCAGACAGTAGAACAAATATATTTGCTTGCTAAATGCAATAGCCTTGCACCATTGCATGCTTAGAAACATTCCACGTAAGCTTTTTTGGTGATATAGCCTTGTAGTACCAGGGATTTACAGTACAGTAACATTACAGTACTGTAAGCTCTGCAATGAAAGTTACATTCAAATACTGTTGCAGACAGTAGAACAAATATATTTGCTTGCTAAATGCAATAGCCTTGCACCATTGCATGCTTAGAAACATTCCAAGTAAGCTTTATTGGTTATATAGCCTTGTAGTACCAGGGATTTACAGTACAATACAGTACTGTTAAGCTCTGTAATGAAAGTTACCTTCAAATACTGTTGCAGACAGTAGAACAAATATATTTGCTTGCTAAATGCAATAGCCTTGTACCATTGCATGCTTAGAAACATTCCACGTAAGCTTTTTTGGTGATATAGCCTTGTAGTACCAGGGATTTACAGTACAGTAACATTACAGTACTGTAAGCTCTGCAATGAAAGTTACATTCAAATACTGTTGCAGACAGTAGAACAAATATATTTGCTTGCTAAATGCAATAGCCTTGCACCATTGCATGCTTAGAAACATTCCACGTAAGCTTTATCGGTTATATAGCCTTGTAGTACCAGGGATTTACAGTACAGTAACATTACAGTACTGTTAAGCTCTGTAACGAAAGTTACCTTCAAATACTGTTGCAGACAGTAGAACAAATATATTTGCTTGCTAAATGCAATAGCCTTGCACCATTGCATGCTTAGAAACATTCCAAGTAAGCTTTTTTGGTTATATAGCCCTATAATACCAGGGATTTACAGTACAGTACAGTAACATTACAGTACAGTACTGTTAAGCTCTGTAATGAAAGTTACCTTCAAATGCTGTTGCAGACAGTAGAACAAATATACTGTATTTGCTTGCTAAATGCAATAGCCGATGCAATGGCACGGCGCAAGCTCCAAACCTTTCTCATATGAGTACAGTACAGTACAGTACAATACGCTACAGTATATTACTCTACGTTTTGACTGTACTGTACACTGTACACTGTACAGTTCAGGTAAAGTACTGTACTGTACAGTACTGCAGATGTCTGGTAGCTGTCCGTCATCCTCGTCGTAGCTGATGATAAAGTTTGCTGCAGCAGCTTAAAAATTAGCTCACTTCCGACGTTGACTTGGCAACCTTTAGGCCACTTGAAAGTGAACGCATACAAAGTAGGCTGCTGCTGGGTTAAATCTCCAATCGAAACACTGCACAATCGACGCTTTAATATTCACTATTGGCAAGTTAAGTCAACTCTGTTACGTATCTGAACTACGAAGAGAATCGATGGCACTGCAAAATTTGTTCGACTATCCTGACAATTCATCGGAAGAAATCTTGCAAACGATAATGCAAGCGAAAGATGCGATGGTTGAAAATCTTACGGACAAATCACGCCTGTTGATGAACCCTATGACCAAGATCGCGATGAATTAGTGATGGTACTACAGGGCCAAGCTAAATTAAAGCTCAAAGATCAAGACGAAATTGTCTTAACCAAAGGAGATATCCTTAACATTCCTAAACATACTCTGCACTGGGTTACTTATACTTCAACGCAACCACCTGTGGTTTGGTTGGCGATACACTATAATGCTGAATCATCAAATGAATAATCGTGACGATGGAAGCAACCTGTAAAAGAAGTTCTGTAGGATGTCAGTATCTTAAAACACGAAAGGTTCATCATACAGAGATCTCTATAACATAATTTCAAAGTGTTCTTTATCCCCCAGTGCATCCAAGCTCTAATCCATAGTTGCTTTAACATCATGGAATACTGAGGAGTGAATGGACACTATAAATACAAATCCCATAACATTACTCTACTTCCTTATTAATCTTCATACGGCTATCATTGCAACGTCAGTCAAAATTTGCTGCTCAGACACCTTATTTGTGTCGCCAGGCAAATACCGTAAATTTGAAATGAAGTACAATCCTCAATCTGGTTAATTCTTTATTATTACTTCTAAGTACTTGTAAACTGTACCGTAAAAATTGGAAGAAATGTGCATTAACATCTTTTAATAGTTTGTATCTCTATCAATACTGGTTACATTTAACTGTGGTCGTTGAAATAAGTTGTCATGCTGAACGCCATAACTAAAGTTATACCTAAATTATGCATAATCATGTTTGTTCTACAATTATTGCACCTGTAATAAGGTCTGAACCAAGATTCATTCATTTCTGAAACTGGATTTGACTGTTGAACTTAATCATCTTAAAAGCAACGGTTGAAAGCTCGTCGTTATTAAGCGATTATAATTGCCCCACTTCTTTAGTTCCACCCGAACGCATTGAATGCTCTGCTTATTCTCACAAAACTTGTTGTGGTAGCATCTACTATTTAATACTGTACGTGTACAATCATTGAACTGATTTGGAGTGATTACATGTCAATAATATGCTTTCAAATTACAATTCTCTTGATAAGTAACCTGTATAAACGGACGGTAACCATTCTACTAATATACTCTCGAATAGGACTCGTTAGCGTATTGGAGTCGAGTCTTTCTTTTCTTTAAATATTTAAGAATAAATGATGCACTGTTCTGTAAATACTGTACAGTATTTGCTTTGCTACCCCCACTTTACATATAAAATTGGAAGCCTAAACTGGGTAGAAAACTACTAACTACATTTGCAACGAGTACGATACTATAATTATATCCAATTCCCTTATATTTAGATACATCCTCTGCGTTAAACCGACCAGGCAGGTCTTCATAGGAGCACCATACAGGATTACATTTTGCACTAATTTAAACTCCGTTGATATTGTGAGCTACCCGAGTTGTGCAGACGATTTTCCCAAAATAAGATCAGATCATTAGAAAGTAAACATTCAAGATAATAACACAAGCAGTGATCCATTCACGAAAACTGTATCCAGGTAGGATCCAAGTCGCCAATTTGTGGCAAACTAAATGGCATATACGAGCGCAGTTGAAGTAACATTAGCTACCGAAAGCTTGCAATAAATAAAGCTAAGTCGTCAAACTTCCATAACAAATCATGACCACCAGTTTTCATCATCCATATAATTTCTCTACTGGAGATAACAAGCTAGTAAACTCTGAATGAGTAAAACCTTCTTAGACCAAATTTATCGAATAAACTAAATAATACGCCCCAGGACATCAGTATAACCTTATCGGAACTTTTCAGCTATTACAGATAACTTAATAATTATACAGCTTAAAAATTATGGTCAATGATTAACGATATCTCTATATCATCTGTTATCAAATGCAGTATTATCATAGATAGTTGCTACTCTTATTACATCAGAGCTTGTATTGTTACTGTCATTTGAGGAGATCGCTAATAAATACTGCTTAATAGAATGTACTACTAGATATAGCTATCAATTGGTATTTAAAATGATGCTGGATGATGTAAAAGAGCTCAAGTATACACACTTGTCCATATCTTAAATCACCATGATAGGTTTAGAACTGCGAAATCAATTTTAAGATAATTTATTATCTGCGAATCAAGTAGATACCACTAGTTGTAAATCATTTTCTAAAATATTACTTCTAGGTTTAATTATAATTGAGGAATGCTGCATGTTGATTTGAGACATTGGAGTTAAAAGTTATCAAGATTTAGATCTCTACCTATATTTCAGGACTCACTAGTTAAGACTAAGCTTCGTTAATTATTTTATGCTACCTTGCTTCTCTACCAAAATTTGTTGTTAGACAATAAACTTTCAAGTTTGGAGTCTTGACGTACTGCAATAAAGTAACTGTCTTAATGTTATACTAGTACTTTTACAAGTTTAAAAGATGGAGTACGGTAATTTACCAATTATTATGCAACCATATTTTATTGAACACCATTTCTTTAAATAGTGATCTCAGTAAAATAGAACCAGTAGGCGTTCAATTGCTTCATAATTGGTTTAAGAGCATATTGATTGTTTGATAATGACTCATCGCTAGATATCAATGCCGCCTATAGTGTAGTATCGTAGCACACTTAACAACTTGAAGATTTGATAATTTTATTCCTTGAATGCATAGCTTTAACACGAAAGCACAATCTTATATAAGATTTACTTGAAGGTGCATAGATATTTATAAGAATTAATCATATTATTGAGTAAATATACCGTTAGTAAAGCTTTCATTTAGTATACACTAGAAAATTTTTCCCTAGCAAAATATCATCGCTAATTATTCTACTCTCAAGCATTTTATTTTGACGCCATTTAAAATATTTACAGAAGGTGAGCAAATGAAATGAATTTTCATGTAGATATAATAAAATCCATCATCAATTATAATATCAGATAATTGGCCAAAATATCATTGATCGTTATTTTTTTCTTTTTTTTTTTCTTTCGCGACATTACCAACGCTTTGCTAAGATTATGAGCCAACAACCAGTCGATTCAGCTTCTCAGCCTACTTACGGAACAACTCCATCTGATGATCCATCTGCAAAATTAATTCAACAACAGCCAAATGAGGATAAGCCAAGCATTAACTGGGCACCATCTCCAGACAGTGCTGTAGAATGTCCACCTGGATTGGAATATCTCGCTCAAATTGATACTTTACTGATTCGAGAAGACGTCGGAGTCTTTCAGTGTAAGCTTACATCTAGCCTAGTGTTAACATTATCATCCCTATATCATTCTGAAAATTTACCTCCAAATCGTAAGAGTACGATGTCTAATATATTTTTGATATCGTAGCTACAAAAATGATAGTATTTAAATATTTGAGCAATAGATGATTAGATCATTTTTCAGTACTAGATATTTTCTGATTTACAGATTTGTAGTGAATATGCTAAATATAATACACTTATTCATGTTTGTATCTACGGTAGTCTGCAGAGTTAATCTGTGGGCAACATGGGAAGAATTATAATGTATCCCTAAATTCTGAGTTGAGATTTAATTATTTTACTTAATAAGTATAGCAAAGCAGCCTGTGAGACAAATGATTCGTTATACCCTTCCTTTCACTAGATTTAATTAATAGATCGCGCTTCTATTTTTGCATCAGTAAAAAATTTAAGCATGCGCGTAAATTTATTCTAGTTCAGGAATAGCTTTTATTAATGAAATTTTGAGTTTATTTCAAATGCAAATATGTTAACGTTAGCTTAAAAGTAACAATTTAACGTGCTGTGCTTATCAATCGATTAGTAAATCCAATTGCTGCGATATATGGCTTTTATTACCGTACTGTAGAGCGAGTTATAGCAAATTGTAAAACAGTCTTAAGAATACGTTTTCATATTTAAATCATAGCAATAGAATCCAGTCTGGTATTTTTATTGTTTAATTTAAGGTATACAATGAAAAAGTTAACTCTATTTAGCGACTTTCAATACCCTTCACTGGCGTTTATGAAAGATTCTGAAACAAATAAAATAATAGCCATAAGCTCGAAAATCATAACAGATTTCAATACTAATATCTTAATTATATCAAATTAAAAGTAATGACCGATATCGAGACGGCTAATACCTACGTCGTTAGAAATAAACAAGGACAGCAAATATACTACGTCAGCGAAGGTAAGACTGACATATATACTGATTTAGAATCAAATTCCATAAATACAAATGGAAAATATTGAATTCATGCTTTCTGGCTTTCTGGAATTTCCTAAAGTCAAGTTGCTTCGTTGTTAGAAATCAATTGTTGTGATTTGCAATGTTGCGGTGAGGGACGCCCTTTCGAAATGAGAATATTCGATAACACTAAAAAGGAAGTTATTCACCTTTCAAGACCACTACGATGCAATTCTTGCTGCTGCTGGTGTTGTTGTTTACAAGAACTAACAGTAGAAGCACCTCCCGGCAATCGAATTGGCAAAGTAAACATGGAGTACGTCGTGCACAAATATTTTGCAGTACAGTATATTATATCCGGCGTAAACCTATTAGTTTATGTGTTTTGATTCTAAGGCATAAAGCGTAGAATGATGGAAATTTCTGTAGAGCATCTAATATTTTACGACTTTACGTATACTTAACTTTCTCAATCATTTCCGATGGCTAATGATAACCCATATTAACATCAATCATTTACGTAAATATTTTACATTTTATATTTGTAGTTGGTCGCCATGCTGGCCTTCCTTTACAGTCACCGATGAAAATGACGAAACTACTTTTACCTTGAAAGGACCATGCATCACTTGTTCATGCGGCAATGATGTTGAATTTGACGTAGGTCTAAAGATTTTGAGTAAAATTTAGCACGGATAGAACGTACACATCATGTTTACGACTCTAGTCTAACACTATCTCTCAAGCGACTACTATTTATAAGAATACTCTTCCATTATAACTATGTAAGAGGACCAAACGATATATCTGATTTATTCTGATAGCTAGATAGAATTTTCAAAATAATGAATGAGTCATTGGTTAATTTTATTATGCATCAGCAATAATGCAGTAGTTATTTGCTACCGCGCTTATAATATGTTAGATCAGCAATGATGAAACCTATTAAATGACTGTCATCAAGACTTACAAATATACGGCATAAAATTTTAAATTTATTTAGCAGATTTTTCAGTTACTTCAACGCTTAAAAGATAGTATACTGTATCTGATGTAGATAATATTGATTGAAGAAGATATCTGCTTATTGAATAAGAAAAAATTTTGATCCTATATTTAAGGCTCAAATTTTAAAATAATGGATAATTCTAAACCCTGTTTCATATCGCTTATCCGTTATTATTGATGGGCTGTTTAGCAAAAATCTATTTAAAACTGAATCATCTTACAATATGTAATTTAGGTGCATGATACAAATGATGAAAAAGTTGGTAGAATTGCTAAAGAATGGGCGGGCTTATTAAAGGAAGCTTTAACCGATGCGGATAACTTTGCTATAACATGTATAACATAAATTTTAAACTGACTATAAGACAATGAAATAATTTTTAATTTCATTCAACGTAATACTCATCATCTTCTTCAAAAATGTTATAATCGTATGGTTAGTTCCAGAAAGTACTGAAGTCAAGAATAAGGCGGTCTTACTAGGAGCGATCTTTTTAATTGTAAGTTTTTATATCACGAATAGATAATTCGTGTCCTATGATAAAGTAGTTTTTCGTTCATGATTTAAAGTAATGCTATATACTGTACTGTAAGTTACTTTCTTCGATTGAATTGATATCATACGTATTTTGTTTCAACCGTCACCATTGATATCTGGTTATTGAATTATGATCATGCAGCTTATGTCTGAAGAGTTTTCAACTCATATTAACAATAATAAATAATGTATTCCGCAGGACTTTATCTACTTTGGAAAGCGCGGACGCGACGATAATTAATGCAAAACTATTCTGTTGGTATATTGCAAGATGAAAGCAATCTAGGGAATAAACTGTATTTAAGCAGACTTTATATGCTTGAATGTATTGCACGTAAAGTTAGTTGTTCATAATCCATATTCTTTTTTATACTGGTTATCAAATGGTTTTACGGTCCACTTTTACCGGTTGTTTAAGGTATTATTTTTATCCATTCAATCTTACAGTAGTAGTCTTTCGATAGTCTTTAAGTGCATGGCCTATCTTTATTAGCAAATTATTTATAAAAAAAAGAATACAAGTATGTGCAAGTACGCTTCCTGATGCCAATTGAATGGGAAATATAAAGGAAATTAAATAAATTAGTACGAGAGTGGAAATTCCATCGTTACAGCACCTGACAGCGCTACACGCAAGGGTGGCCAAGAAAGGCCATTAGGCTTCTTTAATATTTAAAATGTTGAATAATCGCCTATGCTTTTATTAGTACGACAGTGGAAATTCCGTCGTTATAGTACCTGATAGGGCTGCTGCTACACGCAAGGTGGCCAAGAAAGGCCAGTGGGTTTCTTTTCGTGTTTAGCAGAAGCTTAAATATCCAGAAACGCCTATGCTCTTATTAGTACGACAGTGGAAATTCCGTCGTTATAGTACCTGATAGGGCTGTAGCTACACGCAAGGTGGCCAAGAAAGGCCAGTGGGTTTCTTTTTCGTGTTTAGCAAAAGCTTAAATATCGAAAATGTTGTAAACACCTACGCTCTTATTAGTACGACAGTGGAAATTCCGTCGTTATAGTACCTGATAGGGCTGCAGCTACACGCAAGGTGGCCAAGAAAGGCCAGTGGGTTTCTTTTTCGTGTTTAGCAAAAGCTTAAATATCGAAAATGTTGTATAAATGCCTATGCTCTTATTAGTACGACTGTAAAAATTTTGTCATTACATAAGATCCTGACAACGCTACAGCCATAGGCAAGGGTGGCCAAGAAAGGCCAGTGGGTTTCTTTCCGTGGTTAGCAAAAGCTTTAAATATCGAAAAACGCCTATGCTCTTATTAGTACGACAGTGGAAATTCCGTCGTTATAGCACCTGACAGGGCTACACGCAAGGTGGCCAAGAAAGACCAATGGATTTCTTTTCGTGCTTAGCAAAAGCTTAAATATCGAAAAACGCCTATGCTCTTATTAGTACGACTGTGGAAATTTTGTCATTACATAAGATCCTGACAACGCTACAGCCATAGGCAAGGGTGGCCAAGAAAGGCCAGTGGATTTCTTTTCGTGCTTAGCAAAAGCTTAAATATCGAAAAACGCCTATGCTCTTATTAGTACGACTGTGGAAATTTTGTCATTACATAAGATCCTGACAACGCTACAGCCATAGGCAAGGGTGGCCAAGAAAGGCCAATGGGTTTCTTTTCGTAAATGCCTATGCTCTTATTAGTACGACTGTGGAAATTTTGTCATTACATAAGATCCTGACAACGCTACAGCCATAGGCAAAGGTGGCCAAGAAAGGCCAGTGGATTTCTTTTCGTGCTTAGCAAAAGCTTAAATATCGAAAAACGCCTATGCTCTTATTAGTACGACTGTGGAAATTTTGTCATTACATAAGATCCTGACAACGCTACAGCCATAGGCAAGGGTGGCCAAGAAAGGCCAATGGGTTTCTTTTCGTAAATGCCTATGCTCTTATTAGTACGACTGTGGAAATTTTGTCATTACATAAGATCCTGACAACGCTACAGCCATAGGCAAGGGTGGCCAAGAAAGGCCAGTGGATTTCTTTTCGTGCTTAGCAAAAGCTTAAATATCGAAAAACGCCTATGCTCTTATTAGTACGACTGTGGAAATTTTGTCATTACATAAGATCCTGACAACGCTACAGCCATAGGCAAGGGTGGCCAAGAAAGGCCAATGGGTTTCTTTTCGTAAATGCCTATGCTCTTATTAGTACGACTGTGGAAATTTTGTCATTACATAAGATCCTGACAACGCTACAGCCATAGGCAAAGGTGGCCAAGAAAGGCCAAAGGGTTTCTTTTCGTGGTTGGGCATGGCCCTCCTCCGTTTGTAGCTTTGTTCTTGTTTACACTAGACTGCTTGTGCATAGTCTGCTGTACTGTATAAATTATCCCTGTTTATTCAGTCCATTGGTTCGGTAGAGTGTACATTAAAGTCAAGTCAGGTACACGACACTGGGCACGGCAATGAGTGTAGGCCACAACAACACTGTTGGTTTGTTCCACACTCATTGCCGTAGGCAGGGTAAGCGATTTACATACGATAGTACTTGGACATTTTGCAGATCAATACAATCGCAGAAATTGATATTTAGCTTGGAAAAACCCAACTTGCGCTAGAATTGATTACTCTATTCTGCTAAAGAAGAGTCTTTTCAATATCAAGTGGTAGCTTGTGATATTCAACATTGTTCGAAATTCGATCAACATTCAATCGTTGTGCTATTGCTGGGAAAATGGAAGAAAAGAGCGGACAACCAGAAGCGATAGGAGGTGTTGCTGTTGGATTTGCTCAACCGGGAAATTCGGCAGTAGTAAGCCAACCCCAAGGCCAGCCACCAGTTCAATGGATGCCAACACCGACTGTTATTCCTGTTGGTTGCCCACCTGGTCTAGAATATCTAAGTCAGATCGATCAACTATTAATTCATCAAGTTGTGGAAATTTTTGAAGGTAACCCAAACCTTGGCAAACGTGAATAAATGAGTTACAAGATTGAAACTGCACAGTAAAGCACATTTTCAATATCTACAATAGTACACGGTAAAGAGTGAAAAACAAGACACTAAGGCTATCTAACGTACGCCTATTTCAAATTTCACATAGTCCTTCTAATGAGCTCACAAAAATAGTATTCTCCAAGTATCTCTTTGCACTTTTTTGTCTGTCTATCTCACGTTGCCCTCACCCCAAACAACCTCGAAAATTGTCTAGACTTCTTATAGTAAATAGTCCATGTCGCTGATGCAATGCATTTTTATTTTTTCTCTTTACTCTTAAATTATACCAGTAAATACATTTCTTTACACTTTTTTTGTCTACTATCTCATCATCTACTCCTCACCCAACGCAACTTAGAAAATTGTCTAGTAAATATACTCTACATAATGCGAATGATCGTGCCAAAGTATCCCAAATGATACATAAATTTCATACTAATCTACATTATAGTAAATGTACGGTATATGATGCCAAGTAAAAAAATACAAGTATACTCCGTATTCCGTAGTTCGCCAAGTAGAACAAGCACCGAATCTACTCGTCTTGAATACTGCTTGTCCATGGAAAAGTCAGAGATATACGCAACTTTCATGCTAATCTACAGTATATTAAATGTACTGTGTGTGATGCAAAAGTAAAAAAGTGCAAGTATAATCAGTATACTGTAGTTCGCCAAGTAGAGCAAGCAGCGAATCTACTCGTATTGAATCGTCCCTGTCCATGGAAAAGTCAGAGATATACGTAACTTTCATACTAATCTACAGTATATTAAATGTACTTATGCGATGCAAAAGTAAATAAGTACAAGTACAATCAGTATTCCGTAGTTGGCCAAGTAGAACCAACAGCGAATCTACTCGTATTGAATCGTTCTTGTCCATGGAAAAGTCAAAGATATACATAAGTTTGATGCTAATCTACAGTATATTAATTAAATGGGCTGTATGGGATGCAAAAGTAAAAAAGTACCAGTACAATCAGTATTCCGTAGTTAGCCAAGTAGAACAAGCGGCAAATCTACTTGTATTGAATAGTCCATGCCCATGGAAAAATCAGAGACGTTGATGCGGCGTATTAATTATTTTTTATTTTTTCTCTCTTGTGTTCGACTGTACTAGAAAAGACATTGACATTTCTGTTTAGTATTATTGTTGCTTGATTAAATAAATATAACCATTATGACGAGTATATACAGTATGCGTTACCATGTGATATAGTCGTGCTGTATGTACATATAAAACACAGAGAAATTTATTTACGTCCGCCTTGTCCTAATTTTGTTGATTCTGTTGACATTTATTACTGAGTTGTTAGTTTGCATAAGTACTGTTGTACAATCTTTGGCACAGTACTGACATTAATAACAAGAACTAAAGTCATTTACTTCTACTGAATGTGGGGATACGATATCAACTGAGATCGGGAAAGCAAGTGGAGCAATTATAGTTAAATAAACTAATAATATCCCCCACTTGCTAACTTGTAATACTGTAGTATTGACAAGATAGATATAGCACCTCGTGAATGAATTGATCACATACTGTACAGTGTGCAATGCTGCGTATTGCTATTTTTCATAAAATGAAAAGGGTCATGTTGTCAAACGTGCAAGTCTTCTGGTCTTAATAATTACCAAAGGAATAGAAATATTACTCCTCTTTCGTGCAATAGCATTGTGTTTTAGTCTTAGTTTTAGTGGAAATTAGCTATCTGGATGGAAATAGTTGCCTTATAACGTTACTGAAAGTGCAAACCGCTTACGATCTTTTTACAGTATTATCATTAGTGGCATTTTACTGGCAGGCAGAAAGTAATAATGATGTATCTATTTAATTTATTTTATATACTACTACATTAATTATACTGTATTATTTGCCGTCTAGTAGGATATCACTGTCATAATAACTTTTAGAACTAATAGAATCAACTTTTGCTACTTTATCGCTACTCATCCCCGTCTAGAAATGTTACTTCTTTCTTCCTTTTATCTAGAATATCTTCATTGTGGCCTTACTAATCTGCAATTCCTGTACGCTACTACTGTTTTATCAATATCCATCCACAATCGATTGTCCATTAAGAGTTTTTAGTACAATTCCAATCTTTATTATAGTCCCTGTTGTAGGATTTTTATCCAAAAATGGATTCAATTATAATTATTATACATTTTAGTAATAGCATACGCGCATTCTCACGCAAAGTGTGTCGCTTGTCAATTTAAAAAAAACGTGTTGATCAACTAATTAAGTCTAATTAATTAATGAGAAAATTGCATATACATGAAATTATACTTTTTATTATGTACCTTCAATAGGGTCCATTTATCCTTTGATCATTTTTCATTTCAGCCCATTAGTTCAATCTATTAGACTGTAGTATATGATATACGTACAGTATAGTACTCATATAAGTTTGCAGCGATGGTATTCATCCACTATAACTGTAATATAATAACATTTTACTAATAACTACTGCATCTGTATCTTTATAGTGATGACCAACTGGGAAACATTGAATAGATTCACGGTCAAGAATACCATGGGACAACAAGTTTTTTTCGCTGCTGAAAGTAGGTATCATTTAATAAGGGATATACGGTATATCTTTGATATAGAGAATGATACTGTAATGTATATTTAGCATCGAGCAAAAGCAGAATGATGAAGTGATCCTCATTATATGCTCAACAGACCGAAACTGTGCTCGTAAAAATACTGTAATTATCTGCTACAAAAAAAGACTCGATTTATCATATTTTTCAGTTTATATTCATAATTTCAAAATAATAAACTACTTCTGCCATATTAATGCAATAGAAAATGACTGCCTCAACCTGCAATGCTGTGGGCCTATACGATCGTTTGAAATGAGCATTACAGACAACAGTAACCGGGAAATCATTCATTTAGTTCGTCCTCTACGATGTGATGAGTGCTGCTTTCCGTGCTGTTTGCAAGAAATGGAAGTTCAATCTCCGCCTGGCACTACCATCGGTTATATTGAGCAAAAGTAAGGAGGAGATAATTATTCAAAGTTAATATACAGTTGTTACATAAGTAGTTAATCTATTGTTGATATTTCAAGATGGACCATAATCTTTCCGGAGTTTAATATTATGGATGCTAACAAAAACGTACTGTTGAAAATCAAGGGACCTTGCTGGACTTGTTCTTGCTGTAAAGACGTTAATTTTGAGGTAGGTAACATGAAATTACTCCTAAACAGCTATTTAGAACATGTTCATGGTCCTGCGTTTTTAGGTTACTAAAAGCCATCATAGTTTTATATGAACGCTAACAATTTCGCTAGAAAGCGTAACTTGTTGTCATTAAACAAGTATATCGTACGTATTTATGAAGTTCGTCGCTTTCATTAATGTTCGTATTAAGGTAACTTCTGCTGATGGCAGTCAATCTGTTGGTAGAATTACTAAGCAGTGGTCTGGATTGGCAAAGGAAGTATTTACGGATGCTGACAACTTCGGAATTAGTTGTAAGAAATACTATCAGTTACATTTTATCTTAGCTATTGCTTATATCCATCGAACAAATACTCTCACTATTTCATGATATCAGTTCTTACTCTGCATGTCCAAAATCAATGCAGATCATTTTTTCATGTATAACACAGTAGTATGTAATGGAAATACACTCGTATGTCAGATTACTCAAATGCTACAAGCTGCATCAAAAATAGAATTTACAGCGGCTGTTTCCTAATTATTATTATGAATTATATACGCATATTATGCCGTGTTTATGAAACGATAGGTAACTTTTTAGCGATTATTTATCACATAATTTTGACTTTGCTATCTTGGATTTCAATTATCTACGTTAGTTCCAATGGACCTGGACGTAAAAGCGAAGGCTACTTTATTGGGAGCTGTCTTTCTTATTGTAAGATTATCGTTTAATCACGCTAAATAAATTTTTCTTATAAAATAACTTTCTTTTCCTTCCCTGATGCGCCGTAAGACCTTTAAATATGAATGCAGTTCCATCTTTAGTACTCATTCATTTTAGTGGAGTATAGTAGTTCCTGACTCAATTTACAGTACGATAACATACTTGGAACTAAAATCATTGCTTTAATACAAACCGTTAATTTACATTTATAATTTGGACACAAATATGTTTATTAATAACCTGATTTTCTTTTGCAAACAGGATTTCATGTTCTTTGAAGACAGCTGCAATAATAATAATTACGGTGGCAGTAATTAGAAAGTTTTTATCAGATCATCGTAACAAATGCGAAATTTTTAAACTGAACTATCTCGTAGTTATTTTTAAAATAGAATAAAACCATCAATTATTTGAATTTAAGATAATAGAAATGTAAATCCTTAAATTATTAGTGCTCTAATAACTTAATTACCGTACATATCAGCGATTGGTATTATGTGAAGGGTAATTCAGCCAATGTAATTTTTAATTTGTTCGTCAATTCTCAATGGCATTTTAAATTTCCTCACATCTCACGGTATTATACAGTATCTGTTTCGTTTTGTTGTTTTAATATTCAATCTTGTAGAAAATAAATTTTTTTTAGAATAGATAACTGACGGCATAGAATATTTTCTGAAGCTAGTCGGAATTGACGGAGATGTATTGCTGTAGCACCGTAGTATAGTTATAGAATAATTATAGCAAGCACTATATAATGCTATCAAGATGTTGTTAACAAAAGTATGATTAGAACCGCGACAGGAATGGTTTGGTAGCTTTCTTTCTCTAGTGATATATATTTAACCTAGAGTTGCTATGCACTAGTATCGAATATAGGTTAATAAATATTAATTTGAAAGCAAGATCAACTTATACCATAAACTGGTAGAGATTACCTTACAATCGATTCTATGCTGCTACAATCCCCTATTAGTTGTGCTATAGAAAGTTTTGATGAGAAGCTAAAGATTTTGAGATCGGCCTATAGCCACGCAGACATTGCGATGCTATGAAAATGGGTATTCAAATTCAGCCCAAATAGAGCGTCATTTGATGTGCACAAATACTAATAAAATCTGTAGTTAAGGTTAGTTTTGGATAATACCTAGGACGACTCGTATGTATGAGATACTTTAATGCAAACGCGCGATCCGGTAAAATTTTAGCTGGAATTACATTTATCTCTTAACCTTACAGATGCTGTATTACGAACTCGTGCCCATATAGGATAACTGCAGTGTTAACATATCACCAAGAACTTTATTGGACTATATTCAAACAATATACGGTCTACTCATAGATTTCCATTTTCAATTTTCCCCTCTAGCTTGTGTGATAGATGATGGTGTTGGCATGTCCTGTGACATGTTTCGATATTGAAAAGTATGCCAGACTCGTAAGAGTTTAGTAATAAGTTGGGCAAGAATACAAAGCAGCGATAGTTGTATTTTATTATTATATGCTCTATACATGACAGTACTCCTATCATTAAATCATGACTAGAAATAGAAACAAGAAAGTTATTCAATCTCTATCCATTCAATAAATTCAAATACGCAGAAATAATTGATAGGTTATGATCGCTATTGGTTTGGGTCGGTTGCTAGGTTGGGCATTTAAGGAGTGGATGCGTAAAACTGAATTGATATTGAATATAGTATTCTATTCATGGTTGCATCAAAAATGCAACCATTTGGAAGCTGCTGGACGCTACTATATTCTCTATTCTATTCTAGGTGGTATCCAATAAAATGAAACCATTTCCAAGCTACTGGACGCCACTATAAGAATGCAGAAAGTCCACTCTTCCCATATTTTAGACATTGCATATAAATTGAGTTAGTATCAGTGAAATGATGTACGTATCCATAGTAGCACTGCAGTGGTGTACTGTAGTCAAAGCGTTGTCGGGTAGAGGGCGTGAACCAACATTAGACAGTAGAACAAGGATAAAAATGAATTCAATTACTGTCCTGTACTATGGACTATGAAATACTCCTGGGAAGTATTTCATGACTATACGAGCTTCATTCTGTATTAGAACTGTGCTAAAATCGATTCTCATGCCTTGAGATGATGATAGAGCTTGATGTACAGACATAAACATATCTATACTTGGAAGTGTAAGCGTATACCATAAATGGCCGCAGCTATTTTGCTTCAATTGTTGATTTTGGCTACATCAAGAACACAAGTGTACAGTACAGTACAGTACAGTATCGTACAGTACAGTATTTACTGATCATTTTACAATCAAAACCCCTATTTCTTGCTTATAAAATGACTGAAATGAATGTATCAAACATCATTTTAATGCAAACTCGCCATGTTTTTTCGGCGATTCGGTATTAGCGTAACGTTTATGCCAGAGCACATTTACGTAATGCGTAGCGGACATATCGCTTCAGTATCAAAGTCAAAATTACATTGTAGTTGTTACCAGTAAATACTGTAAAATGGCTATTTCTAGAAGAATAACGGTACACCATAAATCGTAAATAAAATTGGTTAAGGACAATTATTTAACAAAAATAAACTATACAAAAATCTTTACCAGAACTTCCTCTCTTCACACGTATAAAATTTTATTGATTTTGATGAAGAAATAACTCAAAAAATATTCGTCGATTTATCTGAAAAGAAAATAATCACGATGTACAGTACATTGCCTCAAAAACGGTGATACTGTACACTGTACAAGATCAAAAACGAGAATTTTGATTGGCTGACTCAAGGGCATGACGTCACTTTTTCGCACCGCGCCCAGCCTCCCTCTCTGTACTGTACAGTGTACAGTGTACAGTCCAGTGTTTAGCAATCGTCTAGTATAGTACTGTACTGTACACTGTAGGAAATCCGACTCGAATCCAATCCGATCGGATTGGATTCGGATTGTAGAAAATTCGGATTCATTCAGATCCATTATATTATTTTCTTATTGGATCGGATTTGGATTGGCGAATATCGTCATTTCGGATTTCGGATTCACCGATGTCAAACCATTTCGGATTTCGGATTCATTGGAGGACATGCACTGTACCGGTACAGCACCACAGCGCGGTTTGCTACTACTAGAGTGCTGAAACGAAGCTACTGGCCGGTAAGCAGTAACTATCATTTTGGGCGTTACTAGGAAACTCTATGGGACTACGTTTTTAAAAGCATGGTGAAAAGCTTTTGGAGGCATTTTCGGCTCTTTCCAGTTTACTCAACAGTCTTCTTCTTCTTCGTCGACGGAAAAAAAACTTGGATAACTTTCTTATTGGAATCTATTCTCTATTGCTGAATCGATTGTACTACTATTACTGTATTCGGTGAAAACAAAGCATGAGTCAAGAGCAAGGAAATCCTCAACAAGTCAATGTCACTTTTGCCGGACCCGACCAGCAGAAGCAGCCACCACCAGGGCAACAATATCCTCCACCAGCGCAGCAATATCCTCCACCAGGCCAGCAATATCCTCCACCAGGCCAGCAATATCCTCCCGTTGCTCAAGCCCAATATGGAATGGCTCCACCTGGCCAAGCCGTTATGCAACAACCAGGCCAATGGCAACAACAACCGCAACAATTTCCCCCACAGGCTGGAATGGCTCCTCCAGCAATGCCGCCACAGCAACAGCAAGTTCAGTGGATGGCTCCACCGCCTAGTATAGCTGGTTGCCCTCCTGGTCTTGAATATCTAACTCAAATTGATCAACTTTTGATTCATCAACTGGTCGAATTATTAGAATGTAATTGCCATTTTTTTTTTTAATATCAAACCTCCCCCTCCCTTCATTGCACAATAGACATGACAGTAGTTGATGGTACAACAGCCACGATCGTCTAGACTCCATTTCTTTCCTTTTCCGCAAAGTGTACGACTCTCGTTAATCTCCAGTCGACTTTACTGTACAGTAGGTATTGGGGTGTTGGACAATTGGATCAATTTAGAAAATGCAAATTGATCGCTTTGGTGGAGATAAAATAGATTCAGAGATGTTGAGTAGGATATGAATTAATGAAGTGATGCAGAACGTTTATTAGCGTGGTTAAAAGCTAAAGCGAAGCCGTTGTCGATTGGATCTCGACGAACCCTGATCACATCGTTTAGACTGTATGTACTTGATGCAGTAATAGGCAGGGACTACGACACAAAACAAATACTATAGATGCAATTGAAAATTTTCTTTGACCTTTTTTCCAGCATTTTTTTGCCGATTACACCTTGCAAAGTAGTCCCTGACAGCAGGCGTAGGAGGACGTATAACTAAACTCACTGCCAATCATGGATATAGACTCAGATTTTGCTATTGGGATCTTCTTCCTTCATATTCTCTAAAGTAGATGTTTTCAACAGGACGACTTGTATCAATTCCCGAGCTGTTTATTTTTTTTACTGGACGGCTATGCTCCGCAGTTACTGAGTACCAATTGCCAAAGACAGTAATTGAAGTTATGCGCTCACGAGTATACTGTACTGATAGAAAATCCATTACTTTAACATTTACTGTATATCCAAATTCCCACCGTGATCAAACCTATAACATAATTAATAAAGTATCGGTATACAAGAACAGATTGGCTACGACGTTAGCCTGATACGCTTGCCTATTTCCACTAATTTTCCTCCGTTGTTAATGCTAAATACCTTTTTATATTATTAACCATGAAATCCTTGTACCGTTCTTTAACATATATATGTCATACATTACATTCGAGAGTAGAAACTATCTCACATCGTCGGTGTTTGTTAGAAAGACTGTTCCACCCATGAATGCAATTAATCCTTTTTTATATCCCTCCGCATTTTCACCACTGCATCTGGGCGCCATGTCCTTATTCGTAAAATTCCCTATTGCGGTAATAATCTAATACGCATTTCACTCAAGCTCGTAGTAATCACAGATTAATTAAAGCGCCATAATAATTAATCCAGTGTCCGTTATACTCTAATTTGCAGTTACTAAATCTGCCAAGAGTCAGTTATGCTCACCTAAGAATATTGATTGCACGCTGAAAAAATCTTATATCTTACCCACGTTAGATAATTAACTCGAAAAAGTTTGCTGATTACTAAACTTACATTGTATGTAGTAGTACTTCCTTACTGAATTTGGTTACGATGAACTACTGCTGTATTTCTGATTGCATTTTTATAATGTATCCAGATTGGCCTAGATTATATAGAGAACTCGTGCCTGTTGGCCGGTTTACTTTTAATGGATTATTAGAAACGGTCCTGTAAAATATTGCCCTAAAAAATTGATTGAACTGATTTTGCTTTCACAGTATTTACGCTCTTAAATATTACAGTATATGGTACGCATTTATAAGAGGATTTATACGTCGTGTCATCTCGCAGTCCCCAAAATAGCCAGGAAATTCATGTACAGATAGCAAATGAGATTACTCGATCGTCTGAGTAAATATTATTTTATGCCTATATAAACGAAATGGATTTTTATGAATACTGTGTATATATTCGTAACATATACACAAATTTAGTCGAAGAATAAGGATAAAGGAATAATAAGTTCTTTTCTCTTATTCACTGTATATAGTATTTACAAACTGGGAAACGCACAACAGATACATGGTTAAGAACAGCATGGGTCAACAAGTCTATTTTGCTGCTGAGCGTAAGTAATACCTTGATCGATAGAATAGGACCAAGACGATTTCTCATTTCACGTTGCATTTATTTTCTGGGTATCGGTGCTTTCATTTCAAAATTTTCTTCCCTACTTTAATGAATATGTGCAGAAAACGATTGTTTAACTTTACAATGCTGCGGACCATTGCGTTCATTTGAGATGAGCATTTGCGATAATAATAACCGAGAAATCATCCATTTGGTACGTCCTCTTCGCTGCTCTTGCTGCTGTTGTCCCTGCTGCTTACAGGAATTGGAGGTGCAATCACCACCTGGCACACCCATTGGTTATATCGAGCAACAGTAAGCTCAATATTATTCAACTTAATTGAGTTCTTATAAGATACAATTAAATTCATCATTCCATTTACTAATACGCTATGTTGCTAACGCTTTTGGATTATTGTCAATTAATTATTTGGTAAGGTGGTCTGTTATCTTTCCTGAGTTTAAAATTTTGGACGCCAACAGAAACCCAGTCCTAAGAATTAAAGGACCATTTTGCCCTTGTTCATGCTTTGGCGATGTTAACTTTGAGGTAATGTTTTTAAAGTAAACTATTGAAAATGGTACATATTCATCATCAAAGTCTGACCCCTTAACTTGATTACTAATACATTGATATAATTGAAGTATTATATGTAATAGTCTGCATACGTAATGCATTTGTTTACCTCGAACTAGGTTTTACCTCTTGAAGGTGAAACACCCGTTGGCAAGATAACGAAACAGTGGTCTGGCTTTTTAAAAGAAGCATACACAGATGCCGATAATTTCGGAATAACATGTAATTTGTAGTGGTTAAAGTTATATAGCTAATCATGACAATGGAATTATGAAAGTAATACTAAATCTATTTATGTACTTTAGTCCCAATGGACTTAGATGTGAAGATCAAAGCAACACTCTTGGGCGCCGTCTTCCTCATAGTAAGTAACATATGCGTATATATTTTGAATGAGTAATTGCAATCAGATCAAGCGTCCATAAATTGCAGTTACGTGGTACTTTCATCTATCTCTTAGAATATAACCTACACACTATATGTTTGTACATATGTATAGACACACAGTTATAGTTTGTAACGTGGAATAACGATACCAACATAAAGGAGAAGTTTTGATTTAACTAAGGCTTAATCCATTTTTTCAGGACTTCATGTTTTTCGAAGATAACCAAAATAATCGAAACAACTAAGCCTATGTAAATTTAAATTGTGTAACTACATATCCGAATCTGTAAGATGGCAACGTTATAGATAATTTTATCTAATTTTAAATGCGTGTGTAAAATTAAATCTGGTACGATATCATACGTACCTAAACTTAGTATACTGTAAGCCTGCTCAGAAAGATACGTGTTGCTGTTGAAAGTAATTCTAAGATCATTTACTTTATCTATAGTTAAGTGAACCTTTTATCTCTATAGATTTGTAGGCTATTATAAATACTAAAATATCAATTAGTTTATGAAAGTTATAGGATTCCTCTATTTTATTTTATAGTTTTAATCAGAGCTAGACCATTCATAAAGTTATAGCTACGTCTCATACTGTCGCCAAAGTTTTATCTTATCAACTAACAACATAGGTAGATTAAATTTCGAATTGCAGTAAATAAAATTTGAATTCCTTATTTGCAGTCGATATTATATGGAATATATTCATAAAATTTAATTAAAAGCAATTAGAATATTGTATCATCAGTATTAATTTCTTTAAAACGGTGTCCACATAGGAAATTAAGTCGGTTTTATGGTATTTTAGCTATCCATAGTACGGTAGTAGTATGTAATGTATTAATAGCAGTTAATTTCTATTGCTTGTAAGACAGAAATAGTTATCCTAGATTTAACCAAAATAATCTCGTAACTGCAAATTTCTTTTAACATTGATGGCAATGATACGAGGCAAAAATTTACAAAATAATATGGCACTTGTTGGCAAATCTTGAATAGAATCCTATGTCCTTCAACCGAAGTTTAAATGTCAAATTTGTATTAGCAGGTTAATCGAAATGTAGTGTATGATGTACACATGAGCTCTTTTTAATCCTAAGGCTGTTGCATGTTCTTAAATCATGACTAATATAAGCGTCGATTAACGTTTTTCTGGACATGTATTTTTTATTACTATGTCACCAAGTTTATCACGAATTCTTCTAAAACAGCGCTTAAATTCGAGTCCATCACCCTAATCCAAGTAAGAAAATAATCGCTAACTTAATATTACGTAGGTCACTCCAAATATAAACTTTCCAATTGTTTATAAGGTACAAACAAATCCCGTGCCGTATTATTCATACTAACCTTTGCTAAGCGAAAATCAATAACTGTCTTTTCAAAGGAATATGTCATAACGATAATTTTAAATTTTAACCGATTGCCACGGCGATCCGTTGTAGAGACTGCTAACTAAAATAGAATCCTAACTTTAGTTTATACGTAATATTTAAATATCTGCAAAGAATGTAATAGCCATTATCACTCACTTGTAAAGTATCAATTCGTTTCACTTGATAATTCAGCAAATTAATATTTTCTATTAAGTTGCTAATTGTGCACTCCATATCACAATTAGTTGTGATTCGCGTTAATCTTTTACACAGACGTTGTAATGGATTCTAAGGAAATCAAATACAGCACAAGCATTTTGCTTAACAATAGCTCGATATTATAATGCAGGTAATGTAAATGTAACCTGGGATCCAGCCGGAGTTTGCGATAAATCGTTAAGTAACATTTGATCAAACTGCGCAGGCTGTGACAAACTCAGACCATTCATCAAATGCTGAACTGCAGCACAAGATGGCGTTTTAGATTCTTCAGAAAAACTGGTATTCCAGTCCGTATTTTGAGGATCAGGTTGAGATAAAGATGTTAAATGTGGACTATAATGTTCAAAATGCAATGCAACCGTAAGACAAAGAACAAGTGATTCACAGGTAGATACAAAAATCCACTAAATTTTTACCTCGAACTTGCGCCAACGATATCGTCACTAGTACGCATTCTCTTAACACGATGACCAGAATGCAACGGCGATTTTATGCTATTAGAATAATTGCTCATTGCCGTCCTTTATGAATTCAGAGGATTATAATAGAATGAATTAAGTACTTATTAAAGCTATTTTAATAGCATTAGATAATATAATAATTGCTGTAATATCCGAATATACTACCTCCTAAACCATGGATCTTTCTTTATTTGTCCTATAGTATATCTTTTGCTTACATTCTCCTGTAGTATTTTCTTTAAAAGCTCTAAATTAGCAAGATATCAAAAGTTATGTGAACTTATCATTTCATATTATTATTTAATGCAGAATCATTACAAAATTATCTTCGATAAACACTCATTTATGACTGTTTATAAACTCGGATGGTAAATTTGTAATTTCATTGTATCACAGCTTTAAGTATAGAACCTAGTGGTATATTCATAATTTTCTTCCAAGGAGCTTGAGAATAACTTCCTTTTTTCCATAATCCATAATCTAAGCAATGGTCTCTCGGCTCATCCCATGGTAATTCTATATTAATTTTAGTTTCTATTATTGCAACTTGCAAGAAACTTTAACAAGGCATCGCAATCATTTACTAATGTCCTACCTCCAGCCAATAATGCAACTAAAATAATACCACACGACCATAAATCTGCAGGCTGAGCTTCATATTCATTGCCTAAAAATATCTACCGTAATTACGCGATTTTAAAATACTTGGTAAAGCTGTGAGGTTGGATTTGGCAAAATTATAATTCCAATTTTCGAGTACAACAGTAAAGCAGCTACAGTTAGGCGTAAGATAATGTAAAAGGCTACAATTTCTAACCTCAGGTGCTATATAAGGCACCGTACCACATCGTTTAAATAATTTTCTCTCCTGCCCACGATTTCGAAATAATGTAGCCAAACCAAAATCGGAGATTTTTAAATTATCTATTCATGATCAAAATATTCAATAAGTCTGTTATTACGAAGGTAAAATATGGCATCTTTATTGGCTGCGCTACAATTGCAATTTCTATCGGATAATTTTGATTACCGCGACTATCTAGCAAGATATTTTCCGGTTTCAAATCCCTATGAGCAACACCCATCTGGTGTAGGTATTCCTGCATAAGCAAATCAAGGATACATTAACAAGTAAACTTTGTACTATCTTAACGTATACGGACGGATACATAAGTTAAAGTGATCTACCGATGTTGATAAATTATTATATATGCGTATAATTAACGATCGATAAGCTTATCAATCAAGTTATACTAACCACGCCAACAATAAGTTGCGTAAAATAATGATGGGCTTGACATTCGGGAATACCAATGTCAGGTTCTGCAATAGATTGAATACGACTATATTTAATTACACTTTAATCCTAAATATCATTGCAATGAATACGACCGTATGTTGCATGAAATGATGGGCGCTAAATAGTCGGCAGGAACCTACCAATACGATCGTATAATTCACCACCTTCTGCATACTCTAAGAACAAGTACTGAATACCAGCATCAGCTCGACATCCATAGAATTTTATAATATTGGTATGATTCATCATTCGATGAATACAAACCTAAAAAGTTAATAAAGTAAACGTTAATGACTACTACTGCATTATTGCGGTATTGAACCTTTGAATAATAAGGCTTTTTCTTCAAGTATTTGCAAGGTCATCATCACAACAGTCATTTTGGGAGGCACGAGAGACTCGATACAGTAGCACGCACAGTATAATGTGCTTTTCTCTAAAGGCTGGGTAAGGTCTCTTTGGATACTTTCAATTTTAATCAAGTTTTTTATTTGTTACTGCGCTACTGTACGCGTGACCAACCTGTAGAGACACTTATTGCGACATGATCAGACAGGCAGGCACCATTGATTGTTTCAATGGCATTGAAAGTGTCTATGGCACAGACATATCATGTACACTTTTACTCTCTCGATGTGATCATAAAAAAGTACCTACTCGACAGTTAATTAACAAGACTAATGTAGCATAGTTAGGCCCTGTATCAAGCGAAACTACTTTATGTCCTTACATATTATAGGAGTAGAATAAGAATTTGCTAGTAACTTTAGCAAAATAAAAGAGTGTGATAAGAATTTCAAATGGATATTTAGAAATGTACGGTCTTGTGCCGATACTCTAATCGCTAGTAGCCAATTCAGAAAAGAAAAGCAAAGCAAGTAAAAGTAAAATGGAAGTTCTTCCTTACTACATGATTATCCACACTTGCATCATTTTATTTCAAAAATAAGACCGGTGACAAACCTCTTTCCGTACAAGCTGTGCTGAAGATAAATTTCGATTGGGGTTGATGATTTTGACTGCTACAGCTTCACCAGAATCTTTATTGATCAGCAATCGAACCCTATCGATCATGACAGTAGATGATAATTAATGAATACCTTTTATGATACAATATTCTGATTTGCTTGTCCATTGTAACGATCGCCTATCGCGATGGATGATGACTAGACGATCTAAGCTAGCCATGCATGTATAGGATGCTACACCAGCCGACAAGATGTCTATTACTATCAGTATAGAGTATTGCACTTACTCTCCATAGGCACCTTCTCCTAATGTTTGCACAAAGTCCCAACCTTCCACAAATGTAGCTGCCATTAATTTGCAACTTTTAAATTCGCTTCGTCCAACTTTCCAACTCTACGATGGCACACTTGCCTACACAGCAGATTGCAATTACTTGGCAAAGCAGTACCTCCACCTGACGTCCAATATCTCGATCAATCAACTTAGTTTAGCCAATCCTTGCCACTTAATTTCACCAATAGTTTGCTGACTTGGATGCAAAATATCTTCACGCAATGTTGCAGCAGCTAATTGAAATGCGATGTCAATACCGGCGATGGCACAACATTGGTGGTGGTGTGGCTTAAGCGATTGTTCCTTAACTACGCTTGAGTATGGGGGCAAGTCTATTGTGGTGTTGACGACGTCATGAGAATTTGGAGTTTCCATCAACACTGGATAAACTATGGATTATAAAGCAGTGTTTGAGTAGCTTCACTACCATTATACTGTCTTGAAAGTAGGGATGCAATCAGCAATTTTCCCGCCAATGCAGTACAATCCTGAAAACTACAGTCACCGTACACAGTGTACAGTGCAAGGTACTGTATACAGTACAGTGTACAGTACAGTACATACTGTACAGTACAGTGCAACGTACTGTACAGTGTACAGTGCAACGTACTGAAAGTAGGGATGCAATCGGCAATTTTCCCGCCAATACAGTAGAATCCCGAAAACCACAGTACTGTACTGTACGTACACTGTACTGTACTGTACACAGTGTACAGTGCAAGGTACTGTGAACTGTAGGACAGGACTGGACTGTACTGTACACTGTACAGTACTCTACTGTCCTGTATGACTCAGTATGAAACTTCTTCAATCATCCAGCTGTATTTGCTTTAGACGTGGTGTAAACCATGGAGATTTTTTCGACCTCTCGGTTTAGCCCATATAAAGGTTGATTTTACCTCTATAGTTTAGCCACAAAGTTGACTTTCAAAAACCCATAGTAATAGTACAGTACAGTACTGCATTTTGGTCGTGCCTGTCACTACGCGGTTATCCTGTTTACTTTTACTGTTGGCCAGCCAGCCGGAAGTGGCCTGGTGGTACTAGACGGTACTGTGCCGCTCACTACGCCACTGAAGTTGATTTTCACCTAAATGATCTTTTAAACCTAAACCAACTTACCGGTCTCAACTTGTTGCTCTCCAGTACAGTACAGTACGTAGTATGAACCGTCATTTGCCACGTACGTGACGAACAACGATCACACCATCGCTTCAACCGTCTCAACTCCTTCAATTAGTGTCGTCCAATCGATCGTAGACTATTCCTATTTTCATCACTGACGTCTAAGAAAAGCTTGAACATTACTTGACTAAGACAGATGGCCCGAGGTAAGAGAATTCAAATTCTTTGAGATTTCTTTTTAAATTTCATTGCTTGCATTAACCTCCATTACAGCGTAAATAGGGTAATTGACAAGAGTGCTGGCTGCACTACTCATTTCCAATGAGAAAAAAAAAAATTTCATACACACACCTATGAAAAATTTTCTCATTCGTCCATTTAATTCAGTGAACTCTAAGGAGCTACCGTAATGTTCATGATTGTAATGACTATAAAGTCTGGTCTTAAGAATGACAGTAGTATCGTTCAAAAGTTGGCAAATGGATTCCATCAATATTAATAATGTTTATTATTATTTATTGCCCGACTTGAAAAAATAAAATTCAATCATTAATCTGTCGTCATATTGCTTGTTAGTGTTCCGAGTTGGATTGATCCAGTTAATGGTGTCAACGAACAAGAATGATAACCTACATCGTATTCATAAATTTGTTCGTGAAGCTGCACAACAAGGCGCTAAATTGATTTCTTTGCCGGTATGTTCATTATAAAGAAATAGGATATCCTACACTATTTGTTTGAAAACATTTTTAATCACTGGTTATTTAAATTTAAATAAGGGTAGACAGATGATTGACCTGTGATCTTTTTTTGTTCGGCATTGACTGCCGTCACCACACGACGACACCAACGACAACCGTTGAGAAGATTGTATTACCGCATCACAGCATAGTACGTCCTATAGGAGTATCATCTCTATTCTCGTCCAAAGGCCACGATAGCCATTTAAACTGAGCTCAGTTCATACTTTTAAATTGCCTAATAGCGTCTAGATGAACTTTGTCGTGATCATGTTGAAGCCTCTACTCGTTACAATATTCACACAGCCAATGGAAAACATGATTTTATCTTATTTTCAATAAGTACAGTAGAATATGTGCAATACGATGATGGACCACTTTCGGGATGAACCCCCTGGAAAAACCTGAGTTATGCCAATTTTTCCCTTTGTTTAGACCCAGTAATTCAAAATCAACTGTTTCTTCTAAAGTTGTTATTAATATTAATAAAATCGTGATAATCTTAAATTTAGCGACTTGATTATCAACTGATATTGGGCTGGATAGTCTTGCCTCAATCCATCAATAATTCAAAATAAAATAATAAATCAAGACTTGATTATCAGCCTACAATATTAGGATAATCAAATCGATTCAGTACTTCAATAAGGAAGACACGCACTTTGACAGTCATGTTAAATCATTTGTGAAGTAATCAATCTCCTATCATCATCCACCGCTATACTCTACTGTGCTAGCTGCATGAGTATCCAAATAATCCGGTACCATTGTAATTACAATTAATTATCGTAATTGAATATCGCCACCTACGATCGTGTCATATGCGGCCATGGAAGCGTTGAAATATGGGCGTTACAACAGATAGATTAGATTTGCATTACGCCTTTGATACGTATAAAAAGCAAAAAGTCAATTGTGTCTGTCACCTTCGACATGGATAGCGGCGACATTGTTACACTAAATCTGTAAATTATCTTAATAAGATAAATAATATGATTAAAATGTGTTTTTGCGGTATAGCTATTTATCTTCAATATTATATTTATTTAATTAATGAATGCCTATCTATTCATCAAGCCATCATCATAGTTCAACTTTATTTAACTTTAAAAACATCCTCTTAATTTTGGTTATATTTATAAATCGAGATTAAAATTTTCAATCTTAACATAGGAATGTTTCAATTCACCATATGGGACAAAGTTTTTCAAAGCGTACAGTGAAACCGTTCCTGGTACAACAACTCAAGTTTTATCTGATATTGCCAAGGAAAACAAAGTTTACCTAGTTGGAGGTAAGTCAATAAATGGTTGTATACAATATTGGCGATTTGAGTTTGAATCCACGGGTTATAAATGATAGTCTGGATTAGCGTAAGATTTTAAAGTTTGACCATCTTTACTCTTATGATAGTGTATATTTATTTGTACCGGAGGCATTATCAGTCATGGAATTCCATTAATACATTGCCTAAAGCTATTTCTGTATTTTTCATCAACTTTTTCTTCCTGTACAATATTAACTGCCCTTATCTAATCTTAAAATCACTCCACGCCCAATCCAATTACGAATTATCAAATAGTTAAGTGCAATAGCTCCTGGTTAATCAGTTGGAAGATATCTCGTACTTCATTCATGGCGAGTTTATGATGATTCTGTGCTCTTGATGACGATCATACTGGGATATTGTTGATCTTAAAAACTGTAAATTGATTACAATGATATACTCAAAATCCTGTTAGACAATAAAACGTAGTTATCAGACACAAATTAGCAATTAAGTGTCCTGGTTTATCCGTATTTATATATGAAATGATTGATCCAATCAAAATACGTTGTGCAAGTAGATGTTTTGCCCTTGTTAATACATTCATGTTAAATATACATCTATATTGGCTATTCGTAGACATCTTACGATATGGGAGCTGGCGATATTGATTGGCTTAACAAACTACTGCAATATGCTTTGTAGCCAAATGAATGCTTATCTATTCGTTCTGCATTATTTTTTTACCCATTATTTTTGTTATTTACCAACATTATTCATTATCCTTAATACCTGATGCATTATAATAATAATAATAATTCGTAGACATCTTACGATATGGGAACTGGCGATATTGATTGGCTTAACAAGCTACTGCAATATGCTTTGTAGCCAAATGAATACTTATCTATTCGTTCTGCATTATTTTTTTTACTCATTATTATTGTTATTTACCAACATTATTCATTATCCTTAATACCTGATGCATTATAATAATTTTATTAATTCAACAAGCAAACATAAGCCTGTATCATAGTGAATCGATCATACTTTGTTAGAATATGCTGTATGAATGTTTCTCTTTCATATGGCCTATCATCAGTGAAAATCTTATCACACAACTGATTGATTAATTTAACACACGAAATGACCTTATTATATCGTACAATAATTACGTATTTCTCTAAGTATATTCTAATTTTCTTTTCATAGGTTCCATTCCCGAAGTTGCAGATGGAAAGTTATTTAATACCTGCACCGTATTTGATCCTGAAGGTTCTATGATTGCAAAGTATAGAAAGGTGATGATCTAAATTGCTATCTTTATGATTACTGTGTGCATATACAGCAACTATGTAATAGGATTACGATGAATTGTGAATTAATTATCGCATACTATGTCGATAATTTTCTCATTCGAAGCATATAATTATACTAAACGCTAAAAACTTGTAGCAATTACTTTGAAGCCTATCAAAACTGATGCAAATACTAAAGAACTTTTCTGTACATGTTAGCATTAATCAGCTATTCCATTTAATAAATTCGCCATCGATAATTTTCGAATATTTCCTGCCTTATCAATGTTACCTGCATTTACTTGCACTATAAAGAATTAATCATATGTGCAAAATCACTCCTTAAACAATTACTCTATAGTAACTACTCATAATTCATTTTATGCTATACAATTTACAGATGCACCTTTTCGACATTGACGTACCTGGAAAAATTACTTTCCGCGAATCGGATGTATTATCACCTGGAAATGAATTTGCTACTTTTGATACCCGTAAGTATTTTAATGTTGAATACTAAAATATATTAGAGAACAATACTTTACCCAACACTTTAGCTTATATTATCTACGTTGCCTAATTAATTCACGCGCTTCAGCGATTGTGTACATATACAAGCAGTAACAACGGTGTCGTAAATGTGTTGAAACAGTCTAGGACATTGAAATTCTAATGTCTTTGACTTATGGAATATATTAAATTTGAATTAAGTTTTCACTGTAATGTATTGTTTTCTCAATAGCCTATTGTAAAGTTGGACTCGGTATTTGCTACGATGTTCGCTTTCCGGAGCTCGCTCAAGCATATTGCAAAAGAGGTCCTTATACGATCTGATAGCAAAAAAAATTTCTCTTGCTGCGTATACTTTCCATGGTGAATATTGTTAAGCCGTCGAATATGTTCAATACTATTTAGGATGCCAATTGGTCATTTATCCGGGAGCTTTCAATACCACAACTGGTCCTGTACACTGGGAATTACTACAGCGATCGCGCGCACTTGATAATCAGGTTCACTGCCAGTATAAATGCAGTACTTATATAGCGATTCTAATCTAGCTATTAATTAATGAAATACATTGCGGTTAAATATTACTGGATGCTATAGGGCTAAAACTACTCCCACTTTCTGTTAGATCTATGTAGCTACTTGTTCTCCAGCTCGTGATAAGACCGCTGATTATATTACTTGGGGTCATAGCACTGTCGTCGATCCATGGTACCTAAATTTTTTTAGAACTTTAATAATCTTTATTTCTCAACATTGTCCTCAAATTTACGCTAGTATAAATCGTTTAAACGAGTTATTAAATTGCTATGATCGCTTGGCTCCTTTTATAGGGGAAGAGTTATGTCAACGTGCGATGAAAAGGAACAAATTGTTTATGCAGATATTGGTAAAGTATAGGCACAATGCCTACATAATATATACATATATATAATAAAGTGGTAGAACAATTTCCACCAAATAATTTGCTTACATACAATTTCAACAAGCAATAACTTAATTATATTTGTCTATAGATTTAAATTATCTGGACGAAGTTCGGAGTCAAATACCTGTTACAGCTCAAAAACGATATGATATTTACGACGGTGTCTTTAAAAGTAGTAATAACTAATAGCCAAAGTTTCAAAGATAGCCATATTAAAACGAAAGCTAACTTAGCGTAACTAATTTATATACAACCTGTACGGTGCTTCAACCGAATCAAGAATGTTATCTATTGATTTATATTATTGCCAAAGAGCAACTAATTAACTTATGGTAATTTTATAGATATTTTTCCTACTTGCTTAAGTACAGCAATTCTATTAAAAATAGCTTGCTTTTCGTTTATAAGTACTCGATGACTGTTCTCTGTTATCCATCCATGCTGGTAGCTTTCGTTTACTGTCTTGAGATGTATCTGTATTCTTTTCCAACTTGATTGATTTAGCGACAGTAGAAGAATTCAGTGAAATCTTGTACCGATATTAAATTTTATAACAAGCAAGTAAATATATTAAATCTGGCAAACTTATACACTAATCTTATCAATCCTGCTATCTAGTACTTAACATTCATTCTAAAAATTCAATGATAAAAATATGACAATTTAACATTAAAATCAAATTGAGGCAAAAAAATCTTCTACTTCCGATCAATCGTTCATTTAAAGTAGTACATATCTAGGAACTGGGTAACTTTACAAGTACTTACGACTCAGAATACAGTTTAAACTTCATGGATAAGAAAGACGATCCTTAGCATTACCTGATCTAATCTTGACACTGTATCTGCCTTCGGAGATTTAACCGCTGGCAATCTATTATGCAAGACTTGTGCTACAGCTGCGTGTATAAGTAATTGACTCCAGGTTATCGTTTCAGGTAGCAATTCCTTCACGTCTTTCAACCTTTGAAAATCTACATTCCAAGGAAGTATCGAATTACTGTCTAATTTAATAGCGTTTCTATCAACAAAGACATAGCTACAATTCTTTGCGGCAGAATAATCAAAACCTACTGGGAACTTCTTTCCCATTCTAAATTATAACAATTAATATGATAATCCACTACAATCTGAAGGTAATGAAACCCACCAAATCCATCTGGCAATTTCGATATTGTATTTTCGATTAATTGGTACAAAGCCTTAACATAACCAGCTATAGAAACACCGATTTTAAAATATAGCATGTCTATGTTAGTTGAATTGATAGTAAATTTGATGCTTAAACGTCAGTATATAGCAGATATCAAAAGTACAATAAATTTCACCTCGGTTTAAATCGACAGGGTATCCTGCCAGGAGAGCTTTAGCGAGATGTCCAACGATAGTAGACTCTTGGAGACCACGTTTTTCACAAATTTCACTCTATCATGACAATGTTAAGGTCATGTTAGGTACAGATGTACAGATATTAGATTTTTACTCAGCTAGTATGGCTAACATAAAACATACCAGAGACATATTTCTTTCGTGAAAATAATTGTAAGTCATAAATTCTGTTTCAGACAGTTCGCGAACGGGTTGTAGTCTATTATATAGTTCAGCAAACTAAACAAGTATATTTAAAGGTATCATGTAGCAATTAGTATTTTTACTTAACTTTACGCTGCAAATTGTAATTAAACAACTATATTTCGTAATGTTCACTTTCTTCAATAATAGTAAATTTAATTATATAGCGTACCTCATTATTAAGTGCAGAGCTGGATACAGATGTATCAGGAAATTTATTAGTTTGAAAATTGTTCTTTGTGCATAACTCAATAACTTTTTTAACAAATACAGCACCAAATTTTGCGCATCGGGTGTTTGAGATTCCCTCGATCTTTAGCAAATTATCTTCGCTATTGGGTCTGCAAATATCGGTTATAATTTTGATTTAGGTTATAGCTAATTTGATTAGTTCATGTACATAATCTACTATATTACCAAGATGTAGCTCTACCTAATAGTCGCAATTTCCAAAAGATTCTTGTTATTAGCAACCATGTAAGGCGCGCATCCTATTTCATTTGCAACTTTGTTTCTAAGTGACATCAACTCAGTATACAACGACCGCTATAATGGCGAGAGTACGAGTAAACGTGCATAGTACATATGAAATTTACAATTTCGAAATTCTGAAAAAGCTATAAGCGTTACTGTGCATGTAATTAATATTTGTACCTGAAATTCGACTTCTGCAGGATCTTCTACTACATTTTCACTAGGGCTTTGTGCGGACAGCATAGCCTTTTTAGCTATATTAATTGCAACTTCAGTCGCATTCTGCCATACAACTGGCACTACTTCGTATACTCCCGAAGTCTGACCGCTAAAATATAATCGATAATTTCAGAATTAATATGTTTTGATGATAGGTACCTTAACAGATTACTGGTCTTTGCTAAACTCTACATGAAACATTTCGAAACATTTTCAAAACTGAACAATTTCATACGCTGACCTATTAGTCGTCGGAGTCCTTTGAGAAAGATTAAATAGCTGCAAAGAGTACACATTTCGGTAACTTATTCGCATATGAATTGAAGTTAAATTGCAGAATCAATGATAAGCTGTTTCATACCGCGTGATTTTTTAAGTGCAGGGTTGGGATAGTCTCGTTTGCTGTGTTCTTAAGCCAAGCATGGCCGAGATCTATTCAGACATTGCGTCAGCAATATTGCATAAAAAGTAAGAATTACGTGTATAAAAATACTATGGTAAGCGGATGTTTGTCATACGTACCAGATAAACCGATTACGCATCCATACATCCCGGTCAGTGGATATTCTTGCAAGAATCCTTCCATAGTTAATAATTTACCTATATTAATGATATTGCGAAATAGTTATTAAGAATACAAATGCGCTATAGGTATTACTACCTAATTTGTAATACTTCGATTCTAACCTAGCGTCTTCCACCATTTTCGAGGACGATACCTATCAAGTGTGTTAATATGACACTCATTAGCCCAAGAATGATGAAAACTATTTCAAATGTTAATTTAATCAACTTACTAGCTACGACGTTGACGTCAATAATAATTATATGATTGCGAAGTAATATTAAACTTACTTTCCTTTACAGTACATAGCCATCCTCTCAAAGGCTGATATATTTTTTACTTGCTGAGTAATCCAGAATAGAATGGGATAGAAATAATAAAATAATGATTAATTAATTAACCTTGATTATGAATACAAGGACAAAGGTGGTATTAAACTTGCCAAGCCACATAGAAGTTTTATTGGTATGGTAAGACCATATTTTCCATCACCACAAGCCTAAAATGATAACAGTACCTTTAGCAACTTAAGATGGTAATTAGTTCATTTTTCAAACTAAATCAGTTATAAATTTTATAATCGTCATCAGTAGGTATACCAATACAGTCTGAAGTAAATCTCTTGCTTCGCGACCAAAGTTTGGACCTTGTACATTATTCTTCTCATCATTTTCAGACACTGCACCACTTAAACTAAATACAAGCCAACACCACTTAGATGCACTGCTTAATATATAATATTAGTTAACTAAATTTTTTCACCTCCTGCGGCAGTTATCACAGCAATCGGCATGTTTAGGAAAATCATCAATGTTCTTCGATTCAAAATGAGAAATAATTTCTCTAATAAGGTAAATAGGTGTTAATGTGTGTACAGCTATATTAGAAAATCAATCTGTGTTTATAATGCAGAAAAATAGCAGACTCTACCTCCTACGACAATCTTTAGTTATTAGGTAAGTTAACAATTTATTCATCATTTCCAATTTGTGTTTCCTAAAGTCTTCATCGGCTATCTCTCCAATGAAATGTCTGCATATAATTACATCGATTTATAACATTTACTAGTAAAGTACTTATAGCAACCAAAACTAGTATATCATGTATATCTTACTTATGCAAACGGAAGTCAGCTTCTGCAAAGAAAACCACGCATACACCTGGCAATCTTAAAGAATAAGTTCATATTTCAAAAGTGAATCAATAATTGCTGTTATGATAACAGTAACTACACCCAGATTTAGAAGAAAGAAATAACTCATACCCGTCACGACCTGCACGACCGACTTCTTGGTAGTAGGATTCAATATCTCGAGGCGCTTAATCGTTAAATAACAGAATATCATATACTAGAGTACAAACCGCAGATCTAACTATACTAGATATCGCAGAAAAATTAACATCGCCTGAAACTGTACTATCGACTTTACTGATTTCACTATATCAGACCTCCGTAGTGAATTATCCTTCTGACATCCGGCTTGTCAATACCCATACCAAACGCAATTGTAGCAACCACACACTATAATTTTATTGATATTAAAAGCAAATTAGTTCCAGTCGTATTACTAAACTCTATGAGAACGTTGATAATCACCTGTAATTCGTCTCTAATAAATTCATGATGAATCCGTTGACGATCTTGCAGTCCCATACCAGCATGATAATAACCGCACTTTATGCCAAAGGCTAGTTAATAATAATTAATTACATTATTACACAACTAACTTACTAAATCGGTCATCCGTACGTTAATAAGTGATCGTTGTTTTAAAATATTTGAACCTTGTAATTTGCTCGCTACCATCTCTGAATCCTTTCGCGATATACAATAAATGATAGTTGAACCTTCAAATTCGTAAAAGAGTCTATAATAAATACGAGAAATGAAAACCATATGTTATACTTGATTAGTACTGCGGCAATAATACTTTCATAACCAATAATAATAAGATATTTCTAACTTTTTCTCTTCTCGTTTCCTCATGTAAGGCTTCAAATCCTTCATTAAATCCGATTTTATTCGAACTTCAAAGTACAGATTAGGCCTAAAAAAATGGTAGTTTTTCTGCGTAAATTATTGTCCACCGATAATGTAAGCTAATGCCAAAGACAATTAACAGTAGAACCTGTATACAGGTATACCGTACCGATCAAAGCTTGTGCTAGATATTAATGGATCGGACAGTTTTAGAGCTGTACAAATATCAGCGCGAACTAGAGGAGTAGCAGTGGCCGTTAAAGCCATAATAGGTACCTGAGTGAGCGATTAACAGCCTCTTTTACTTACGATGAAACTAAACTTTAGAGAATTAAAAAATATTGGCAACATCCTAAAGTTACATCAGTCTTACATGTGGTAAAAGATTTCTTATAAAGTCTAGTTGCCGATAAGAGGAGCGAAAATCATGACCCCATTGTGATACACAATGGGCTTCATCGATAGCTACTAAAGAAATTCCTAACGAATTAAAAATTTAGTAAAAACCGTCAGAACGTACATAATTTTTAGCACTGCTAACGGAAGTGTATGTTCAAACGCATCATTATTAAGGGTTCTTGTACTATAATTGTTAATTAGTTACCAATAGTATCATTTAGCTCTTTGAATAATGAACCAGATGTAACAGCAAATTCCGGAGCAACATATAGCAGATAATATCTACCCCTGTGGAATTACATCAATATATAGCGTCGATCATTGATAAAAGTCGTCAAAGAAAATTGAAACTTGAAAATCACTCTACTGAAAATGATTTTAGTAAGTTATACTACTCCAAGTGCTTCATGTTTTAGGAAGAGTGCGTTTAGATCGCACCTTTTTAAATTTCGTGTCACTTCTGCACCATTACGTTGAGCTGATCCCAAATAGCATGCAGGAATATTATTTACACTAGAACGTAGTTTAGACCATTGCATCAGATGTTGTTATTAAAATGGATCAAGGCCTCTACTGGTATACACCTAACGTAATGCAACTTACGTTAGTGCCATAACTTGATCTTGCATTAGAGAAATTAATGGAGATATTACGATGACAATTTTTTTTAAGTAGACCGCAGGATATTGATAGCATAAGCTCTTTCCATATCCTAAGTAAAAATAAGTAGTGAAAAGAAGAAATTAATAAGATGAGTAATTTTCAGTATTAAAGTAAAACGAACGCAAAATAAAGCTATAAAATGCAATTACCATGCTTACAATTGTAGTATGTAAGCTTTTGCTCATTACTAGACAATATAATAAAGAGAGCGAGACAGTAATACTAGATTATTTCCTATCGTAGGAAAGCAAAATTTAGAATAGCAGGCTTCTTGTAATTTAGGTTGCTATCACTTAGGTGATATTTCGATATGCTACTATTTCATTTTCTATAACAATGCAGCATTATTATAAAGATAAACATGAAATAAAGTTATTGTCTAGTCGTATGCTGGAATACTCTACCTGTCGCCATTACAACACAGTTATCCCTGTTGTGTGTTACGATGGAATTTATAATCTTCCATTGGAGTCTGCATTGTCCATTCAATAATGTAACATTCAGAATTATGATCATAGAATCAGGCAATTTCTAACAAATTGTAGCAATTACAACATCTGTACTTCCATTCTATTTGTGAATAAATATTTCTAATGCAATGTCATTATAGTATCGCGAATTCGTCAATATATACAAGACGGGATTGCTAGTGCTTACGGCCTAAACTGGGCATGACCAAAGGAATCTTTTAATATTTTCAAATGCGCATTTGATGGCTGTTCACCGATTTCAAAATCTTCTAATATATATAGAAATTGTATCATAAGCAGCTCAATGGCTTTGTAAACGTGAATATTCAAAATAATTATGGCTGCTCCCGTTATAATACTGTACAGTACACGTAGTTACCAGATTCGGTAGCATCGTTTAAAATAGTTCCAATCGATGCTTCTTTACTCCAATCAATTTCCTACAATAAGAGATAGAGAACTTCATTGAGTAAAAATTAATCGTGTTCTAGATAGTATCTAAATATGAAGTATTATCCAATGTAAATCACATATCTATACTTTAATATCTTCAACTAACGAAGCATCTAGACAATCCTGGATATTATCTGAAAAATAGCGATGTCAATGAGTACCATTATTGTAGTACGCTTAGGGTAGAGAATGCTACAAGACCACAATGCAAATCATACATAGTGCAAAAATTACGTATAATACAAATATTTTAGGATATTTTAATACCTGAACCCTAAATAGTCCCCAAATGACATTCATTGAAAGATAATGAAGTAGCATATACTTTAGAACATACTATTACATATGAAAGGTATACAGTCCAGTGATTTATAGCACAGTCTTACTTTAACACCTTCAACTGCTGATTTTTCAAAACTAGATTGTATATCATCTGAAAAGCGAGCATATTCTCATCATTTTAACTTCTGGTGATGCTAAAGGTCAGCTACCGCAAACTTTATCTCATGCCGTATTCTCTACTTTACTGACCTGATTCTTCTTCCTTTTCCCAATCGATTTCCTATAACAAGAATAAAATTAATAAGTTTCGAAATGTTTATAGTACCGATACGGTAATTAAGTAAAATCATCCCAAGGAATACCGATAGATATCAACACACATCCATAATGAAATGTCAGATTACCACTGACATGACTTACTAATTATATCACTACAAGTAAGAATTGTTATGCGTTAAAGCAATACTTATTATATAATATTGTAATCTATTTTACTATTAATCGATTCCTATGTCGACCTGTTAGGGCTAAAGAGCCAAAAAATATTACTAGTACGGCTCCCCATAGCATAAATATTCTGCTATCATACACAACCAGTTTTGTTGCATCAATATTATTATATGATATTGATAGAGATAAACCCAAATAGCATCAATTCATTTTTATGCAATACTAAGAAATTCTACCTCCAATATATTAGAGTTGAGATATCACAATATATCATGCAATTGGACTATATCAGTGGTAATGCACAATAATAGCACTAAGACAAAGTTGCTCGGTATTCATTTGATGTCAAAATACTTGTTTCTTGCAAATAAAACTTTCACTCTCAAAAAGGTAAGATACGATGACATATTATTGACTGTACACATTATTAGCATTGCCTAATATTAAGACAAAGTTATATTTTATATTGGATACTATAACAGTCATTCTACTGTAACTATCATTGAAAATTTCAATTTCAGTCAGGTCAGACAGATATCGCGATAAATTCTATGATTTGTTCTGCAGTGAAGAGTAAAAAGTCAACTATGCCTATAATGAATAAGATAGACATTACCTCTAGCATTAAATCTTGATCAACTTGACTGTCTTGTAATCTGGCCGTAGATGACAAGGCCATCATACAAAAGTGGCACCAGTTGTCCATATGGTATAGGAATCATAAACACATTCAATTAATCATTTAATGAATCAAAGCCTTATTGATAGTTCATGATTGCATGCTATTTTATCGACTAGAGGAAAACTTTGGGATGTATCGTTGTTGAATACGAAGTTTTTAAGACAAAATTATGTACACTGGAAATAAGACCAAACTAAGATAGTATCTAATCCTATGGAAGCATACAGTAAGTGATCTTGAAGTGACTTCTAAACTCTGAAATAATGTGCGCTGTAGTAGTAGTTCGCCACAAAACTTTACCACTGGTTGCTATCTTACTGATTCTGCACAGAACAAATCTTAAATTGCATAAGAGTTGAATTCAACGATCTCTATCAATCTAGCTATTGGGGCACTGTATACAATGACTATTGTCTACTTTGCCAATAACGAGTAGTGGATATGATGGATGATGATGCAGTAGCTAGCTCGTTAAGCCTCTTCTTTGTTTATATTACCCGTTTTCCTGCGATGATGTACTCGTATTCTCCTGTTGCAAATACAACTGCACTTTACTTTGTAAACGTTGTATCTGTGTTGCGATATCTTCGGTAGTTGTCTTGATGGTACGGATCATTTTTTCATCATCAAATTGATGATAATGCCATTGATCAATCCAAAGTCTCAACTGATCACGAATCATATCCAATTGCTTTCCATACAATGCTAACTCGGCCATACTTGCAGACTAGTTTGCAGACCTCAATCATCAGCAGCAAGAATGCGCAGTAATTTTCAATCTAGCAACACTATCTATCCTGGATAGCTGACTTGCGTTTTCAAGGTGTTGAATTTGACACTTGTTTTTCCTGTTGTTTTTCCACGGTAGCTAGGCTCGATTGGATCCTATTACTCCTTCATGGGCATCCTCTCTGCGGACAGCAAGATTTTGGGCATAAATGCAAGGGCAGTTTGTTGAGTCGAACCGGCAGAATGATGATAGAAGGCCTTAGTCTTATGCTTATGGTAATCCAAAGTATACAAGGTTAATGTATCGCCATGGGCGTAGTATTGCTGTCCAATCTGTCCATCCAATGTGGTCGAATAGTAGACTATATCGAGTCTGCGCTTTTCAGTGCTATAATGAGTCGCTTACCCTTCTCGATACTCGAGACGTTATATGCAAATAGATCAGCAAAGCAGCAAGGATGGATTTTCTACAAAACTAACCTTATCCAATGCCAACCATAGTGACTAATATATTATTGTCATGGACTACTAAATTACATAATAGAATATTACGGCCATATTGTGCAAATACTACAGTAGAATATCTAACAGTATAAAGAGAGATTGAATGAAACTTCGAGCTATATACGACACTATAAATAGATCGGTTTCATTAGTACAGCTCGAAATATCGTTTTATCCAACCGTTATTTCGTATGTAGTATATCGAAAAGGTAGGCAATCGCCATAGTCTTGTGCTTGCTATATTCGATAATATACAAATCATATAACTATAGTTGTAATTATTGGTATCCACTACGTCTCGAGTTGTCGAGTAGTAAGCTGTATTAAGTGTGTGGCCTTCAGTTCTATAATGTATACAGAACATCAATCAAGGACTTTCTACAAACTAGCCTTATCCGATACCAACCATAGTGACCATATACTGTAGTCATGGACTACTAAATTACATGATAGAGTATTACTACCATATTGTGCAAATACTGCAGTAGAATATCTAATAGTATAAAGAGAGATTGAATGAAACTTCGAGCTATACACTACACTATATATAGATCGATTTCATAGTACAGCTCGAAATATCGTTTTATAGCATATCGAAGAGGTAGGCAATCGCCACAGCCTTGTACTTGTTATATTCGATAATATACAAATGATCTAACTATAGTTGTCATTATTGGTATCCACTACGTCTCGAGTTGTCGAGTAGTAAGCTGCATCAAGTGTGTGGCCTTCAGTTCTATAATGTATACAGAACATCAATCAAGGACTTTCTACAAACTAGCCTTATCCAATACCAACCGTAGTGACCATATACTGTAGTCATGGACTACTAAATTACATAATAGAGTACTACTGCCATATTGTGCAAATACTGCAGTAGAATATCTAATAGTATAAAGAGAGATTGAATGAAACTTCGAGCTATACACTACACTATATATAGATCGATTTCATAGTACAGCTCGAAATATCGTTTTATCCAACCGATATTTCGCATGTAGTATATCGAAGAGGTAGACAATCACCACAGTTTTGTGCTTGCTATATTCGATAATATACAAATCATATAACTATAGTTGTCATTATTGGTATCCACTACGTCTCGAGTTGTCGAGTAGTAAGCTGTATCAAGTGTGCGGCCTTTGTTACTGTGATATATACTTAAAGGACTTTCTACAAATTAGCCTTACCCGATACTAACCATAGTGACCATATACTGTAGTCATGGACTACTAAATTACATGATAGAGTATTACTACCATGTTCTGCAAATACTACGCTAGAATACGTAATAGTATATAGGGAAATTGAATGATATTTCGAGTTATATGCTATAAATAGATCAGTTTTTATGGACATTGTATATACAGTATATTGCCCGTAATCTATCGAATATGGTATACAATCGCCACAGTCTCGTGCCTGTTGCATTTGACAGTATACGAATCATATAATTATTGGTATCCACTGCGTCTCGATGTACTGTAGCCATGGGCTGCTAATTTATATGATAGAGTATTATTGTCATGTTCTGCAAATACTATAGTAGAATACGTCATAGCATAAGGGGGAATTAAATGATATTTCGAGCAATATACTATGAAAAGGTCGGCTTCATAGTACAGCTCCATAGATGGTTTTATCCAACCGATATTTCGTATACATTGAACATGGCATGCAATCGCCACTATCTTGTGCTTGTTGTATTCGATAATATACAAATCATATAATTATAATTATTGGTATCCACTACGTCTCGAGTTAACGACTAGTAAACTGTATCGAGTGTACGGCCTTCAGTACTATAGTGTATATATGACATATATATATATATATATAAAGCAGCAATCAAGGACTTTCTATAAACTATCATTATCCGATGCCAACGATAGTGACTATCTACGCGTACTTTAGTCATAGACTACTAAATTACATATGATGGAGTATAACTGCCATCTTCTGCGAATACTACAATTGAATACGTAATAACTCAAAGTAGTAGTCCCCTATAATAGTGATATTTCGTACATGTCGAATATGGCTACGATATAGTTATTAAAGGACTCAGGGAAACTGATCTATCGAGTATAACTACTATGTCCCTCGCTCGCTCGACTATATCATGTCAGCAGCACTGATGCCGTAGTCCTGAAGAAGCGTTTCCAGTGCCTATAGCAGACTGCGCAGTATGCATTATTTGATTGCTGTCTGTCCGTTACCATACTCATACAAGTCATAGCACTATATAGCGTAGTATGTGACTTGGCGATCTCTACGGTCAGGGATCGATGCCACAAAACATCAATGCCATTTTAGTGCGTATCACTGGCTTGAATAAGAGCCAGGCTTACACCAGTGCCTAGTCCATTTTGTGCCTAGCTAAGAGCTTGTGCCCCCCTAGAGAGAACGAGACGAAATGTCCGACATGGAAGAAACTGTTGTTCGAATTGGAACTCGAAAAAGCCAGGTTATACTCCTGCATGGACTAGTAGATCGGATAACACAACCAAATAGTTCATTTTAAGCAGTTAGGCTATGCGATCTTTTACTCATTCATCTTTCCATTTTCCATCTAGTTGGCAATGATTCAAACTCACAGTGTTGTTGATGCCTTGCGTGAAATACATCCAAAAGCTCGAATTGAAATAGGTGCGTATTACTGATCATGCAGTTTAGCCTATTCTACTTGTACCCTTTTCAAGGATTGCATTAGTAATCACTTAACAGCAGAACAGTTAAATTCGTAACTTAATGTTGTAAAATAATATATTTGCCAAATGAATAAAATGAATATCATGATCATACATGTTTTACGCCACTTTGCATAACCTGATATCGTAGTCACCATGGATACAATTGGTGATAGAGTTCTGGACAAGGCATTGCCTGAGGTTAGAGGATAATTGGAATTCGACCATTTGGTTTTTTATGCCCTATCCTAAATAGAGATACAAAGAAATTAAAATATAATAACTAATTTAACACACTCAACAAAAAATAATATTGTACCCTTTTCCTTTACATCAATGCAACAAACACTTGTTTGCTATCGGCATCCAATGGCTATTCCTAAAGATTGGCCAAACAAATCTTTTCACCAAAGATTTGGAGGTTGCATTGACTGACAATAAGTATGAAAATACAGCATCATTCAATCCTTTCTAAGATAAAGATTATTATTGCTCTATCGTAACATAATCATAACATGGATGATCATTCTTTGTAGGATTGACCTGATTATTCATTCATTAAAAGATGTACCTTCTACCTTACCAGAAGGCTTGGCCATCGCGGCTATTGGAAAGTGAGTAATCAACTTTCTTCTATAGCCATTCAACTTGCGTAATATAGGACTGTAGGGCGCTAATTGCCCCGCTAATAACAGCTATACGATTTGTGCAACCGAACGTTAATATGGAGACTATTTCTGCAATTTGATGAATATAGAAGAGCCATGACTGCTGATGTGGTCTTAATGAATCCTAAGCATAGAAAGTCCAAATTATCCGATTTACCACAAAATAGGTACAGCAATAGGTTAATGCACGATGGAGTATCAAGTAACTTAAGGAGAATTGCACTAAAATTCTACCCAAACCTTTATGAGCTAGACACTAGGATTTATAATTGCTGAATATATTATTGCATTTATATTTGGTAGCGTAATTGGAACAAGTTCGCTAAGACGAATAGCCCAATTGAAAAGGCGCTTCCCTCATCTAAAATTCGAGAATGTTGTAAGTTTTATTAGATTATTACCTCTTTCATAATTTGTCTTAGCTGTATTATGGTCTGCAGCAAAATGCATTCATCCAGAAATTGACAATGTTGTAATTGCCATTATCGCATTACAAGACTTCTGTCATCTATAAATCCTTACAATTATCGACTGATTACATCTTGAATGTTGTCCTTTTTACTTAATGCAATAGCGTGGAAATTTAAATACAAGGCTTAAAAAGTTAGATGAAAGCGGAATATATGATGCTTTGGTCCTTGCTGGAGCCGGCGTAGTACGAATGGGTTGGCAAGAGCGAATTGATCAGGCTAGTGTGTCTTGCCATTACTACAGTACAGTATCATGCACTCAAGGACAACTTAGTACCTTTCAGTAATATGTGCGAGTATTTTAATTTTATTTTAAAATCGTTAGGAATTAACTCCGGATGAATGTCTATATGCTATTGGACAGGTTCAACACATTAAAAATCTAGACTACATATGAAAGAAAAGGTTTCTCTTGATTTTCAAATGAACGGTGTTTTTTGTTATATTTCATGACAGGGTGCACTTGGCATTGAGATACGAAAGAATGATAAAAAGACATTTTCACTCATTTCTGCCTATACTGATTTCGATAGCCTTGTCTGTAATGCTGCTGAAAGAGCCTTTCTTCGTTTTTTGGTATGTTTAATAGATACTTCAATAATGAACTCAAAACTAATTTTTACGATATGTAGCCACCACATTTCGATTGAAATTCATCATCATCATTTGACATAGGATAAAGGCTGTAGTGTACCAATCGGAGTTTATACGGAATTTACTGAAAATAAGGTAAATTAGTACGAAATCAGGGCTGCTCGTATGTTAGCGCTAGCTACAACTTCATGCAAGTATTAAAAAGTTCTATTCTGTTAGCTAAAGATAACTGGAGCGGTCTTTAGTCTTGATGGCAGCAAACGTGTCCAATATTCTGATGAGTGTACTATTTCCGGTAATTGACATCATCGAAATTGCATGGGCTTACTATTAGTAAACGCAAAACACTCATTTTGGAAATTTTAACAAGCGTAGTAATATTTTTGTACTGCATTTTTTAATGATTAGGATTAAATGCTAAAGATGATTGCGAAAGCAATTACGAAAGTTTATCATCAATTCTCTGTCCCTCCGAGATGTGCAATTCTTTAATCGAAGCAGAAAGATTAGGTAAATACGTAGCTGAAATGATCTTAAAAAATCACGGTGGTGAAGTTTTAGCAGAAGCTAGACAAATCATGAAAGCTCATCAAAAATAATTGGAGGTATTAAAGATTCATCAAACTGGAAAGAGGTCTATTCAGAAAATTCAACACAAACTAGGAACAATTTTGTTTCGACTTCAGAGTTACAGGGTTTTTAATTTCAGATGTATACGTCCGACAATTACAATCATTCGTATTGTGTTGAAGGATAAGAAAAATTTTTCAGAAAATATTATCTAAGTTTTCTCAACGAAAACATATTATTAGATGAACGCCGGCATTATAAAAACATACAATAGTTTGAGTTAAACGGCTGCATATTTTAAAAACGAGATATGTCATCATTTTATAATTCTTGTTTGTTTTTCTTTGGATGACGAGCTTTGGAATTAAATGAATCAAACATGACACTTCCATCCATAACATCATCAAGCCATGTACTTAAATCCTTTACGGTCGTTTTATCTTCCGCTGTTCTACGGTACCAAGTGCTTTCGTTCTATAAAGTAAAAAACACATACAGAAATTGCACCTTGCAATTGATACTGGTATATATTAGCATTATAACTTCTACACTGTGTTATTTTTATATTATCAACTTACCGAAGTCACATTTACTACTCCAATAATATTGTTCTCGATGTTGATGTTAAACCCACTTCTCCAATACTCGTGCATCTACAAATACATTTAATATTTTTTATCAAATATCGGTATAATAAGACGCTATTAAGCCAAATTCTACTGTTGTCAATTGTTATGTTTTGAGAACTACAATGCTAATACTAAATTGTCTATTTACAAAATCAACGTGAGACTATTTTTACATCACTAACGTTTGGAAATTCATCAGGATCAACCCAAATAAAGGCTGTCTTTTCATTTTTACGGTATTGCTTGGCTAAGGATTTCACTATCGGGAAGAATTTTACACCGTCTATACGAATAGATTAATGATACAGCAATTAGTATATGTTTTAAAAAAGTAAAAATTTCACAGATAAATTTAGCCCATATTGACGATATTAACCATTTCAACGTAGTATACAACTACTATTACTATATAGTATTACAAGTACTGTTTTACGTTATAATAATTACCATGTGATTTAGGTCGAATAAATGCAGCTATAAGATAACCATTCATAAAAATCGGCTACATATACGTACAGAAGATGCATAAGCAGTTAATAGGTGCAAACAATATTTTAGAAAATATCATAGTAATATTGGCAAAATAATTAGAATGATCGCATGATCAATTTTACCCAATTTTCATGTAAGGATTCCACATGGAGTTTAGTCAACTGCTGCCTATAATTTGTAAAGACTCCGTGTTACACAACGATCTCAGGCAATAGAATTAGAATTTCAATGCCATGAAATGATACTGTATAAATGTCTTACTTTTTATTCTTTTTAATAAAGTCGATTAAATTACTTTTTGTCAGCTACATTCAATCAAGAATAAAACATTAGTAAATATTATCGTCTACCCTAGTGTTAAGTGTACGTGTGCTTGATGTCAAGATACATTTTTAAAGATATAGAAAAACATTTTGACGACTCACTTCTCCCTTAAAATGAATTGGTTTTTCATAAGGCTTAGTGAAAGTGATTGTGTTTTGTTTCTTCAGACGTAACGTTTTCGCTATCTATAAAACATAATTGATAGTGTGAATACTACTATATCTATCAAGGAGCAGATTTAGGAAATAAGCTACATACTTTTTTATTAAATACACTATAAAACATCATTAAAGGCCTGAATGGGATGGCAGCTTCTTCAAAAGCTTTATATTCTGCATTAAAATATAGCAAGTATTATCATATATATTTATGGATAAATGAGCGTTCACTATAGAAGATGAGAAATTTTGTTTATATAGTTTTATCAGTAGAACATTAGCATAATTGGTTGAAACATCTCACTAACCTTTACTCTCATCTCCTTCGAAATAACCAATAACTTTAGGCAGTTCAACAGAATCGTATAGCTTTTTACGACTTTTTCCGTCAATTTCGTAGACAGGATCTTCTAACAGCTAACATAAACCAACACCTTGATATAAGTTATTACACAAACTCCTTTTCCAAGCTTTTAAAATAGCTTATTTTCCGATTGATACCATCAATGGGTAAATGATACATTATTTATTATTGAAGACCAGGAGTCTCCAAGTATTGGATACATTCGTGTATACTCGCTATTCTATTGTGCAGTATTACTGGGGGTAGCATACCATCAGTGGTAAATGATACCATGTTTATTATCGAAGACCAGAAGTATCCAAGTATTGTTTGCATTAGTGTATACTCTATATTCTATAGCGCAGTAACCATCGGGGTAGCATACAATCAATGGATAAATGATACAATGTATAATATCGAAGACAAGAAGTACCCAAGTATAGGATATACTAGTGTATACTCGATATTCTACAGTATAGTGCAGTATCAATCGGAGTAGCATATGAGGTAATCAAGCTATTTGGTTAAAATTATAAGAAACAATGACTGCTACGTCTGGTGAAAGGATATCACAATGGATAAAATTATAATACGTTAAATATACAATCGCACGATTTACGCAGTATTAAAGTAATTGGATACACTTTAGCTGTAGGCTAATTAAAAGAATCCCAAAGAAAAAATAATAATCAGTGTTTTATTTTCACCGTAAACATTCAGTCTACCAATTTATCTTACCCTCATGATGAAAACTGATAAAACTTCCACAGATCTTGAAAAAGAAGATAATAAGAAAAAAGTATATTACAAATCAATACTCTAACTGACATTAATCAACATCATTTTTAGTAGCTAATAGGTATAGCGATATTTTTCATATTATTAATACAACCAAGGCTTCTTTGTTATCCTTCAAAATTTAGCATCGTTACCTGTGGCCATGGAACGGGATAATGTTGCCTTTATAATGCGTAGCAATATAGCCTGGATATTGTCTTTCTGCAATAGAGAAATCGGATTATCAAATGATAATGTAGGTATGAAAATATCTGCATGACTGTATTTGCTTGCTTTCAAAATATCTAATCTATAGCATCATTCAATAGCGAACAAGAATAAGATCAAGTTGTCTAACCCATACCTGTTGTTATTTTTTGAGCCAGTCCAATCTGCTTTACAATATCTAGAGTTGCCACTTTAACTCCTTTCGATTCTGACAACTGAGCTGTGAGCTGAAAATTCAAGTTACCGTTCAGTATGATAAAAGCATCAAGATATAGTACCTATTACTGTATAAAATGTTCCAGTAGGCTATGTGATTAGTGTCACAATCATCCGTTGTTCAACTAACATAACAAGATTGTATCTATTGATCTCAGATATCGTCTGTAATTAATTATATAATTAGAGGTAAGCTATTTCGGATCATGTCCCACTTAACAGGCTCTGTACTCTATGAATAGCTATAATCAACTAGAGCTCTTGAGGCCTGTCTAATTACGTATGATCCATCTAAGCGAAAGACTGTACTGAAAAAAAAATTAATATGATCTACCTCTAGCATATCTCGCATAAATTTAGCCGATCGTTTGCCATCTTCTTGCCCATAATGTGGCATCTCGAAATGGATGACGAGAAGTTCGGAATTTTTTTTCAATCTTCCAAAATTGCTTTCTGTTAATTCCACAACTCTTCTTTTACCATCGTGTTGCGGCAATTGGTAATTCCGAGATGGTTCTTCTTCTCGGCAAGATACATAGCAAAGAACAGCAACCAATAGAATGAGCAATATGGGATTCCAGTTGGATTTCCATCGACCTCGACAAGTCGCCATGTTGCAGGGATTACAAGTGGACGCCTCTGAAGTCGTTGTGCGCTTGTGTAATCATGTACCACGTACGTCGTCTGCGGCCTGCAAGAGGAGCCGCGCCCTAGTGGTACAGAGGTATCGATGGGCTAGTCTCTTTATGAGGGTGACAACTTTTTTAAACAACAGGCAAGACAACTGCACTGTCAAGCCCAGTCACGTACTCATATCCGGTCTATTATGCTTTTAACATGGAGGAGTTCAAGTTATTCGCAGAAGTAATGTCACTATCCATGCTCTCACCGTCAGCCATGGACTATTGATGACCAAAAATGTCGAACAGAGCTTTATCCTATCGATATTATCCTGTACAAGAATCGATTAACAAATTTGCTTCTCTCTATTGCCATAGTGAGCTATAGCAAATTATGAGATAGAAAAGGGGCTATGGATTTCTTTTGATTTATTTTTCGTTCAATCTTACTAGAAAATTTCTGTATCGAATAGGACGACAACCGTCATAGCAGGATTGCTAGCTGCTTTGCTGACTGTTTCCTCTCTACTGGATAACTTTTCACCCAGGCAAATTGACCAGCTAAGCTTACAGGATGCAGGTCTAAATTATGCTAGTCATGACAACAGCATATAAAGCACGACTTGAGTTCACTTTATGACTGTACTAGTAAAAGAGTAGGGACATCCTATGGCAGTATCGCAGCAAAGGTAGAGTTATGTATGAGCATATCCAGTAAGAATGAATCAACTGGCAGCATTTGGGCTATTTTTTCACGTTCGACGAGTATAGTACTGTATAAGTGTGGTTCATTTAGACCGAATAGCGATAAACTCTCCAAAAGGAGTACGTAAAGTCATGGACTACTCAATAAATACTAAATTGATTTAGTAGTCCAAGGTACTGGATTGTGGTGGCGTTTGACGAGCTGTCGATTCGTGTTGAACACTATGTACTCTACGTCTTGCATGAGTACTGTATTAACCGTGTAATTAATATGTCTTTCTACTTATAGACTGAGACGAGAAAGAGCTGTTTCAGAGAAGAGAACTTTATTACTGTAAGTCCGTCAGGTACAAGGTAGAGAGAGAGATATATACTGCTACACAGGGAAAGGATTCTGAACCCAATACGCTAACACACATCTACTCGTATATATATATTCTAGATTGTGGCCTAGTATGGTTCTAATTGTATTACGTTATTTTTACTGTTTTATAGGCATTATCATCATGATCGATATTAGTGTGCCTAATTAGTAGATAAGTGGGCAATAACATTACAAACTGGACTACTGTAGCAAAGACGATGGGGAAGTGATTCTGCTGGTATTTTTATGGACTATAAGCTAATATGGACATTGTATAGTATCGTCAATACACGCTAAGATTAGATTAGCAATTAGCGGATGATCCGTTCGATTTCATTATCATGTATGGGCTAGTTCTAAATAGGGTTCGTCGATGATGCATAGACTCCGGGAATTTTACGAAAACTTTCTGCAAAAGACTATACTTGTACAGTAAAACGTACAGCTCACAATAACTTGGAAGAGAAATTTCGACGAGAATATCCACTTTAAAATCCATGTTACAACACTATGCCATACAATACTGTAGATCTAGTGAAACCTTCTAAATCAAACCAACGATTCCGTGACTCGGGGAACTACAGAAAATTGTATAGCAAAATGCACAACTCACAACGATATGCTAACCTATTTCATGTCGTAGAGTACTACATTGTGTAGGAATAGCATACAATACTGCAAATGCGTCTTACTAGTTCTAAATAAAAGCCTAGAAAACGATTTAGTGACTCAGGGAGATACAGACCGCATAATAAAATACACCGCTCATAACAGTACTGCCATGAAAGAAAAGGAAGAAAATGATAGCCATATACTGCTATAAATAGAAAATAAAGTATTCAATATGCCATACAAAATGGCTAGTTGCCAATAAGGCTCATCAACATATACATATATATAGTATATATTATATACATACTGTATCTACGAATATATATCTGTATATGTAACAACATATTCCCTATACGGTAAATATTAACATACATACTGTATAATAGTGTATATACATACATATATAAAAATATACATATACACATTATATATATATATTGACCGTAGCATATATATATATATATATACATACCGTATATGTAACAATATATACCATATACAGTACATATTAACATACATACTGTATATATGTATATATATATATACATATATATATATATATATATACAGTATATATATATGTACAGTATATAGGGAGAAAAGTACTATACTGTATGGTGTACAGTATTCTACCTACCACACTGTACTCACTATAACGTACTATAGGACTGTGATATACTGTACTGTACCGTACAGCACACTTTGCTCATACGGTAACCATAACAGCCGCGGGACTTTTGAAAAGTAATCCACTATTGGTCTGATATCGAGAGAGCTAGTTGAGCATATTCGGAGACCAACAAGAGTTAATGCAAAAATCTTCACTCAAAGGTGATATCGACCTGACTACTTTCCACCTCGATCATGCAATCATCCAAATAGTGCTGAAGCATTTCAAGGTATGCAAACAGACAGGGAAATCAAGCTGAATTGGATGATGCCGTTGAAGAGAAAATTCGTCCCAACAGATTCATTCTTCCAGGTGAGAATCTCCGCAGTTGTTTTCATCTTCGTTCGATAGTACGTATATAAAAGCTAGTGGCCAAGGATAGAAATTGCATTTTTTCTACTTGGTTTTAGCTTACATACTGTGCAGTGCACACTATATTAACGCTTCCATTTCGACACATGGTGCACTACCCATTGCATGGATTCCATACTACTATGGATTAGTCAAATTGATCTCAATTTCTGCATTACATTTTGAAACTCAAAATCCTTGTCAGTTTACCATAAGTGATTGCGTAGCGTGTGCAGTAGTAAATGAGACAAGGGTAGAGAATGCCTTTTTCCATAGCATCAATCTCTCTTTAGATTGCATGAACTGTAAATGAACATCATGCTTGCAACGTAGAACGGATACCTTTTACTTCGATAATGTAGTCGTTAAACTATTATTGAATGATTTATAGGATGGCGACGCATGTTGCTATGGAGGTGTTAAGCAATTAGCTGAAGAATTGGAGGATTTGGCTTTCGCGGATAAAAGGCACGTAAATAACTGATTAAGTATAAATTAGATCTCTTGTTGACAAGGATGATCATGATTAACGTAATGCTCTCTGACGCTCTAAAGAGGATTCATTATGCGAAATACAGTACATCAAATCAGGACTATTTAATGCTTGTTATATAGCACATTCACTGTCGTTGATGATGGAACTTTGAATAGTCATAGTACTTATCATAATTGAATGCATACAGTCAATTCGCTATCATTGTTTTAATAATAGCAAATTAATTTTTCTTTTTTGCCTTAAATCTAGGAAAGAAATAACGTGTAATATCGCCAGTTGTGACAAAGCTTTCACTTCAATCGCCAGGTTGCAACCTTCAGGATTGAATTTTTCCTTCTTCTTTATTCCTATATTATGACTACAGTAGATACTGATCTATCTTTTATCCATTACCTTACCGACCATCAATATCGTTATCCTAACTATAACATTGCATTTCATTAATAGCTTCGAGAACCATTACAATAGCACCCATCGCAATATATGCAACCATTGTAGAAGAAATTTTCCATCATCTCGATTTCTCGAGATCCATGTACTAGAATCGCATGACACTCTATTTGAAATGTTATGTCAAAAACAAAATATGGTACGGAAATACCGGCTCTACTCTCTCCAAATATATTATTTTTCATGGCCATGATTCTTAGTTTGTCATTTGCATTTACCACTACAATTTTGTAAATAAAATTATAGATTCTGTTAGTAATCTACAAATATTATTTCTTTTCTAGTATGAGTGCTTGGTGGACGGGTGTCAGGAAAAATTTGCTACAAGTGATATTCGATTGAAACATTTAATAACAGTCCATCAATATCCAAAAAATTTTCGATTTGCTACCAAGCTAACAACAAAGAAAAAGCAACTGTACGCTATCCGTAGCACCTATTAATGTGCAGAGTTAACGGTAGTTTCTAGCTTATTATAACATCTCTCTATTTTATTATTCACTTACGATAGAGAAAATGTGAGCCCGGTGAAAGATCGAATGGATATTGAGGAGGCCAAATTTAGCGATATGGTATGTGTGTGTAGTAAAAATAAATTAAAGTACAAGTTGAATTGCAATAGAATTGTTACTAAAACAACTATTTATTGTAATCTTGTATAGACGTCGGTAGATTCATTCCTCTCCACTGAATCTCGAAGTAAAGGACAAGATAGGTTAGTCATGACGGATTATATACGCTCTTATATTCGTATTTTACCATGGAATATACTTTGTAAACTAATACTAAAAATATTCCTTATAAAACAAATTAGGGTGCCCAAACAATTTTCATTTGGCCGTGGGAAAGGTCGAGGCTTTCAAAATCCATCCTCTGGAAAGAAACGTCGTGGAAAAAAAAAAGAAAAGCGTGATCACTGTCCAGAAAATATGCAAACCTGACGATTGTTCCTTTTTAGTATACTGTCTATCTTTAGAAGTAGAATAATGTATTAAAATTCCCATGAGAAGATCCACTACTTCGTGGATACACATGGGGTAAAGCATATTTATATATCTCAATATATAAGTATTTAATATTAGCTCACTGATATTAATTCGATTATCGAACGCTTCAATAGGACAAGATTGATAATTAAGGATCAACTATAATATCAGATATTCAGTATTTTCTATTGAAATATAACATAAAAAATTGAATTGCTTCTAATACATTGGTATCTATTACAATATTACGTAAACTGACGTAATACTAGAATGATCAAACAGTACGGAATGAAACCGCTCTTATACGTATAACTTGCAACGAAATACTAGCTGCTTGGGGCCAATTTGCTATGAAAGGATAGCACGTATGTTTTCAATTTAACATTCCTCTAGGCTGTGTTTATGAAGGTAGATCAAAAAAGAGTAATCAGCGTTTTTATCATTAATCCGGACACATAATAAGAAATAATAACTTTCACCGTCAGTATACATAGGAATAAAACTGAAGCGAAATGATTTTAACAATGCTAAAAATCCAAGATTAATATGCAAGGCATTTTCTGCATTGTACTTCGGTATCTGTTGCATTTTTTTAGCTCTGTTGATACACATGATCGTAAGTAAATTATGAAAGCAAAATTGTAACTTCAGGCGTTGATAGTAATCGAACCAATGAAAAGCTCTATTATTTTTGAAATGATAATTTCACGTTTATTTGCGTTTAAGCATCGACTATTTAACAAGTATCAATCTAATATCTATCATGATTGTAAATAAATCAATTTTTTTGGCGGAGGATTATTTGAATTTGCCCAATTATTATATCATCACATAAACGCTAATTTCGCATTTAATGCAGCGATACTATCCGGTACTAATGCTGCTTATAGTTTGTTCAGGAATCGTTAATACAAATAAATGACATTAATACAGCGTTGAGCAGTAGCCATAGTATCTACAGAACCGTTCAGGTAGTCCGCTGTACACTCAAAATGGTGCAGTACAAACAACACATACTCAAAGTAATTTAGCTTTCACTTGACATACAACTTAATGGTTCATTTCATCGATTTAATTAATTAATTTATACATAGATGCCTTGATACCGACATTAGATTTATTCATTGTGATTAACAAGTCATTACGTAGCCCAATATTCGATAGATAAATATAGTATGAGCTAATCGTAGATTCAGGACATTAATCAACTCTAACTAGCAAGGATTAGCAGATGTAATCTAACAAAAATCTCAGACATTGCGTGGCTTGAGGTTTACAAATTTCAATTGAATTGTTTTGTTATCAGAGAAACTCTATATGACTTATTCTCTATCTTTCGGAAGCTATGATTTAACTTTTGATGATACATTGTCGCTGCTTTTTACTCTTTCTATTTCTTTCAAGTATCATCTGGACGCCATCTATGTCTTTGCTTGCATGTTCATTAATACCACAATGTTGAGACACAAGGTATCTACATGGTCAGTAGCATTTCTTTCAAAAAATTTTTATATTGTACTTGTCTATCAGACTAGATCCGATTGACTTGAAGACATTCTTTTCATAATCCTACATTTATTTCTTTATTTACCTTCATACAACTAAAAGAGAGAGGTAAGCTTTGAAAATCATCTAATCTATTAAATTAAGCATACAATCGACCAATCAATCGGCCACACCATAAAGGATATTAAATTTACGTACTAAGAACTGCGGTAATTTTATTGTCATATTTTCAAATCAATCGATTGACAAATAGTGTAATTAATTATCAATCTAGCGCCAATTCTACATGAGATGTCATTTAAAGATTGGATATTTTTTTTAATTTAATATCTGGTTAGTCTGTCAGCTCACTTCTACAACCAATGATGAAATAGATTGGATAAACAACAAGAGGGCTTTTTGTCCTGCAGCTAAATTAAGCTTATCAGTTTTTCTTTCTAGACTAGAACAAATGTTTCCCAGTTAATAAGATTACTGTGATTTGATAAATAGCAGATGGGATATAAAAGACCTGTTTCTATTTTAATGGAATAAAAATATAGATTAAAAAATATCAATTTGAACCTAGTGTTATTTAATCACGCGTTATTATAAATTGAACCCCAGTCAGAAATAACATATCGATCTAAAAGCTTGCAAAGTCGGCTAAATAACATTTACAGCTGTTTTATAGATGTAAATACTGATTATATACTTGATAGCACCATGATAGCCGGATTTAAAATATAAATTGTCTATCATGACAGAAAGAACACTTTCTTCCTCCCCAAACATGAAGTCGATGTGTGAATATTAATCTTCTTACATGGATCTTATAAGATTAATTTATCCTAGTAATTTTAAAATCATCTACTTTAACGTACTAGAATAAATACGTGTATTTATTCAGTTGTATTAATTCAGCTTTAGTCGTCTCCATTTTGGCATATTAATAATAGATTATTTCTCAATTCGATAGCATGACGTCAATAGTTAATACAGCTGCAACTAAGAATGATAGTCGGATCTATTTCCTATTACTCGTCTAGCTAACATGTACAGAATCATTATAACATAGAGGAAGAAGTAGTCCAAGACAATTAAGAATTGCCAAGACAAAAATCAATTAATAAAAATTTTGCCCTTTGTCATTGCTCTGAAGTAATTTTCAAGAGTTTTCATAACTAGACTAGATAAATAACAGCTCACAATGTGAGCGTCAGGAAGATATAGATGAAATTGAAATCACAATTAATTAATCAATCAATAAGCAGCAATGTAGCTGTTAATCTTGTGGTAAATCACGATAATTGTTAAAAGATTAAAAATTCCTTGTACTGTAGGTAAAAGTAGTTATAGGAAATGATGGAAGAGAACAAGACTCAAAAATAACTACTATAATTATCTTATAGCTTAAATATTAAACTAGATAAATAGCAACTTACCATAGCTAAGTATCAATCATAACTTGTTAATTATTTTTTTAATTCTGTATAACCCTCTGATGTAAATAAGAATAAAATTATGAGCCATTTCGATTTCATTCATTTAAAATATTTTTTGACCTGATAAAAACAATATTTTCAATTTATTTCTCACGCAAAAGAATACAAAATGCAAGATGTAATTATAAATTGAACTTCCTGTTGATGTTATCTATCTTCTTTGATTTTATGAAATCAAGTAAGCTAAATGAGGTGAGTGAATAAAGTCAAGGTTTAGGATTAATAATAGCTTAGTTGCAATTATAATGTATTAATTAGAGCTCGATATTGAACTGCTTCAAAGTAGAATAACTTTCTAGAGATCGAATTTTCGGTATTGCTATATTCAAATATCTAATTAATGTTCTTCATCTATTGTCTTTTTATTATTTCCTTTTCTCTTAAATCTTAATTTTATGTCCGATTTCCAATTACAACTATGGTCTAATATTCTTTATATATATCAAATAATGATGATTAATAAATTCAAACGGTTGAATACAGCTTTAATTTTGATCATTGATTTCCATTTAGTGTGAGCGAGTAATTTATCAATATTACATTCTATTCTATCATTGTATTTTTAATCATCTTTTAGTTTTTTACTACGATTACTTGACTGATCCTTCATAGAGCTAACCACTTCATAGACCCATATCTATATTTTTGTAGTATAGAAGATTGCATTTACGATAATTGTCTATTTTTTATACCTTGATAATAGATTTGTTTATTATTCTATGGAAACTATCTTCAACTGCAATTGACTAAATAATAATCAATAAATTATAATATAAATTTATTATGAAAATGAAGGAATCAAATAATCTGCAAATGATAAATACATATTTTTTATTTAAAATTAATTTATTCGTGTTTTGATATCGAATGTTATTGGTTTGAGCAAACAGTCGTAGGCTACCATGATGTCATCATTCAATATTAAAATAAATTAATTATAGCGAATTCTAGTTATAAAATCGATTAAAATAACATCCATGATGATATAAAATGAAGATGATTCTTTCTCTATTATCAATGATTAACTGCTCTAGTAGCCATAAAATAAATTAATTATAGCAGTGACAGTTATAAGGTGAATCAACGCAATTAGTAGCTTAAGTCAACGTAAATCCAACCACAGTATTAATTAAAATCATGAATAAATAATATCTGTGATCATAAACTCCTAGACTAACATTGATACAGTATGAACAATTCTATAATCAATAGTATTTCTATTTTATCACTTTTTTAACGCCAAATTGTTATTTTCTTTATTTATATTAAATAAATATCGTGGGAAGAACAGACATTTTATATCTACGATAAAACCAACTGCTGATACTATTCATCCATTTCCATGATGATCAATAATTTTAGCGGCTATTAAATGATTGTTATATGCTAAGATTGAAGTACATAAATACATTTCATCATAATCTAGGCCTTTAATATGATCAACAATTATACCGAATACATTATCTACTCTTTGATTGAATTAAATGTTTATCCTTTAGAATAAGTAGATATATTCTGAGGAAAACATATGGATGGAAACCGATATTTATCTACACTTATATATTATCCGAAATAATATAATAACCTCAGATATTTCCAAGAAAATTTTTTACATACTAACTCTTCTTGATAATATAGGATAGATTATTATTTATATCCAAGTCAATATCCAAGATGATTTTAAACAAGAACACAACAACAAACTTGCTAATCCATGACAAATATGGATAATCATGTTGATTTTATTCGAAAGAGGGATGAAAAGTAAAAATAATTATACAATCAATAAATCTACAGTAAATTCAATACGTAATCTATAGTGTTCCAGCCATCACCATATTAGAAAGACAGAGGATCTTTGATCAAACTATGCTGTCATTAGAATTTAGGATATGATTGGAAGTTAAATATGGCATCGCTTCATAGCTTTGTTGCATGATGAAAATGTGTCAATTTTATGAAGGCCTCCTATTGAGTTGTATTTCCTTCCTCGATGCTTTGTTTACTCAACTAATTTACCAATCGGTCAACTAATTTGAAGGTTTACTTGCTATTCAAATCTATAATGTCGTCTCTAATTGACATAATAATTAGAAGCCGCTTATGTATAATTGAATAGAATAGTCTAAAAATGATTTTATTTTTTAAAAGAGACTTTTTATTCAAGTAGTTATTAGCTATAACATGTTACTGTAGATATATTTTTTATGAGAGAGTATTGACAATTTCTAACTATTAACAGGTAGACAAATTAATTCATTCTTACTATTGATATCAATTTATCGATCCTATTATTGAGATTAAAAATCAGGTAAATTATTGATTGTAGTCCCTATGGATCAATATTTTTTATTTCGCACTCGTACAGTGCAATAAAGGTGCTTTTATTTCAATATTGAGTTACATTTCATCGAATATATATTACATTCACTTCATTCTAATATCTTATTTACTATTCCAACGATCTACGTGAAGAAGTCCTATCAACTTTTCATATCAGCCTAGTTGATAAACAGCTTAGCACCATGAAATTTTTACTGATTCTGGCAATTCTATACTTAGGTAAGCTAAATAAATATCTATTAAAGATAAGGAGGTATAACCCTACTAGTACAATTTAGATTGTAGTGAGTTAAAATGAGACCGAATGTAATCCAATTTAAAATGCTGCAGTAAAATTGATGTCATTTCCATTCAAACATTATATGTACCTAGATGATATTTTCAAATAAAAAAGTCAGTTAGTACTGCCATGATATTAATTTATATGTCTAAAATATAGTTTAGTTTCAATGTATTAGAAGAATATAGGAATAATCTTTCCTAGTCCAAGCTTCAAAACTTACGTAAACTCTTGAAGATCATAAGCGTTGTTAAATTAATATTCGTCAAGATATTGTATTACTTAATTGATTAAGACCTAGCCTATTTAGTTATTCTCGATTCATTTGGCAATGTAATAGAGGTGGCCAATACTTGTATACTAACACGATATTTTTCATGCTAAACATTTAGATATTGTTGCAGCTGACAAAGCACCAGAGAAAAATATTGCTAGTGGAAATTCAATATTTAAATTAACGATTAAGAATCGACCTTACACGTCCATTTATAAATATACTTCAAAAGAGCCATATTTATCTTTAGTCGCCGAAATTAAATATGGGGTAAACTTAAATTGGTATAGTATTATTGTATTCTTATTTATATGATCTTGATTGTAGTCATAGGATATAAATTGCTTAAAATTAATGGAATGTTATTGTATCAAGGAAGGTAAACCTACTGGCCATTAATGAAATCAATAAAAATTAAGTTAGAATTGTATGTAACTTCCCAATTCTTACCGGCAAATAGAATGATAAATCTGCATCATGTAAAATTGAATTATATTTAGTAATATCGGAAATTGGATGTAAGCCATGCTTGATATTCCATTTAAAATGAAATTCTCCACGATTTATAGATATTAATCAGTCGAATGGGTTCTCTCAAAATAGATTATAAGGAATTACTTATTGGGCACATAGTAATTAATTTAACTATTTGAAAGAAGCTCTGATCTATCTGATCCCTTATTAAACGATACATATTAGTTATTAGTCTTGATCGGCAATATTTTACAATTTATTCTTGGTCTCCAATCACGAATACCTTTCGTGTTACAAATCACGCCACAACTTCCTCATCTCTAAAGTTTATAAATGAATTCTTTTAGGATTTGCAATGCTATAGACACATAATCTTGATGACTCATCCTCATTTTATAGTTAGCAGGCATTAATATGTGACACTGTTGTAAATCTTTCTTACTTTCACATCACCAACCTGTTTCTGGCATTAAATTTACTTATTGTGATTTTTAATGAGGCTGATAAATCAACGTTAATAGTCTTTGTTTTGTAATATTAATACTGTGTCCATATTTCATATACAGACTATTCAAGAAATTTATTAATTTATTGGTGATATTAGCTCTATTACATTGTACCTTATCTCACTTTACAGAAACAGTCTAATTTTAACAAATAATTGGTTCTAGATGAGAACAATGTTTTTTGGAGCAGTTGGAAACTATTATGTTCCGCGCTTGGGGAAAGTAAGGTAAGAAAAATTGTACATTAAAAATCCAACCTGCCCAATTATTACTACTAAGGAGAAAGAAAGAATATACGCGTATTGATTATATTTATTGAGATATGAAACTGTTTATCGAATTAGCATTATGACTAAACTCTCAATAGCTATTCTTTTGGTACTTACTCAAACATGTCAACTAGCAAAACTAAATGCTTTAATGATGAAATATTTCTAAATGCTGTTTGTTTTAGAATGATAGCTTTTCAAATATCGACCACATTTTATCAATGTACTTTAAATGATCTACGGTACATTTTTCGATTTATGAGTATCATAGCTGACTACAGTCCTAATAAAATTTTAGTTTTCGTTGTACATTGAGTTTTACTATCTATCTAATATGTTGATTTTAAAACTGGAATACTTTCTATTGTACAAAAAGTAATGGTTATTTTACGGTTATTAAAGTAAGAGAAGTAAGATACAGTACTTTATACGCATATAAAAATAACTATTAGCAAAAAAAAGTGTAGCAAGATTAAGGGTTTTACACATTTTGTGAATTTTTTATGCCCTTAATTACTCGTATACCAAAAAAATGACGGTATACCACTTACATTACGTCACTTATCAATTTGTTCGGCAAATAAACTGAGTATCTTACACGTATGAACATTGTATAATTCACTCCAAGCCTTCACAATGTTAATGTTACAAGTATTAAAATGACGAGACAAACTTACAGTTAATATTCAAGCCCACATATGAAATAGATATTGAAATAGATTATTTAAGTTTTTTAGAATTAAATAAGTAAGTTTAATATCTAATA